AAAATAAGCAGCACTTTAGGCCAACTAAATACAACTCGTCAGTTGTATCCAGTTGGAATCCCAGCGTAATGTTTTTAATTATATGGTTGTGCTTTGATTTTACGCTGAAAACATTTATAACTACGTCAACTTTATATTAAAACATTTATTATCTTTTCAGTTGTATTAAATGTAAAATATGATATAGTCAGCTTATTGCTTTCTGGAGAACAGTCAAGGTTTAAATTTGGTACAATGAATCGGACACTCATGTAAATCGACATGGTTATAACATTGAACTCAATGCAGTAAATTAGTTATTTCTATGAATCACAGCGGGATTGGTTTCATTTTATATGATTGCCAACTCTGGCGGTTTTTTTGTAAATGCTTTTGACCGCTGTAAATGTGAAACTGATACAGTATTATTCAATTGTTTTATGTCTTGGTCACATTTGCTCTGATTTTCACTACGGCGCCCGGCCGATTGAGTATTGTGTTCAGAAATGTATTCAATTTTGAACAAAATACTCGCAGCAAATGTGATCCAGGCATTACACAGCGGTATTTCGAACATACTATTGTTGCTTAACCACGACCTAGCCAATTTTAAAATCATACTCCTTATTAAATCCAAGTAAACGATCAATGTCTAGGTATTTGGCGTTTGATGATACTATGGCCCTTGGCGAATTATGATTAGATGAACCGAGGTCAACATTAATGTTTCTTGTACAAGGTCATCCCAAGGTCTAAGATAAATATTTAGGTATTTTACGTTTCAAGACCTTTGGACAAATTCGATTCAACGATGTTTTAAAGTTAAAATGTATACAGAGATAAAATAGGTTATCTCCTATCGTTTCCTTGTGTATACGTTTACACACTACTATACCTAACACCTAGAAATGCATAAGATACTTTGTTTGCCTAATTGAATTGTTTAATATATTTTTGAAAGTGCCTTACTAGCATCTAATTTTCAACCGATAAACCATTCATAAGGAACAGACAAATAAAAACAAATACATAATCATTACTAATAAGCCAAATGGGTTGCTCATGAACACCTAATGCAAGGTATAGTAGTGTGGTTTATGTCTCTGCGTAATAACGCAGATGCGAGCAGGTAGTTACCAATCTCACCACAAGGTGGCTCGTTCGGGTCAGATAGCATGGCGGGTATGGTAGAAAGTTCCCTTTAACTTAAAGTACATCTGTTTTCGTGGTTCAATTTTCATATCACCCTTAAAATGTATCTAATAGCAATGCAATTAAAATATGTCCAGTGAACGAAAATGCAATACAAGAATAGATATTTCACGTTTTGTGATTTTGTAACAATGGGGTTATTTTTTGTATATGTAACATGGTCATTTTCACATTTTATATTATTACTGTTCATATTAATCAATCCCTATTCATCTCAATATAAGAGGTCCCTAAGTAGGTTGTTTGCAGTTTTACTCTTTTAATACCATGTTCACTTTTCACCTTGAGTTATTCAACTATGCAAACTGTGTCAGTTTTATATATCTATTGTTCCCCTATATGGTCTTTCTCACTCACATGTAGCTGAGTTTGCATTGGGTGTTGGCTTGTCAGTAGTTGCTGTAAGAGTTCATGTTGTACATTACAGAGCATTGTATTTTAAACATTGAAGTTTGAAATATACTATTTTATATATATTTTAATTTGAAGTTCGAGTTATTTTATTGCCACCCACGGGCCTTCCACACGCCCATTTACATATAACGCTTTGAAACAACTTTAAAAAGTGAGCAATGTCAGTGTTGTGATAATAGAGAATTTTCGTTATAAGTTGTTTCAAAAACTTATACGTATACTTATAGTTTAAAGGGTCTTGTCGAACTAAAATCAATTCAAATTGATTTTCATAATCTGTACCAAGTGGGGCATAACTATTCCCGATATAGTCAAGCTTCATCATCAACTAGGGACTGCGAATACAATGTCCTTTGCTAGTGTCAATTATGAACACGATAAACTAAATTCTAGTTGACGGGTCCTTGTAGTGTACGATAAACAAGACCCTTTAAAGTGAATCACTACACGAACGAGTCGATCATTTCAAAGTTCTCATGAAATTATAAGGTCAATTTTTAAGTTTTTACGTATAAAAGGGCCTTTATACGCAGATTATAAACTTACAGAGTTGGATCTCCGCATAGTATATGTGTGGACCTACTGACCAGAATGGCTTATTAAAATTAATCGGCTGAATAGGCATAGTATCCAATCAAATAGCTCGACTCATTCATTAGCTGAACTAATTCTCCCTTCGTTATTTCTACAAGGTGATTCAAAACGATCATCTACAAAAAATATATTTGAGAGTAGATAAATCTGTAAAACCCGTGTGCTATATCAGCCTATTTGATTCTAGAAAACACATATGACACAACTAAACATGCTTTACATCAAGGGGGTACGGATGGTATGCCATTGGCCCTTTTTATTACCGTCCTAGGAGATATTTCCCGACGAATTAGGAAATTATGAAACACCTTGTTTATTGGGTTTATAAGTATAAGTATACGTATAAGTTTTTAAAAAACTTATAACGAAAATTCTCTAATAACGCCCCTCATACCTATTTATTACAGGTCGTGTAGACCATTGTTGCCTGATTTATAGCAAAAACATTGACTTTTGCACGTTGATGATGATGATGATGATGATGCGCCTTTTATAATAGATCTCATATCTTAGAAGCGTATCAGTTCAAAAAATTCTAGAAGACCTTACATATTTTGCCATGCACTGCGCCTATTCATTTGGCAATTCAGTTGTAAATTTTATCTTGAAAAAAATAAATCTTCCAAATTTGTTGAGTTTTCTTGCAGAAATCGCCTACCCCCCCCCCTCCATCCATTTTGTATGATCACAAGGCGTGATTTAAGCTGCTGATATTCTTCTTTAAACGAGTCGGATTTTCAAAATCTATAAGTTGGACTCCCTTTATAGAAGCTTTGAACTGAATTTGCACTGCTTAATGCTGAAATTTTATTGTTTATCCATACATTTTAAGAAAAAATGTATAAAAAAAGATGTTAAAGCCAAATGTTGCCCTAAAAATTCAGAAAATGTAAAAAATTTCGAATTTTCTTAATATGTAAATTATCTAATCAAACACTTCGTCCACCATTTTGAAACACTAATCAATCCAATCTGTGCTAGCGATTCATAGGGCGAGCCAGTGGGATATTTCGAGGGTTCATACACACCTGAAAATGTCAGGGAAATTGACTTGATTTTCCAAGTGCTGGAAATGTCAGGTAATTTTAAAATTAGGTCAAAAGGGCCAAAGATGACAGGGAATTTTGAAACGGTAGACATGTCAGGGAAATGTCAGGGAAATTTGTATCAGTGTTGAAAAAATAATGTTCCAGAGATTAATGTTTCCAAACTGTTTTGAAACAAACTAACGTCTTGTTTTCAACCTACACCTTGCTCCTTTCTGTCGTATTTAATAAAACAAAAATAGTATATCACGGAGGGATACGAACCACTCACCTGGGACTTGGTTATTCACTAGCGCCATAGGCGTTCTACTATTCTGGATACAACTGACGAGTCGTATTTAGTGGAGACAAAAGTGAGGATCATTTTGAATTGACGCTCGGTATAAATATATAATACTTTTGTTCTTTCATATCGGTAGCTCGTTGGCCTCATGGTTAGCGTGCCTGGCTTCCATAGTCTAGGTTAGTTGATCGAGACCCGTTCATGTCGAACTTTTTGATTTGCTTGTTGTCAAGATATAATAAGTAGGGCAAAATCCAGAAAAAGTAGATCAAAAATACTCCAATGGAGTATAAAATTGTCACCAGGATTCCGGAATGAGACGAATGTTAACTCGTGAAATCTCGGTAGATAAGGTAGGTCAGAAAATCCGGATTAATCCGAACAAGGTCCGGGAATTTCCGTCATAAGAAGTAGGTCAAAAATACTCCAATGGAGTATAAAATTGTCACCAGGATTCCGAAATATGACGAATCGAATCGGCAAACTTCGGTACAATAATGAAGTGCATAAAAATCGTGAAACAGGTGTCAGGGGCTTCCCTCATCTTTCCATAAATGGTTCTAAAAGCCTTATATGGATCTATCACGTGACATTCAAAATGACCTTCCTATATGGTTCTATGGGCCTTATATGGATCTTTCGAACACGTGACCAAATCAAAATCAAAATCAAAATTTTACTTTGACCATTGGATGGGATTTCATAGAAAATATCAAAGAAAACATATTCTCGTGATCCTTAAATCACTTAAATTCGATCATTTTATCTTCACCCCTTGATGGAATTTTATGAAAGAAGTTATGAAAACACATCATCATGTAAGGGTTTTCACCTAAATTAGCTCGTTTTATCTTGACCCTTCAATTGAATTTCATTGAAAAATGTTTCATGAAAAATATCATGTTATGATTTGTATTTAAATAAGACCGTTTCATTTAAATACTTGCTGGATAATATTTCATTAAAAAACGCACTTTAAAAATATTTCAGGATTTGCCTTAATTTATCAATGTAATGTAAGTATTAGATTGACTCTCAAATAGGGTTCTATTTTAACTTTTTTATTGAAATTAATACTAGGCAGGACTCACTCTCTAAATAGCTAATAAAAATTCAACCCTTGGATGTGATTTCGTTGAAAAAAAAATATGACAAGTCCAGAATCAAATGATTTGTCCAGAACCTCTTAAGATCCTGTTTATTGTGCTACTTTAGTGAACGGGAATTATTTTTCTACCGCTTGGGAGAGTTTGAGACACGAAACTTGGAAATTAGCTTATTGTGACAACTTGTGAACGTTGAGTTTTATTTTTGTCCCCAACTGTAGTCCCAGACAATATTTCCCTGGACTTAAACTGAAACGTTGGCATTGGTATGTTGTTTGTAAAATATCCTTACCAAAAATTGGATTTGCAATCCATTAATTTAAATTAGCTGAACAATTTGCCATATTACATTTTTTATTGTTTCAGATGAGCCAGAGATTGCGCCAATCAATCTGTGTATCGCCATACAGAAATCTTGCACAGTTAATAACAATGATGTTAAATGGGCCTATGAACATGCCAAAGGACTAATAAAAAACATTGATAATGCTGGGTTTATAAGTACTGTTATATACTCTGACGAAGGGGAAGTCCAGGTTTGTGAAGTCATTTATATAAATTTTAACATTTTTATGAATGTATTAAATTTTAAAATACTACTTCAATAAGTTTTCCATTTCTTCGTCTTCAAATGATAGTTTTCAAAATGTATCAAAATAAGTCACATATTAGTTTAAGATAATAACTAGCTTATCAATTGTTTCTACCTAGTAATTAATTTTATGTAACAAGAAAAGCTTAATGAAGATATAACTAATATAATGGATCGATGTACTGTAGCATAAATTGAGACGTGAACCCGACACCAAACTGAAATCGTTAAATAAGCCGTTCAAGAAATTCAAACCTCCTAGAAATCCTGAATGCGAAGATTGCAAGGCGAACACAAAATCTGCAATTCAAAAATGCTGGGATGAGTTTAACAGAACAAAGAACACACTACAGGATGTAATGATCATATACACCGACGGGGTGTCCTTTGATACGAGGTTTGATTTTCATCAATAGGAAGTCGAAGTTTGCAATGTATATACCTTCAATTTGATCACACTGACGAATTTTACAAGCTAATATTCCACACGCTACAATAAATACCAATGGGGCGAAATTACAGCCCTGCCGAATACCCCTTTCTAGTATAAAGGGCTCAGAAATCCAACCATTGTTATTTATACAACTAATTGTTTCATTATTTAAAACATTTATCCAGGTCAAATATGAATCACCGAAGCCAAATCTTCTAAATGAATCTAAAATAAAGTCTTTAGATATACTATCATACGCAGCCGAAAAATCCACTCCTACAATTATGCCATGTATTTCTTTATCTAATGAATATTTAATAATATCATCAATTAATCGAAGAGTCATACCAGATCACTGATCACTGATTTCAACACATTTGCAAGAGATTTGGCTGCTATCTTATAATCACTGTTTAGAACTGATGTGTGGCGCCAGTTACAGTAGGCAGTTACTCTCGGGGAAGGGTTTTTCCTTAATAGATTAATGTCATAACTGCTTGTCTTTGAGACCATAATAATTGACCATAATTTCAAGATAACTTACTGACAAAAAGTTTCCTTGAATATATTTTTGTCAGGCATTTTGCAATTCAGATTGTGAACTCCTAAGATACATGTAGTTAAACAGACCAAAACGTCTAAATTGTCCTAACCTGTAAACTTTGCACCTCGGCTAATCATGGGCTTTCAAGAGAAACACTTGATTTAGAAATGAGATTGTCAAAACAAAACTATTTTGCATATAAATCCTGCATGATTACTTTCAGCAGAGACATATAAATGTTTTATATGTCTCTGATTGCGGCTGGATTCATGTGATCTATCTTACACACTGGCGTAGTGTCACATACGCATAAAACGTTATCGCGTACTCTCAAAATTAAGAGAAAAGTTGATTATTTATAATGCACCACACTTAAAAATGTATTTCAAAACGCCCGAAAAAGTTTTAAATGCAATCCCATTTTCAAAATTTCCCCCGAACCCCCCACCCCCTACCCCCTAAGCTCATTCGCTTCTCTCACTCAAAACTCATGGTCTAATTAAAGATCCTAATACTATAAACAATGTATTCGTTTTCACTATAGGTTCAATCTAGCTGAAGAAAGACAAATCACGATAGAACATGCAGAGGGAAACAGGGCGAGGAACATTCAAACATTTGTCATAAAATACAAAAACCCCAACGGTCCAATCAAAGGAGATTTTGAATGGAGAGCATTGAACAACCCCGGGGCGTTGGCCGACTTACCACATCCCGAACCTATGAGTCTCACCAAGAATTTTAAGGCTACAGATTTCCTTAAAGATGTATGCGGGTCTATACCTGATTGTACACGTACGCCTATTTATTTTCATTAAAAAGAGTGTTTAGAACTAACATTATAACAATTTTGCCAAAATGACCAATACCAATTTTGAACTTAATACCTTTTTAGGGCGAAAGTTTTATGCCCTATTATTCCTAAAATAGGGAAATAGTGGGAAAATAAGTAAATCAACATATTGGAGAGTATAGGATTCAAATCCATGCGCTTGAATTCGAGGATATTGCCATCTTTATGAAATATTGTTTCAAGTTTTATACTCTGTCGACCTTGTACTGCTTGTTGTTTAAGATCTACAGCACCATGCACATGTTCTATATTTGTTTGTATGGACCACCTAACCTAAAGATATTGCGTTTCTCCTAATTGGCTCTCTTTTTTATTAGCTTATATTTTCAGCGAAACCGCCGTCTTGTGGTGAAATCGACCTCGTTCTGATTATTGATCGATCTAATAGTATTACAGTGCCTAATATAAAGCGTACCATCAAGTTCCTTGGCAGTATGGTTAAGAATCTTCAGGTTGATAGTGCCCACATACGCGTTGGTATCATCTCGTATAATCAGATTGTCTACGTACATTCGGATGTCAATGAAGCACTGAGCAAGAAAGATGTGCTGGCAAGAATTGCTACAATTCCAACTTCGAATGCATTGTAAGATATGATCTAAATACAGTACGTCCAAATACAAACCTGACTAATTGAGGCCAGTCAGTGCTACTTATCGAGGGTCAGCTGGAACAAGATTATTTCTCTCATCATTATTTTTCCATTTCAGGGCGACCCACACACACGAAGCACTGGCCAAGGCACGTGAAATGTTAAACAACAGTAGTAGAAGAGGAACTGCAAAGCAAGTAATTGTCGTGGCAACTGATGGTCAAACTTGGCTGTTGAAGGACAACGTTGGTGGTTACGCGGCCAAGTACGTATATCTTTTTAAATAGATGGCGGCTATAAAATACGCAATTAACACTTATTATATGAATTAGCAATTAGGTTTTACACTACAGATTGTGCAGTTTGTACTAATTGTACGATTAGGTTACTTCATCCATAGTTTATGTTTATGTTTATTTCTTTATAATTACACACAAATATACATACACTGCATGAGTGGGTGACACTTTAAAAAGTGTATATTCTTAACAAAAGCTTTAGAATAAAGGTCGTGTGTTGTGCAGTTCGATGTTAAGTGAGATTTCATGTCCTGGATTAAGTATCACTTTAGCATCATATACACTACAGAATGAAAAATGAATTTAGAGCAAAAACTGTTTTCAATATTCATTTAATACAAATAGGATAACGTTGACTTATGATGAAAGGATTTCCATGTTCGATGAAATTGCAAATTAAGACAAATGTTTTTGCTACTAGCGCAGTCAGATGTCCTTCAATCCATGAAGACCATTCTTGAAATACAGTACTTGATCACCCATATTTGACACTTTAAAATATGAATTTTTGCTAGATAATTGGGTTAAAATGTATTTTCCTCATTAAACACCACTTCTACAATGGGTTTTGTCTCAATTTCAAGGCTTAAAGCTATCATCAAATGAAGTCATTATATATACAATATACTTTTAAACCATATTTATTTATTTTTTATAATGTACCCCCTCACCTGCCTTGTAGGGGTGGGGGTCAGAGACTAAAAAATCCATGAAAATCACCCCCAAATCGCTTGCCCCGAAATCATTTTTTCCCTCAGACCAAGTGATTCTACAACTGCACCAAGTTTGTTGCTTTCCTGAAAAAGATGAACTATAAATGGCTCATTTCTGGACATCTGACTTCGCTATACATTGTGTTTGTAAGTTAATGAACATTCATGCTTATCTGCATGTGTGGAACCATTGGTTTTTACTAAGCATCCTGTTTGACTTGTTTTCTTTTGCATGTGTATTAGTTTCCTATTTCGACCGAATTGTACCATTAATTTAGTTTTAAAATGTTTGACTTCAACATCCCAAAACTGTGGCGTAACTCTTCAAACTAGTTACGGAAACGGATCAGTTTTCCTAACAAAATGTTGAAACCTCAAAGGTTCGATTTTTACATTTTCATTATATTTCTCGAGATGTATGCAATGTCTTCACGACCGTTTCGATACAACTATGTGTCAGCATCATATGTTTATGAAAATCTAATAATTTGTGAATGAATAGTTCACAAGGCACCAGAATGATCAAACCAAATACCTCGCTATTATTAGGTAAACGGAACGGTTAAAAAAGTGCAGCTGGAACCGTTTTTAATGTTCCGTTTTCGTAACTAAAGTGAAGAAGTACTAAGTATATTGATGATTTTATAGTTTCGTGAATTATACGTTCGCAAATGTTTAGATCTTCTAAAACATATGATGCTGACACACGTTTTAGCCAAATCATGGAAAAGTAAAATCGTACCTTCGTAGCTGCAACATTGTGTTACGATGCGTTGTCGTGACATTTTGAAGAGTTACTCGATCTCCACTGACGATGAGGGTTAGACGATGGGCATGCAAGCTGTTAATGTGGACCATGAAATAGTTATGCAACACTCTATAGGTTTGTTTCGGACAAACTGTATGGATCATCCTTCGGGTATATCTCTCCGATTTCTATGGTCATTCGAATACCGCAATCAGAATAAACCCCTTCAGGGATAAAGGTAATATCCAAATCCCTCATTGCACTATCCTTATTTACGGGAAGTAGATATAGCATATCTCACCGATGTAATAATTCATTTTATCTGTTTTCTCATTTAATTTAAGGCACAATTCTCCAATTACAGTTGAGGAAGCCAGACGCGCCAAGGAAGAAGGAGCTGAGTTATTTACTATAGGTATGTAGTGTATGATGGTCCATAATATCGAAATTCAAAAGACATTTTAGATTAACCGGAAAAACAAGGTGTTGGTAAACCGTTTTACAAAAGAGAACTTCAAACTATTAAAAAGAAACACGGCTGATCTAAAATACGATACCATCACACAATTCTTTTTCTTATTTTAATGTTAGGCTTACCAAACAGAGGAGGTGCTATAAGAGGAAGGGAGGAAGAATGGATCCCAATGTCTAGTGATCCTTATGAATGCCATTTCATTGACATGACAGAGCCAGATGTGACATTTGATGATCTAGTATTTGCACGGTTCCATATTTTAACACAGCTTTGTATATTTGGTAAGTTGTAAGGTTAAAATAAAACGATGCTCTTGTCTCATTGAACGATGTTTGCCCCCACCCCCACATGATACTTAATGACCCCATGGGAGTCGATTGTGGTTTATGGGGCAAGGTCCCACGGAGACCCAAGGACTCCCATAGAATCCCATACAATGTTAAATCTATGGAGGTCCTACTGTACCACATTTTTGTATGTTTGGCTTTAGGTTCCGACATATATGTGAAAGGTTTTGATTGTTCATTCTGTGACAAAACCACGCTCTACATGTAGCTAGATGACAAAAACTGATCGCATCCTTTAATTCACGTGCTACATTAAATTTTGTAGAAGAAGGCGAGTGTCAGTATGTCGCAGATGAAGAGGAAATCGAAAGACGTGCTGGAGAAGCTTTGGAGGAGGGAAGTGGTGAAATCTAGACTAATCACCATAGTGACACAAAACAATGAACGGAAACATTATATATTGATGGAATTAGTGCTATTTTATATTGGGAATATATGCTAGTACATGTAATTTACATTTGTAAATGTACTCAAGCTGAATAAAGGACCTTATTAACGTAATCTACATCATATCACATGTTATGCAACACTGGCATTGTAGTTTTATGATTACAACGGAGTATGCATTTATGAATTCCTGTCATGATCTTTTCATCCAAGACATTTTTACTGTTAATCGTTTAATAATTAAGTGGAATATACTTCTTTTCTATATTTATCTAACAGTGATCCCCTTAGATTTCATGTATTAAGGTCAGGGTGCATGATAGGAAATTTTCTGCATTCCTCAATTGAGTCACATGTTATTTTTCTAACAAGAATCACTCCTTCCCCACATTGTCTATATCTTCCAGTTTTGCACAAAGAGTACACTTATGTGCCTATTTTTTTCACTAAATTTTCTCATTTTTTATACATTTTACAAAACAAACCTTCTCACAAGGCTTTTCTAGGCACATAAGTGCACTATTTGTGCAAACTTGGAAGATGTAGACAATGTGGGGAAGGAGTTATTCTTGTTTGAAAAATAACATGTGACTCAATTGAGGAATGCAGAAAATTTCCCAACATGCACCCTGTCCTTAATTCAAATAGAGGCCAATGTCCAAACTTAAGTATTTGTATATTTAGGCCAAATCTAAATTCAAATTCCTTAATATAAGCCAAACCTTAACTGAAATATTTGAATATTAGCCAAATCTAAATTCAAATTTTGAATATAAGCCAAACCTGATCAAGTCTTGAGTCGGAGGATGTGAGTATCTGAATATGAGCCAAACCTAAATTCAAGTATTTGATATAAGCCAGACCTAAATTCAAGTTCTTTGTACTGGCCAAGCCCATTCAATTGATTGGGCTGGGCATGAACTGCATGATTGTATTTTTCAGATGAGTTGTAAACTCAAAATGTCATCTTCTAGCCCTTCTCACCAGGGCCCTATAGGACCAATTACCTAAAATGAAGAATACACAATTAGATTATTAAGAACAATAGCAAAAAGAACTCAACTATCAAAATATACAAAATATATTTTCCATAAAATTGAGGTATGATGCAATGACTCCGAAAGATGTTGACTGCATTTTGTATTTCACAATGTACGTATCAAATTGTAAAGGAAGTTGACAGAAACATGTAACTGAGTCGACGAAAATATAACAGGTTTTAACATGCTATCTAATGGAGACTTTCGGTTGCCAAACCTATGGAGGGGGCTTTTAGTTTTACCTTATTTTCTGTACTTGACGCTGAATAGCTGTCCTTTGCTGTCTCCTACAAGAAGTTTCCCATCATTGTTGATTGCAACTGCATACGGGTAATATACACCATCTGCACCCATGAGAACGTATCTGATGAATTTCCCAACGGGGCTTAGGAGAACAACCCTGTGGTTGAACGAATCCGCAACAAATATATAATCCCTTGTATCCCTGCAAACGCCATATGGGAATAAAAGGTTTTCCTCACCAGAACCTTGGCTTCCATACCTGAAGACTTCTGTACCATCTCTTGCGATACCTCTTATACAGTGCTCTTTGAGGTCACTCATTATATTGACGCCTTTACTGTTAATTGTAAGATGGTGAGGGTTGTTGAAAACGCCTGGCTTGATTTGGGGTTGCCATATTGCTTGAGTAACATGATGCATTTGGTTACTAGCTCCGTCAGTCACCGTCAGATCACCGTTTGGATTAACAGCAATGCTCTTCAATTGTTTTAAACCACCACATTCAGCATCGTATTTGTAACAACCGTCAATATCATAGATACTGATTTTGTTGGTGGAGCCATCTATGAACGCAAGGTTTCCATCATTCATTAAAGCAACACGATAAAACTGCTTTTCCAAATCCTTTTTTAGCTTATGGCTGTTATCATACAATTTTGTCATATTGCCCCCAAGTGCTACATATTCACCTGCAGGTGTGACAGTTAGATCGAATATGCAACTTGGATGTAACTTATTACTAGATATGATAGGGTCACATAAATGTCCGAGGGCATCCACATTCAATGGTTCTCGCACGTTTACCTCGCTTATTTTCGTACGATTCACCTTTCCAAATTCAACTTTATCACCATCACATATTCCTTCAACGAATCTTAATTCAATCGTTTGACCAAAAGAGGTGCATTTAGACCATTCTTCATATTTCTCATTGACCTTTATTCTAAGACTTGCAATTTCGATAGGGTTGCTATGCTTTACTAAATGTTGGTATTTGTTGATTTTACGCTCAAACATTTCCTTCTGACGTTTCAGTTGGTCAATATGGGACATGGCCTGCCTTGCGTTGGATTCTTTTTCTTTAATCACCTCCTCGGTCAGGGATTTGTATTTCACACGAAGAGTGTTCATCGAGGTTTTCAAGCCATTTTCTATTTCAGTTGTGATATTATCAGTATTTCGTTCAAGTTGACTTTTATAGGCTTGTGTATCTTGGATTGCCGTTTCATAGCTGTCCAGTAGCTGCTGACTGTTTGCTATGACGTCACGAATCTGCGTCGAATTGTTTTCGCTTCTCTCTGTAATTTGGTCACAAGCATGGTCCAAATGATTAATGTCATAACACTGAGAACAAAGAAGCATCCCGTCAACCCTACAGTAGAGATGTAACGGATTACTTGGGTGTCGTTTACAATATACTGTTTTTTCTTTTATATTCTTATGGGTTGTGGTTAAGTCGTTCGTTTGATCTGCTGTAAATTCAAGAACATTATGATTTTCCATTAGTGCGTCGTGAATATCCTTGCACATGCAACACAAATATTTACTGCAATCAAAGCATCGGACCGTAGCTTGGTTGCACTTGTTTTTCGATTTTGATTCAAAACCCACATCACACGGTGGTAGCCCTGCTTTAATAATTTTCCGCGTTTGAGTGTCATCGTTCCGCTTCTTAAACTTATCTAAAATGGTTGTAATCACAGGGCTTACTTTTAAATCTGCCACTCCCATATTTGCCACGTCATGACGGCATACTGGGCATTTCAGCGATTGTATTTCCATATTTTCAGTTAGACCGTTTAGGCATTTACGGCAATATGTATGCATACACGGCAGTGTCTTTGGATCTGTAAATATCTCTAGACATATCCCACAAGTTAGAATATCCTTTTCGTCATCACTTCTAGAAGCCATTGCTAGTTCGAACACGTTCGGTTATATTCTGATGTGAATCTAAAGTTGTTCTCTTCTACCCCGTAGTATCCACCTGACGACCGAACTTCACCCGGTGGTTACATAATACTTGAGTAAATGTATCTCAATAAAATACCCTTCTAACTTTTTATCTAACTTTTTATAGTTACTTTATTAGTAATTTTAATTGTTTATCAGATGATGAACCTCCTATATTTGTCATCTTAAATGTTAAATGTTTTCACTTCCTTGTCGGCAAGTATATATTTTATGTTCAACAGTTCTTAGAAGTCACTACACTGACTACACATACTGTTCTATACAGACTATTCAATATGATCAATGAATGTAAAATTTCGTTATAAATGCTACACCCTCTCATTAAAATATGAAGTCATGGGCTTTCAAGAAAACTTTAAAACTAATCGTTGGTTGTACTCATTGACCTTATTACTTAAGCTTAGTGATTAGAGTGTTTTTTAAATTTTAGACCTCATTTTACCAAAGGGCAAAAGATGGCTCCCACATGATGCGAATGTCTGAAACAATCTACAAGGCGCAATGTTTTAGTGTCACTTACACTTTTTAAAAGTTATAAAATTGCACTAATTGCACTACCATTTGCGTACTATATAGTATTCAACGATCCCCTGTATTTATTCAATAAAATCAATTTACTCAATCAATGAGTTTGATGTTTAGTTATCACAGAAGTGCAGGGTGTTTAGTATAAGGTGAATATATGGATCTGGTATTTCGTTAGTATTAGTCCAACTATCATGAAAGAGGTAAGCATATACCTTGGACATTCTAAATTGATGTATTTAAAGATATTAACTAGTATTCGATCAGTTGATAATATGGTCACCAGATTGTTACCGAAGTGCGGATACTCGGAGCACTTGACGTGCTGAAATACGATCCCTGAATAATTCTGCTATCACATCGGGTGCGAGAACATCAACAAAACAGTGAACTTATTTTTACAAAGGTTTTGAAATGTTTTCATTTAGTTGTTGCTATGGTAACACATAATTTTAATAATAACTATGACATAATATAATGAAATGATCAAGTTATATGAATTGAAAAATGCTTTGAAGAAGAAACGCTCTGGGCAGAAGTTTAACTTCCACTGGGACAATGCCCCATCACACAAAGCTGGTCTTACACAAACTACTTGTACAATAGAGCTTCAACGTTCAATGATAGAACATGCTCCATACTCCCCGGACTTTGCTCCCAGTGATGTTTATTTTAATGAACTAAAAATGGTTTTAGAGGGAATCGATAATTGAGCTTCACAAAGTGATCCTTGCTAAATTCTCCCAGATGGGAAATAATGAGTTCGAGAGTGTTCGAGATTTTTTTGTTTTTTGAAAATACTCCGGGTGCGAATAGTTTCGTTTGCTATGGTAACCATATTATCAACCAAAAAGACGCACTAAATGTCCCTTTGTACCCTTAGCCTCTAATAACTTCAGAAGACATGCTTTCTCAAATAATAAGGAATATTATTTGATATGCTCATCAACTTTTATGATGTTTGGACCAATACTAACAAAATACCAGACCTATTCAGTGAGTATTCTCTTTATTTACTGAACACCATGTTTATCAATGAAAGGTACGAGGCTGAACCAACAAAATATAGAATATTTTGGGTAAATGAAAAATCAAAATTATATGTCCTTGCATATCCAGCTGGTATTTAAGCATAATGGCCAATTAGAATTTAAAAAAAAACGCATAGAATAAGTAGTAGAACATAGAACACTAACGAACAAGTTGCGTAGAATAAAGAAATACTGCCAAATGAGATTCAAATAACCCTTACTACGAATAGATACGATAGAAGCTCTCATATAATTGAAAAACTTAAGATAAAACTCAAGATCATTCAAGTAACTTAGAAATACTTTAAACATAATGAATTAATTGGAAATATTAGCGATAGGCCGAAGCAAAATACGAGGGTTGCTAACGGCTCCATCCCAAAATTAGCAGCAGTACGGTCCACATATTGAAGTAATAAAAAAATGAAAACGATCAAATCAAAAAAATAGTAAGTAAGCTCGCCATATAAAGTGTTGAATAGATGATACATTGAACATATTATTTTCATTAAAAAGATTACTTCATTTTCTGTGATAATTTCAGCGATAGTTCTTGTTGATAAACCTTTTGTGATTATTTATTAGTTGTAGCGATCATAAAATTGTCATATAACTAAAACTATTTGGTATTTTTTTCACTGATATCATATGAAGATCTCAATATGCTGTCAGATTTTAATGGTTGTTCACAATAAAGAATTGTAATTAAAATATGACTTATTGGAAACAATCATGCAATGGTAACCTCTTAATGGCTGTGTGCTGAAATTGGATTTGGTGGTTATTGCAAAAGCAAGAACTTATATAATTACATGATTTCTTCTCCGAGAAACTCATGCAACTAACATATGGCATGGTAACAGGATACTTCCGAACTTCTATAGTCTGTAGTAAGTTGTTTTTCAATTTGGAATTTGATGTATTGTTAGTACTTAATTACTTGAAGGACCCGTGAGAAGTTTGAAAATATAGTTTATTCATTCAAACGTAATTTGTCATGACTTGAAAACTATTTGAACCGATTTTTAAAAAATGTGACTCTTGTAAAAAGTTCTTCTTCTTATGATTTTAATTTCTTATGAATTTAATATTTGAATTTCCCGCCATTTTAGAAACGAAAGTTTAGATTTTCGAATCACCAAAGACAACACTTTGCACTGTAAAACACACTATTTTCTCCAGTCCTTTCCATAGATCAGGTATACCTTTCACCATGAGTACTTTCTGGGCAGTCACTGTTTTTTTATTAAAACAATATGTTTTTTTCAAGTGAAGTCCCCATGATGATAAAAATATCAACCGAACAATTCGAAAAATCATAAATAGGGACCCCACGTCAAAATTTTTTTCAAAATGTTGAACTTATTTGCTCAAAAGAGGATCTTCTTTTTCTGATTTTTATTGCATGAAAACATTATTCAACAAGGGGTCTAAAACATTTTCAAAGGTAGAATGGTATTGAAAGTCTAGTTTTGAAGATATCAATTTTCGATGACCAAAATCATGCTGAAAACAATGGATAGCATGAATTTTTCCTATGGGAAAATAACATGGGAAAAGTAATTTTTAACTTTATCGCATTTCAATACCAATCCCCTTTTCAGAAGTTATTAATATAGTGTAGAAGAAACCTTTTAATTTAAATTGAGAAAAACAAGATCCTCTTTTTAGAAAATAAGCCTTACACTTTTAAAATAGTGACAAGGTGGGGTCCTAATCCATAATTTTTCAGAGAGTGGGATTGATATTTTACTATCACGGGGACGTCACTTTAAAGTAAACATATTGTTTTAATAAAAACCAATGTATTTATACCCAGAAAATACTCATGGTGAAAGATATGACTGTCTAAAATCACTTGCCAAACTGCACATGGACCTTTCCTAATTCTAACAAAAGATGTTAGAATACATGTTATGTGTTGTAGTGTAAATTATCGCTTGACAAAGTATGTGATCCTCTGACATACTATATAGAATCTTATTTGAAATAAATTTACAATTTTCGAACAAAAAGTCCTTCAAAATCAACTTTTAGAAATTAAATTGAAAAGTCTCACATACCACATTTTGATAACATTGTGTACACTAACTACAAAACAACTTTATACGGGGTCTTTAAATCATTTATTCGACACTATTATTGCATATGTAACTATTACGGGACTTTGAAAAAAACAAGTTTGTGAAATAATTTGCAAGGAGTCATAACAAAGGCATTACGGACATCTCAATTAATAGATAAGGCTGATTGAGTTAAAATATATCCTCCAAGATTGAAACTTATATCCGCTTCTGTGGCGATAAAATAATATCAGTGCGGTACGTAAATGTATTATATAAAAATGTCATGCTATTGTTCAAAACACATTACGCATATTAGAACTTTTATTGTTATTTTTGTTTGTTATTTAATTGGGACTTTTTATCGTTGGCGGATGAGTATTATACGACTGGATATTGTAAAAGCAGGAGCAATCTAAGAGCACTTGGATAATATCATTACGGTCGACTTTGTTAAGGTAAGTGTATGAATATTTTTCACTTATTATTATTAGCTATTCCCCTTTGCCTATTAACGCAGTGTTTAGTTGTTGAAAGGCAAGACCGCACATGATCTAATTTAACTGTAGCAACATAAGACAGCAATTTTCTTCACAAAATGTTGATATATGAAAGCAAAATGACCAAAAAGTAAAACTTGAAAGTATACATGTACATAAGCTACACGCTCTATGAAGAAGAAACATTTAAAAGTATCAGTAGCAGTCATAAAAACAAACCCCAATAAATGGTTATCGGACGTATAAATAGGATGTTCCCAACAAGGCATAAACAAAGGGCAGGGGGCACTACAAAAATGTTTTCATAATTGAAGCCGTTCCTCTTTTTCTACTTTAGCTTTTAAGATTAAACTGTTTTTTAGATTGTCAAAGTAGTCGATATCAGGTCTTGTAATATGACCAAAACAGGATGCACATGTTTTTAGTATATTTTGATAAGTGCACATTTTTCTTCATTTGGTCGCCATTTCTAAAAATTGTCTCAGAATCTCCATTTGATTTTTTTTTTATAAAATTAGGTTTCTATAGTTTTATAGTATTTATAGTGATGGCATTTCCTAATCACATATGAAATAAAGAAAGTGACTTGTTACTAAGGAAAAGTTTTAAAATCTCAGTCTTGCGCATTGACACGTTTTCTGCTGACCTTCTGCTTGACCTTCACCTTGAAATTAGTTGCTGAAATTGGAAATCCATTTATAATATTATAGAATTATGTAGATTACACTTAAAATGAGCGCCAGTGCTTTAAAGATAACATCTGGTATGAAACACATGAATATCACATTTAAATACAAAACCATTAATTAATTCATTCGCAAAATAGGATGCCATACATATATTTCAGTATGAAACGTTATACCTAGGATCAAAATTCATTCATATGGCATTGAGTAAATAATCCCAGGACAAACATTAATAAGAGGGCATTGTTCTCCGAGTACAATTACATCACAGGTCACCGTGTCCTAAAGTGCAATTATATGTACAGGTAAATTGTGCATTACATAGCCCTGTTCATTGAACCAATGCAATTAATAATTGACAATTATACTACAGGACATAGTGCATAGGATGCAATTTCAAATATTTATCACAGGGTCAAGGTGCCCCAAGGTGATACCATATTTGCAAGTTGCACATTGAGGCTAACTTGCATTCTGATACTCATAGCATATCTCTCATATACTCCCTGACACATGCCAACGAATGTAACATATTAAGTAAATATCTCCGTTTTAAATAATTTTGTGAACGTTGTTCTCTACAGGGGCCATTTTTATAATTAAAAAACAAAATTGAACATTTTGCATTTCTAAATTGATAAGTTTCTTGGAATACAACTTAACCGTTGATGATTTAAGTTATTAATAATATTTCCCTTAGTGATCCCATGCTAAATAGACAGTAACTGGGTCATTGTTTTGTGCTCAACCTTGTTTTCATGACTTTTAAACATGAGTCGACAATTATGTAGGAAATTTCAATTCCAAATGTAAGCGTGTCAACTCCTGTTTTTGCACAAAATGTAGCCTTTTATTATGATAGATCGCCAAAATCTGCATGTACCTCTCAATAAGGCGACATGTTTTTAAATTTATAGATGCTGAGCAATAAACTCAAACGAAAATCATACTCAAATCCGATACCATAATTATAAATTAAAATGAAACATTAAACTCACCAGGTTATATGATAAACCGTTTTGAGAATTGATGATTTGAGTTAACTGTGGATATTTATATAAAATATAAGTCGGCATGTATTCGACCGTTAATGTACACACATGATGTATGCATCAACGTGTGACTTAAATATCAATTTGTGACTATCATATTTTAAGTTCAAAAATTAAGTTGGAAGTGACAGTGGTTGGGGATTAACGAAAACGTCAATCACATCCAAATATCCAAACGACGTCAAGTATTAACAATACACTTTTCGTGCATCACGAACAAGGCAAGGTTCTTTGATCCAGCAATGTGCATCCCGAAAGAAAAAAATTCACAAATATCAACAAATTTCATTGTGCTGGATATTACATTCGAAATCACAACTTCCGAAATATTTGTCTCAACAAAGAATTGTAAGAACTTAAAACATGTTGTTAGTTTTTCAAACCGCATATCCTCATTAACGTTCTTTGACAAGGATGAATTCATTTGAAAACATGGATTTTCTTGATTATTCTTCAAAACTACCCTTGAAATATAAGTATGTGGGATATTACAGTATAAATTGACACGCATTTGTTTGCTCCATATCATGAAAAAATAAATGCAGTACCATCTCTCTATATTTGAAAACAGAAAGTTCATTTTGTATGTAAACAAGAAAAAATACATTTATGGTTGATTCATAATGAAAAATGACAAATAACATACACTCCCCTCCATAAGTTTGGCAACCTTTTTTCCCCATTGAACTACGTGTTAAAGCCTCCTTACCTTTGAATTTTTATTTACTTAACCGGCGATGAAATAACTTATAATATTGATGGAAACGTAACTTGACCTTATTTCCAATACCTCCAAATTTTCTCAATTTTTTCCTCAATTACAGTAGGTCAAAAATTGATAATAAATTTGATGAATTTTTGAAAATCGTCATTCCCATGTAATCCAATGGGAAATGGAGGGTTCGGGGCAAATCAGAAATCAGGATATCTTTTCAGTAAAAGATTCAGCAAAAAATATTTTTATATAGAAAATTGAATTGTCTAACTTTTTAAAACACTAAGTGTTTAGTTTATTTGATTAATATAAAAGTTACAGCGCTTCAAAGTCATTTTTGAAAATAATTTTTCGCCTCCTGTGTTATTTCAATGGGAGAGTTTTTTTGAAAAACAATTTTGACTTTAAAGCCCTATAACTTTGTTGAACCTGAAGAAACATATCAATTTTTTGTTAAATAAAGTTAGCAAATTCAATTGCCTGCCTAACTCGTATTTTTTGCAAGGACTCGGATGGATTGATATTCTGTCATATGACTTGCGGCAAACCTACCATTTCCCATTGGTTAACATGGGAATGTCGATTTTCAAAAATTCATCAAATTTATCATCAATTTTCGACCTATTGTTATTGAGAAAAAAAATTGAGAAAATTTGGAGGTATTGGAATTAAAGTCAAATTACGTTTCCATCAATAGTATAAGTATTTTCATCGCAGGTTCAGTAAATAAAAATTCAAAGGTAAAGAGGCTTTAACACGTAGTTCAATGAGGAAAAAAGGTTGCCAAACTTATGGAGGGGAGTGTACATCTTTTGAAGTAGGGGTATACAGGGACATAGTGGAAATTCAAAAATTTAGGCCATATCTCCAAGATTGCTTCACCAATATGTAACAGAACAATAAAATAATCATTTACACGTTTGCTGAAAGGTTTATTGAAAGTAATTTAACAGAGCTTTACTTCAATTGTGGCACCATTCTTAGTTAATATTGATGAACATACGAATATCGATAAATCTTAAAAGATTATGGACTTTTAAAAGTATTTCATTGCAAAATGTTTTGTGATTTGGTAAATAATTAAGATAACAAGAAACGCTGATCGATGCCAGATACGGCGAGCAATCTCGATGGTGTATTGTTCTACGAACATCAACATTCATCCCTTGTGACATAGAACGAGATTTTTTCAAAACAATAGCTTTATTTAATATCCTATTGAGCTTTAACAGTAGGATATTGTTCTTCTAATCTATAGTACTATTAGTTTTTATTTTCCAACCCACACCTGTAAGTATAAATAAACATGTTTCATGTGATACAAAATTTGAACATTATCAAATACAATATTTTGGTTTATTCCTTTAAACTTATAATATGTACTTTTACTTAATTTGGCGCCCGTCTTTATTCGACAGATCCTCCAAATTGTTAAAGTTCGCCAAATTAAGAAGTCGCCAAATTCAATATTTCATATTTCAATCGTAAATATGTATCAAATATACATTTCAATATTGCAAGTCCGCCATGATTAAGTTGTCACCAAATGTTCATAACAGCAAATACACCACAATAAGACGTATACGCCAAATACGCCAAAATAAGTATATACGCCAAATACGCCAAAATAAGTATATACGCCAAATACGCCAAAATAAGTATATACGCCAAATACGCCAAAATAAGTATATACGCCAAATACGCTAAAATAAGTATATACGCCAAATACGCCAAAATAAGTATATACGCCAAATACGCCAAAATAAGTATATACGCCAAATACGCCAAAATAAGTATATACGCCAAATACGCCAAAATAAGTAGCTCCAAATTAAGTAGAAGTGCAATAATATATACTAGTTTATTCCATAATAACATGTTTTCCCCGGGAAAATAACAGGGAATAAAATTGGTATTCAAAAAATCCCGTATTAGATCCCGTATCAGCCAAAATCCCGTATTAGATTTCGTATCAGCCAAAATCCCATATCAGAACTGTCAGAAAACTTCATGAGACTTAATATTGTGTTATTATGGTATATTATGATCCATATTAGTATTATTAATTATTTCTATTCTAAAATTAAAGTTAATTAATTAATTAATTTTAAAATGTAATTCGATAACTTAGATTGTATCATTTAATGGGTGACGACATACAAAACAAGTTTCAGAAAAATATTATGGATTCAAACATGACCGTGCTCTATTCGAATTTCTCAACCAATCAGAATGCAGCATAGCCAATATAGAACGTTCTCTAATTCTCCATAGATGCACGACCATGCTCTATTCAATCTGCAATTTGCATTGTTTTGAGTGACGTCACATCTCAGCTGCACATCTTGGGCTCTGTCCGGGGATAGCTGTTCTTTTTTACAGAATCTTGACAGCATGCGTATTCTTCCTTCATGCCCGTTTTACTAATTTTTATGTTTGAATCTTCGGTTCGTGCTTTGTACAACATTCTGTCCAACTCGTGCTGAATTTCACCATATTGAATGGCCTATCATTATTTATTCCTTAAATAAATAGGTTATTGATGGTCGTGATGGAATATGAATTTTTCCTCGAGAAAATATGATATTGGCCTCGGAAAATATCATATTTTATTATATTTTTAAATTATTTAAGTGTCGTGGTTAATAAATTCACTAACAATTCATTAAACAACAATAACCCAGGCCGTCATCGACCTATAAGACACTGGCATGTACAAATTCAATAAATAGCAATAGTCATATTTACACTCGGGCTGTCGCCCTCGGTCAATATGATATTTTCCTTGGTCAATATAATATTTTCCCTAGAAATAAAATTCATATTCCACCCCTCCAATTAAATAATCTCTACATATTATTATTTTCTATCGTATGGGCAAAAATTTGCCCTAGCTGCCGATGAGATTTATTCTAGCTGTAAACTAAAAGAGGGATTCTGATCTAGCAATCAAGCCAAACAAATAACTGTTTCGGTTATCGAAAATGTTTGCCCATATTCCTTGTTTCTATTTCCTAAAGAATCACTTTACTTCAGGAAAACTAAAGGTTTTTACAATAATGTTTTATTTTTGTATAGTTACTGGGTAAACCATATCTATTATTTTGGAGAATTTTGAACATTTTTCTCAATTTTGACACGTTATATTTATCAATTTATTACAAATCCTGGCTCTTTTGGGGGATATTGTATTTTAGACTGTATGAAATATATTGGTATTGTACCCGATTTTTGCAATTTTGTGCCCATAAACATCTGATTCTGCGTTGCATATGTTCATTCTAGAATACTGATATGATGTTGAAACGGTGCAAAACTTGTATACAGTGTTTTAGAACAACTTATTTGTTTTACAGACACCGCTGCGGGCATTAGAATGACCCAAGTGTCTCATAAGCCAACACTTATATCATTTTACAGTGTTTCAATTCACATTAGGATTATATTGGACATGTAATATACTTTTTTTATCACAAGCGGCATTATAATAAATATTATAATAACAATAATAAATATCCATATAACAACAACAAGGAGCGATTGTAGAATATTGTGATAATTGTTATTTACAGTTTGAACACAACTCTGTCATTTACCGTAATGGAGTTTGATCATCCACCTGTATCAACAACAGTGTTTGTAATTCACATCTGTTTCGTGAAAACCGATGTAGCTAAAGCCTTGAAAATATGTTTTCTCTAGATTCCGTAAAATATGTGTATATTGAACATTTTTGCCGGGAACATGTTTAGTAAAGAACTGTAGTTTTCATCAAATTTTCCTAACAAAATTCACATTGAACTCGATAATCCTGCAATTTCAAGCCAGGACTTATTCAACGTTCCTTCGGTCCTGTTTTTGGACACCCTGTAGCTGATCATGTCAGAATTCGCAAATGCAAATGCAAATATGTAACTTGACTTATTTGATTACAGATCAAAATGTCGAGGTTTTTGCTGTCGTGTTTCCTATCTGTTGTGTTCCTTCCAATAAACTATGCAACCGTACTCACGAGTGATGAACTACACGCAGCTTATGGGGACGATATGGCCGCCATGGTTTGTGCATTTTTCCCAGAAAGATCGGATTGTAAGATCGAACGTAGCCGAACTGATCCAATAACGGATGCTACAAGGAACGTGTTGGAAAAGGCTAGGCTGAAGCTATGTACACCGTACGATTGCACAGGTGAGCTAGTTAACCTTTTAGTCTGAAAGAATATATTTTATTTTGAAACTTGGGGCCCTGGGGGGGGGGGGTAGTGGTCAAATCTTTGTACATGGGGGTGCCGCTTAGACTCAAAAGTAGACCCACTTCAAGGTAATTTTTAAAAAAACAAGACTCATTCTTTTTTCAAAAACAGTACCCAGTTTTAGGATTTTTCAAAAAGTAGACCCAGTTCTAGGGATTTTTCATCAAAATGGGACCCATGTCTAGGGGGTTTTCTTCAAAATGGGACCCACATCTAGGGATTTTTCGGCGAAAAAGTGACCCACTTTAGCGGCACGTCCCCATATAGCCAAAATATGGGAGTACCCCCCCCCCCTGGGGTTGGGGCATTGTGGTAACTACATGTTTTTCATATTGGTACAAAAGCATGAAAATGAAGTATTCTAGCTTGGACCTGTATTTGGGCCTGTATTTCTTATGTGATTTAATCAGAGACCGGGTTGTGTTTAGCATTTTTCAGTATTTCAAAATAAAAAAATGAAAATGATTACTGTGAGCAAGCTTCCAAGATTAGAATTCCAGGTTTGCAGCAACTTTCCAGGTTTAATCATTTCCACCAGCTTTGGCTGTAGTATTTACAATGGTAATGGATCTCTACAAATACTGAAATGATCGTTACAGGACTAGAATTGTAATATAAAGATAACTGGCCATCGCAATAACACAAAAGGGAGTCTTGCAAAATGTTACCACAAACTTACCAAGGCCATTTTTTCTTAATATGGTAACAATAACAATTTATGCCATCCATATTTTTTATGATCAACATTGATAATTTAAAAATGCAGTGCTTATTTCAAGTATGTTGCCCTCTTTTGAGATATTCACACAATAAACATATTATGATCTAGTATGGTTTAACATTTTCAGATGAGCCAAAAATTGCCCCAGTGAATCTATGTATTGCAATCCAAAAGTCATGCACAGTTAATAGTGATGACCTCACAAGGGCCTATAATCATGCCAAAGGCCTCATAAAAACTATTGACAATGCTGCAATGATAAGCACCGTGGTATACTCAGATGAGGCAAATGTCCAGGTAGGTCAAAGTAAAAAAATATGTCGTTGTAGAATTTATAGTCTGTACTCTCCGAATTGGAACACTCTCAAAATTGGATAAGGAGGGGCCCTGATAAATCAGAATGCATGCATTAAATGATGCTCCATCATTGGTCCTAGGGTATTTCACTCCTTTCTTCTGCGGTGCCCAGATCGATCGTGAAGGATGGCAATAAACACATGGCTTTTAACCGTTTTATTTAAAAATGAACTAAGCTTGTAAACAAATGGGATGAATCTCGGTTTTTGCCTTGTTGAATTATTCAGAAGGGAACATATTTATCCAAAAAATGAACAAAAGAGTAACAGACTTTGTATTTTCTCCCCCAACCTTTGGAGCATTAATAGACATGGAGTATTTCACCTTATGCATGTGAATAGCTGTTTTTAATTGTATTTTAGAATAAAATACAACGTCTGCCTAACACCACAATGAGATATCTTAATAAACTTCTAAAGAAATTTAGTCCTCCCAAGTACAAAAAAGACAAACCGTGTGAGGATAAACAGGCTATCACTGAAGATGCAATTCAAAAATGCTGGGATGAGTTTAACAAAACAGATAACAAATTGCAAGATGTCATGATTATATACACCAACGGTGTCTCATTTAAAACAAGGTTAGGCTTAGTAGACATGTCGTTTTCGGACTGTGGCGAATAGGGAATTAATGTTATCTGAACCATTAAAATGATAGCGTTAATTTCAATCCTTGTTATCCCTGAATGACTGTAGTTTTCATTACTGCATTTTCAAGATGAAACATCTTTTACTTAATAATCAATTAACGATTGATGTTAATCATATTATAGCGCAGGTGACGTTAGAGATCAAACAATAGAAAAAGCACAAGAAAACAGGGCTAAGAAAATTCAAACATTCGTGATTAAATACAAGAATCCAAGCGATTCAATAGATGGAGATGACGAATGGAATGCACTGAACAACCCAAGTGTTTTAGAGGATCTCCCTCATCCTAAACCGTTAAGTCTAACAAGGAAGTTGAAGGTGCCCACATTTTTGACAGATGATGCCTGTGAAGCGATCCCTGATTGTACAAGTACGTCGACTTTGTTCTCAATATTTCAAATTTCTATGTATCTCTGAAAATCTTTGAAAAATAATTAATATTCCAATATCGATTAGAAACGTTAACATATGAATGTATAGACGTTCACTTATGCTGCGACACTGATTGTCACAAGACACTTAAGCAACAAGAAAGAATGGTAAATATTTTTTGCTATGTAAGCTGAGTATGAGGTCACATGATTTAGATAAATTCATTTAAACTCCCACCCCATCACCCCCATACACATTATTCTCATGTTTTTGTTGTTTTACTTTCTGTAATACTGTACAATATCTTGTTTTTAGCTCAGCTTAGCCTGTACACTAACTTGCGTTTCTTTTAATTTTGACAGCTAAACGTATGTATTATTTTGTTTTTATTTAAAGAAAAACCAGTGCCATGTGGCGAAATTGACCTCGTTTTCATTGTGGACCGATCCAACAGCACCACAGTGGGGAACATCAATCGTACACTGACTTTCCTCAGTACGTTGGTAAAGAATCTTCAATTTGGCGGAAAACAGATCCGAATTGGTATCATCACGTATAATCAAAAAGTCACCGTTCATCTATCTGTGAACGAAACATTGAACAACGATGAAATACTGGCGAGAATCGATGAGATTCCAACTTCGAATGCCATGTAAGTGATTTTAGGAGAATTATATATATATATATATTATATATATAATTATATATATTCTTTCCCTTTAAATGTTACTACTTAATTCCCATCAATGTTGGATTCATCACAGTCATATATTAATTGATCTTGTATTTTACACAAGCTGGACTGTTATCCTTTGGTCAGTTATTACCTTCATTTATGCCTTTGAATATTAGGGGGGCTCACACACACGAAGCATTGGCCAAGGCCCGTGGAATGTTAAAGGGTAGTGGCAGGAAGGACTCGGCAAGGCAGGTTATAGTTATGATGTCTAATGGCCAAACATGGTTAATGAAGGACAATATAGGAGGACATGAGGCGAAGTAAGTATTGAAACAAACGAATTAATAATTGCACCGTAAGTGTTATAATATCATAGGATAAGGGGAAAAGTAAGAAAATAATCCAATAAGGAATGACCGATCGCGAGAGCAACATAAAATTTATTTGGGTAGTTGTGGTACGTTTTGTTTAAACAGAAAATGGAACCATTGACAAATGAAAAAACATATCACATGCCAAACTAAAAAAAAACACTGAGGAATAGCCTCGCCAACATTGTCAAATTTTAAGCAGCAGTTGGATCAAATCAGATTGTTTCTTAATGAAAAGCTCTCCCCACAATGAACTAATTTATTGGTTTTTGTAAAAGGTTTAATTAAATATGTATATCCATGGATTAAACAGTTATGAATGATAATGATACGCCTATATATCATATAAATGTTGCTGACATAAAAGGATGAATATATGATTGTATCAAAATAAAAGCATACGTAAACTAATATCGTACAGAATGTGGTGATAACATCATGTAGATAAGTACATGAATAAAAACAATACATTAAGTACTTTGATAATACAATGTAGGAAAATCGTAGGAATAAAAAATAATGTAATGCTTGTGAACCAATTTAGTCGGAACATGATATCATTTAATGTATCTGATTGAAGGTTCATAAAGGTGCAATATGTGGAGAATTCTACTCTTAGCATTCCTATGAAAAAACGAATTATTTTAAGAACCTCAATTTTGCTCACGAATGATCTCGGCTTTCAACTTTCAATGTTCAATTTTCTTATTGTTTTTCAATATTTTTTCAGTCTGTCAAACGAGCAAAAATGATCGACAAATACCTCATTATGAAACAAAACCCAATGATATGATATGATATGATATGGCCTAGTACATGTATTTGTGGAGATTAATGACATTTTTTCCTCTATTTGACCATTGCTCTGTACTGATGTTCTGTCTTCTTTAATTTCAGGCAAAATTCTGCATTAACAATCGAACAGGCCAAACTAGCTAAAGAAGAAGGCGATGAAATATTTGTCATAGGTATTGTATTCCAAAAAAATCGATAAAGGTGACAAAACAACAACAACGTACACAAACAACCCATAAGCTGAAGACGGTCATGAAAGCGTTAAGTCAAACCTTTAAAAACGCTCACCTTATCGACACCCCAGTTTGACATGACGTCCATACACGTTTAGCAAAATATTATTCGATGTATGTTAACAATGGTCTACATTTTGAAGTTGTATTAACTTCTTTTATTATAATTGATTAATTTGCTAAAATCCCCAGACACAGGCACTTGGTCCTAAAGGAGACTACGATGGACAAACTTTATAATGCAATGTATGCATATGCGTTATTCACATCGATCAGATATCAATCGCATTATATTGTCATTATATACCATGTAAAATTTGCATTGTATGTTTTTGTAATTGTGTGTATAGTTTTAGTTTTATTTTATCATGTTTATTTGCTGTACACTTACCCGAAAGGGATTTTTAGTACAATAAAGCATTGAAATATACTTGTAGATGATTTATCAACTTACCTTAAATTGACAGAGTTTTTTCAAAATCATCTACAAGTACTCAAAAGTTCAAATCTGGCTTTTGATTGAACTCTTAAATATTGTGAGCAACTAGGTGGTGGCATTTTGTCATGCTTATGCTTATCTGTTGAAAAGGAATAATAGATATATGTTGCCATGTTTTTTATAAACCAGTGATATCCAAATTAAATCCATCTTACACATGTACCATTTTAGGATGAAAAATGGTGACATCGTACAAGGGTAAAGATGGATGTTTCTTGGTTAGTCATATGAGAAGAAACTTAATAATCGTTTGTCTTACTTTGTAGGACTACCTGGTAAAGACGATTCGGAAGAGAATGGGAAATCAGAATGGATCTCAATATCCAGTGTCCCCCACGAGTGTCATTTCATTGATATGACAGGTCCAGATGCCACATTTGAAGATCTCAAATATGCGCGGTTCCATATATTAACACACCTTTGTATATTTGGTTAGTATGATGTCTATAATAAAAATGTCAACTTCGTTTTGTTTTGGCTTATCACATCCCCCCTATCACATCAAACTAGTTCTTACCCGTTCTTGCCAGTCGTACTGGCAACGTCGTAAAACGGGCTCAATCTGTCTGTGGTCGGGAAATATGTCTAAAATAATTGGCTACTTCGTTCATAAACAGTCTTCAATACGTCCATCTCATTCGCAGTTCGTTCAGGCTGCACCACGAAAGGTGTGCAACGTCGTATAACGCATACTTAGTCTAGAAGGTCATCATGACCTGATTGCAGAACGGTATGGTCGCCATCGAATTTTGAATCGATTCAAAATTCTAAATCACATTCCCCGTCCATGAAGCTCGTAAACAGACCCTAGAACCTACCCGTTCGAGAACGCTCGATGAAGTTTGTAAATATACCCCAAAGTACGTTCGTACACAGTTGAAGCCCGTTTTCGAGAACGTAGTAAAAACTAGTTTGGTGTGATAGTAGGGTTAATAAATGTGACATTTTATTGTTGCTCTGTTCTACCCCCATTTATTTCTATAATATTTTAGACATTTATTTTTAAAATGAGACCAGTAATAATGAGTTTAATCAAGACTTAGTTAAAGCATCATCTCGGGACATGACTAGCCGCCACAAAACAAAGTGTCGTTGTTATTGGTTTTGTGCTGTATATACCAGGTAATGAATTATGATTATCAAATTGAGGATTTAATAATTATGATACTGTTAATTCATTACACTTTGATATGCATTTTTAGATGAAGGAGAATGCCAGTATGCCCAACATGAAGAGGATTCGGATATAGAAAATGAAAACAATGGAGCAGAAAAATAGACAGAATAGTTAACCATATTAAGTAATTAGATGATGGCACATTGGAGTCATTGTATATGAACTGAACTTTAGGGAAAATGGTTAAAGCCTGGGATCCGGTGTGAAAGAAATGATGGTCCCCCAGGGATTATGGTCCCCTTTCTTATTTTACATGTAGATACGCATCTAACAGTGTCTTGCTGTAAGCATAATCTAAATAAATGAAAATAAAATAGAATAATAATATATTCTGCCTTCCAGCCAAGCTGACTACTGAAGACCTTTACCGATGAAACAACCCAGTTATCTAAACAATTTAAATACGTCATCCCAACCGCCAGGAACAAGATTAAACAAGCTTGGCCTTTTAAAATAACAAGCCAAAGCAACAGTTTGATCGTCATCTATCCTGCCATTTTTCAACCAGTCCTCCAAAACATCTTTGTAAAGTTTATAAAAGTTTTGTATGGCTTTCTTAGATCCTCCGAAAAAACCGCCACTAATAACTGGAGCTACAGCCATTTTATACAATCGATTGATGTCTGGTTTATAGATATCGACAGGCTCGAGTTTTACATATGAAATGGTATTGTTTAGAATGTTGCAAGGGGCCCAGGGACAGTCCTCAGGTGGAAAGATGTCGCTGTTGCCGTGACCATAACCAGCGTCCATCCAAAAGAAATAATCAGAATGAAATGTATTTCGAAGTGTCGTTTCATACATGATGAAGAATTTTGCACTCATGAGAAAATTATATAATGGTGAAAATCCTTCAGGATTATTCAATTGTTCGTGGTTGGATTTGAATTCCTTTGATCCCATGACAGTTTCCATTTGACTTAGATAGTGATAAAATGTAAAATTGTTTAATTCAGTGAGAATGACTTCAGTTTTGTGCTCCTTTCCCTGTCGATGTCTTTCAACAAAATAGCGTCCTTTTTCCTCAACGTAAAATACTAAATTCACGTCAAGTTTAAGGACATTTTGAGCGAAAGTGAGATACTCTTGGTAGGTCCGTTCGTATGACGGCCAACGTTTTCTTCCTATATCAAACAGCGCAGTTACAATAGTGACACTCTTCCCTGAAAATAAGTCAAGAACACACCGGAATGGCCTTACAACGGTAAAGCCAGATACCGTTGTCACAAATGGCGGACATAACCGTGGGTTCAAATCTTTAATCACTTCGTCGCTAATTCTGTGCATGTATTAAGCTCTTGTGGTGATGTGCCATATGAAATCCCAATTTCGATCAAATTGGGTCGTGAATCCCCATCCCAATCTTCGATATCGTCAATGACAACGGAATCTGAATTTGAAATAATGTACAAAGACAACGGCAATACAGTGTCGTCCTTTGTCTTATTTTGTTCGGTTAAATTTAAAGTCTTTATTTCGATGGTAGAACAGTAATAACTGTACAATGAGTATAAAGACACTTTGATCGTTGTTCCAAAGGAATTTAGTCTATGTGCTCTATTAAACATACAGTTCATGAAAATCTAATTGAAGCGACGGTTATGTCCGCCATTTGTAACAACGGTATCTGACTTAACCGTTGTCAGGCTATTCCGGTGTGAAGAATAAGTTCATTTATTCACAGGTATACGATTGTGGTCTATATTATAAGACACTCATCTCATGATAAACTTTGTGAAATATTGTGTTTAATGGATTCTGACTTCAACTTGGGGATTAATGTCGACTCTTTACGAACTCCGAAATTAGATTTTGTCTATCCCACATCGTTCGAGAACAAATGCCCTTTTCATTATGAATACTAGTATCTTCAACTATTTTTTTTACCGTTATGAGTATTGGTTATCGATGCATATTTATTCCAAAACTTATTTTTCAATGGGTTATGTATAAATGAAATGTTCCTTGGTGTTATGGTCCCTGAATGTAATAACAGTAATGGTTGGGGTATATGATATCGTTTGTTTTCACGTTGGATTATGGGTTGGGAAAGTTAGAGTTTGTTTTCCTTATGCAACTGGTGTACACTTATGTTTTATTTATCTTTCTGGGCGTTGTAACAATTTTTTACCTTTGGCACTAAGTGCACATACATGCACTTTACAATAGTCAAGTACTTAGTACCCACCTTTCTGCTGGCAACATCCGCATTTACATACATGTAGTATCTCTTTGTTGGTATTCTTGGTTCGAAGTACCGTTTGGTTTTTAAAATGTGATATGACATCAGTGCTGACACTTTCAATTCTTGTGTATTTTATAAATGACTGATTTCCGTCGCTCCTTGTAGATACTTTTCTCAAGTGTATCTTATCTTGAAGAAGTTTATTCGCGAAATAAGTATGATTTTCTCTTTCAAATATTGCTTTAGTGGACGTTGAAGTTGCTCTATTTATCATTGGAAAAAGTAACATGCTGAATATCCATATGATGGAAATGAGTATAATCTTTCTCCTTACTAAGCAGTATCCCATCGTGATAATTTTTATGAAAGACGAACATGTATACCTGCACGCTGACTATTTAACTCAATCTAGGTAGCTGTTAAAGTCTACAAACTAAAGAGCACATACTTACAGCTCCACTGAACATACTATTTATGTGGGTAAATATACTAAAATATGTAAACAAAGAATATTGCTTTATATTAGATTTAATTCATTTTAATTCACTTCCTTCCATAATAAAGCCTATCTAGATGCTTTAATAATTACGGCATATAGTTCAGGTACATCCTAAGTGTTTTTGAGGTCATCATGACCTTTTAAAGGTCAAGTCAGTGTATATCTGCAAATCAAACATTCATGTGTGCAAAATTAAATCATCATTAAAAATCTTAAATGTGAAAATATGATAAAGAATGTTGTTAAGAACAATTTTGACCTTAACCTTTGAACTTTTGAAAGTAGGTCAAACGTTCAAATTTCGCAATTTTTTTTCATCGTATGTATCAATATGATGATATCCTTGTGAAAAGTCAATTATTTAAAATTTGAATGAACTAGGGGCAATGCTCCTTCTAACCCTGGGCACACACATATTTTGACATCTAGGCAGGTTATCAAATGCCCTCTAGTCATTATTCAATAGGATTGGTAGATCATAATCCACTTTGAATTTATACAGCATTAGATCCAAAATGGCTGCCCTAATCATGTGCTATATTTTTTTTATTCAACATCACTTTTATGCCTGGGTCACATAGCCGCCGGGCGCCGGCCGATGAGTAGTCATCGGCCGATTTATAAATCGACCGGGCGCCGGTGACTTTTCACCGATGTCTTGATCTAATCGTGAGTATGGTCACATTAGTACAGGCATCGTACGGCGCCCGCAATCAATTGAATCTGAAAGACATCGCATGGGTATCGCAAGGCTATCGGCCGATGGCCGTACGGGACCCACCAGGACATCGGTCGATTTACAGGCCTCTAGATTTATACTTAATCCCTGTATGACCCAGTATGACTGTTCCACATGGCGTGAATGCAACATTTGAAAACGAAATACTTTGATAAACAGGACTTCCAGGATAATAATGTTTTCATGCAATAAAAATCAGAAAAAGAAGATCATCTTTTGAGTAAATAGGTTCAATATTTAGAAAAAATGTTGACATGGGGTCCCTATTCATCATTTTTCGAATTGTTTGATTGATATTTTTTTCATTATGGGTACTTCAATTGAAAGAAAACATATTGTTTTAATAAAAACACTCTATTTGTGCCCAGAAGGTACTCATGGTGAAAGATATGACCGTCTAAAATCACTTGCCATACTGGACGTGGTATTTTCATCAAAGTGCACCCTGATCTTAATTCATTTTTAGATCTTTCATATAAAAAATATTATGTCTACCTGTCCATCCGATGCTATTAGCAAAATTCCCTATTTCTCCATCTTTCTTTCGTCTGTTCTTGTAAAGAGAATTAGTTTGGTCATAAAAATATGGCTTCAAAGAAATTGGCATATTTCTTCTGTTTCAAGTGGAGTACCCGCTTCCCTATAGACACATCTAAATCTTCATCATCCACCAGCTCAGTAGCATTGTTATTGTCTTTTTCCACCTGTCTTCCCAAGGCCTTCCTCATATATGGCCCATTGGCCTTATCCCCTCTATCCTTAGCCTTTGGCATATTACGTTGTAATTGAGACGTAATTAATCTTAGTAAAATTGTGACCCTTGAAATTACTGTACTCACAAAAACATTCCGAAGGTTTTTAAAATAAATGATTTGTAATTGTATATGCATGAGTGAATATACGCATAAAAATGTAACACTCTATTCAATGTGTATGACAGACATACACGATTAATGTCAATATAAGAACGACTAGATCAACCCACCCACCCAGCCATTCAAATGTGTGCCATTGTTTTATGTACAGTAAGCTTAATCGTTCCATTTATGTTTTATAAAATCTCTGACAGTGTGTAGTAATTATAATTCCTTACCTCATTATTTTTAAAACCTTAATATCACTTTATAAGTAATCATTATTAAGATTTATCCAACAAATCAGCACGCAAAATCCAAAGATGACCGTGCGATGCCACCGGGCGCCGTAAGATAATCGTACGATGATCGGGCGGGACACGGCCGGGTAGGTACCGATGAGTTTGGTTGAGAAAAAATCGCCAAGACATCGGCAACTTTTATCTCCGCGATAAAACTCTGCCGGCGCCCGTACGATGTCTAAAAATCGGCCGATGAGTGGCGATCATCGCCCGGCGCCCGTACGATGCCCGGGCTCGCCGGCCGATTTTGAACAAAATACTCATCGGCCGGGCGCCGCAGTGAAAATCGGAGCCTATGTGACCAAGGCATTACAGTGCTTCCGCAGGCCTGGCCCACACTAATTTTATCACTAAAGTGTGCCCCCTGTCATAATGTTTGCATTGAGGCATAAATAAGAGTGGGCGAGGCCTGCGGAAGCAATAAACCGTTCGAATATATGAGCCACATTGATACAACAAGGAAGTGAAAAAGACGCATGATATAAAAAGCGGGTCACATTTGATTGCATCCAATGAATTTAGATTTAAGTGCCTCCAAACTATAAGGCATGAATAAAGCTTGATATTGCTAGAATATTGAATGTGAATATATTCTTAAACCTCAGAAAAATGATTATCAATAGAAAAACACATAATTTTGGCAAAGAAATGGGTCACTCTTTGAATTGCCTGAAAACATGTTCTTGAGTTGATTTAATTTCAAAATAAGTATGACATTAGTGAGTTAAGACTGTTACCTTCATTATTTCATAAGAATTTAACATGTGGTCGTACATTGGATTTATACATTATTTATAGTGACACTTGTAGAGACAGATCCTTTTCATGTTTTGGCGTAGTGTTGAATTTACACCTTCCTCCTGCAAAGGATAAGTTACTATTGTAATTGGTCAATTGAGAACTTTCGATATAGGTTATTTGGAACACGTATATACATTCAACCATCTACTTGTACAAGTCAGCTTTAGCACTGGGGAGGAACTCTGGAAACGAAGATAGGATGCTTTCATCCTTCAAATCACAACAAATTATTTGGAAAGTCTGTAGTTCGTGAGTTCCGGTTTCAAAATATGTTTTGCTGGTTTCTTTTAGAAACCTTCCTCCCCAGTGGTGCTTACGTCATTTTTTAAGTTAAAGTTGCAGTATAAGTTTGGCCGAAAACTTATTTCGAAAGCTCTCTATTGTATCACTCAACACTTTTTATTAGATTGTATCCTAGCACTATAAATAATTATAAATTGTACTGATGTAAATAAAATAAAAATAAACATTAACGTTTATCAACAGAAATTTAAAATTCCCTGTGCGACTGCCATAGGAAATGTGATTGCAAAAGTATCCGACCGCAGGAATGATCGACCGTACGGTTCGAGCGAACCCTCCCTGGCCAAATTTATTTTAAAAACATGCAGTTTTTCACCATTCAAAAGCTTTATTTATGAAGCTATTAGCTTTCATTTTATACTAATGTAGACGCATCTCTTTGTAACACTGTAAAATATGTCTAAATAAATGAAAAGGTATATGCACAGAATATTACATAGACCTTTATCGCTGAAATATATAATGCACCAGTTAATTGAACAATTTAAATACGTCTTTCCAACCTCCAGGCACAAGATTAAACAAGCTTGGCCTTTCAAAATAACAAGCCAAAGCAATAGTTTGATCGTCATCAATCCTGCCATTCTTTAACCAGTCCTCCAAAACATCTTTGTAAAGTTTATAAAAGTTTTGTATGACTTTTTTAGATCCTCCGAAAAACCCGCCATTAATGACTGGAGGTACAGCCATTTTGTACAATCGATTGATGTTTGGTTTATAGACGTCGGTAGGACCGAGTCTAATATATGAAATCGTATCGTTTAGAATGTTGCAAGGGGCCCAGGGACAATCCTCGGGTGGAAAGATGTCACTATTACCGTGACCATAACCAGCGTCCATCCAAAAGAAATAATCAGAATGAAATGTATTTCGAAGTGTCGTTTCATACATGATGAAGAATTTTGCACTCATGAGAAAATTATATAATGGTGAAAATCCTTCAGGATTATTCAATTGTTGGTGGTTGGATTTGAATTCCTTTGATCCCATGATCGTTTCCATTTCACTTAGATAGTTATAAAATGTAAAATTCTTCCAGTCAGTGAGAACGACTTCAGTTTTGTGTTCCTTTCCCTGTCGATGTTTTTCAACAAAATAGCGTCCTTTTTCCTCAACGTAAAATACTAAATTCACGTCAAGTTTAAGGACATTTTGAGCGAAATTGAGATAGTCTTGGTAGGTTCGTTTGTATGACGGCCAACGCTTTCTTCCTATATCAAACAGCGCAGTTACGATAGTGACACTCTTCCCTGAAAATAAGTCAATTACAAGTCTTTGTTTATCTATTTTACAGGCATAAAAACAATTGTGGTGTGTACCAAATTAAGCAGGACAGTTGAACGCGAGGGGTAAGGTACAAGGCGAGGGTGGTGAAATATGTGCAAACTGATATTTTCATCCATTCAGAAAGATCTTGTCTAGTTTCTAGATATTTTTATATGTACAGGGTGGTCATAAAAATTGAAACATTTGTTAGTTGAACGCAAAACCTTTATTTTTCCTCTAAAATGCACCAAAATTTTACTAAGCATAGTTCAGTCACTTCTTTATCTGATGTAAAGTTCATTAGTTAAAACCACAAAGTTAATGCATTAAACTAATCAATGTTTCATAGGTCCCCCTTTTCGTAAACATACACTTGTCAATATTGCCACTACTGATTATTTATTTTTTTAAGAATACCCCAAATCATTATTTTTTATTTAAAGTCCCCGTCTAAAGTTTGTAAATATTTTTTCATCATTCATACTCGTATACTGTTTGTCATGACTTGAAAAGTTATTTTAGAGATTTTTGAAAAAAATCTTTTTTTTAAGTTGTGAGCATTTCATTTCTCAAATATTCAAAAGTTGGGTATCAATATGGAGAACTAAATTGTAAATTCGACATTTTTTTCTCTGAAACTAGTATTCTCAAAAATATGAAAAAATTAGACAGCAACAATGCAATAGTCATCTTTTCAACTGTACCAATTTTATTTGATATTTACCAATTTTTTATATAATTTTTTTTAGTTGACCCATCCAACACGGTATTTTCTTTGTGCTACCAATTCTTTTGGATTTTTTTAAACAATTTTCCGAAGCTGATTTGAACAAACTGAGATACACATATGCTTCGTAATCATCTCAATATCCTCGTTAATTAAATGCAGTTAGGTTCATTTTAGATAACTATCCAAAAAATAAAATGAACACAAAATACCCCCCAAAAACTCCAAAAACTCGAAATGCACCTGGTTTTCCATGAACAATTACTTTTGATCAACGTGTTGATAGATAGATGGAACTGGTGCTTTAGTTGATATTGGTGACTTATGATTGAGACAAGGGCGTTACAATACCCGGGAATTTATCGGTTCGTGCAGTACTTGTTTGTGATAGCGCCATCTGCAGGTCACTGTGGTCATAGCCTACATAATAGATACTACGGGGTAGGATATCGGGAATTCGGTGCAGTTTCTATCCGTCGATTACGCTATAAATTGAAGCAAGTGTGACCACTTTATCCACTTAAACAATTTGATAATTGATTAAATCGTTAAACAAAATCGATAAACACGTCATACACTTCCCATCTCCTTAGAAATTAGCATGTATTTATCGGATTGTGTTTTCGGACGATGCTCGACCCAGACCACTAGGGAAATCCTTATGCTAATTAGTATGACGTCATATTTTCCTGGGGTATCCTAGATTTCAAAGCCTCGGTCTTGTATTGTGTCAAATGTAAACGTTCTTTTGCAGACAGAAAATTGACAGATTAGCTTTTAACTTTCAGCTTTGATGTTTAAATATTCTATATTTCTTCCGGACTTCTTGCTGAATATCATATAATGTTATAACTTGATTTGGATTTTGGACGATTGCCTGATTGATCCTTTCTGAAATTTTGATTGTGATTCACGATTGATTGGCAAGAAAAATAATTCCTACTGTTTTCCAGCGAAGTCTAAATGTTACAGCATTTAAATTATAATAAGTGGGAAGAAGAAAAAAGGATGGGCGGGGCCAGGGGATTGGTGGCCCTACCAGTCCCACCAATATTCACACGCATACACATAAGAGACAAACACACCAGGCTCCAGGCCGTGATGGAAATATAAAACTATTTAGGGCACAAAATGGTATTTAATAGACCGATATGTAGTGAATCCGCCATGTATTGAAGGTAAAACAATCTACATTATTGTTACTTCTATCAATACATGGATTGTGCAATGGAAAAGCAATGGCACAATCAAAAATGTGCATATCAATCGTGAATATCTCTCGGTTCAAATCTTAATTCCAACAGAATCGTGTCAAAATATGTTTCTGAATAACAGTTATACATTATAAGATCGCAAACTCTTACAAATTATCAGCCGAATGGCTAATTTTCAACGAAATGTCCTTAAGACAACAGCCCTGGGTCGCGCCTATGACGAAAATAAGCTTGAATATCCCTCCCCTAATAATATTGATAATCACATTTATGCGTGCGCGCGCAGCTCGTCCACTGAACGAAACGCCACTTCCCGCTGAAATCACCGGGTATTGATCTTTCCCTTGATTGAGACGCTAAAAATGTATGAGGATCATCATTCTATTGACATTTATGTGTGTTTGAGCGCAGCGACATAAGCTCATAAATGATTTCTTTAGGCGTCGTGTTAATGGAACAGGTGTTTGAGTTGATGTTGAGTTGTTTTGCACGAGTGTATGTTGGAACGGCGTGTAACTTCATTCTGAGCTTTGTCATACACGAGACAGTTCATTTTGTACTGGATAAAGCATAAGAATGAGATTTTATAAGAAATAATACACCGAAGGCCGAAGGCCTGAGGTTATTATTTCTTATCAAATCGAATTCGAATGCTTTATCTTACTTAAATCACACACATTCTTATTACAGGTAAATGGTCAATGATCTAATCTGGAAAATTTTATTTCTTTTGTGTTGACTATTCAAACTGTGAATTTTGCAAACTTCAACCAGGTTCACAATGACCCTGGCTCTTATTGGTTAAAATTTGTTGTTATATAGCCAATTAATTGTAACCACAAAAAGAGTTGGTTGCATTGACCTCATGAGTGTGAGTTGATGTAAGTGACTGAGTGGGCTATAATTAGTCTAGCTGTCAGTGCACTACAGGTGACTGTCCAGTCCAGAACGTTGAATTTGAATACAGCAGAATATTTGTAAGTAAGATAAGATCAATGATGTAGATAGCAACAAAAATTGATAAATTGTTTTATTCTAAAGAATGCACAGTAACAAGAGAAGGGTACATGTATTTTTGTATATTGTTTTTAGGGAATGAAAACTATCAAAAACTGTCAATGATCATTTATGTCTTTTTGATAGCTTGCCAAGTGTACATTCTTTAAAAACAATAGAAAAATAATGCACTTTCCTTTTGATAAAACCATACATTCTTAAAAATAAACCACAGCAAATTCTATTGTGTTGCTACCCAAGTGGGATTTAAAATTAAATAAATTAAGATTTGGAACATTTACATGTCTTTGATTGATCGCGTACCTTTTCCGCATTGATTTGAGGTTTTTCATGGCCGGTGTAGTCATATAAATCCGACCATCGTATGCTTTATTTGTCATTATTTTTTAATAATTTGGATATTTATTTTTTGTTATTTTCTTGCATACTAGGGTCGTACACACTTGCCAGTTGTAAATTGAGGGAAATGCTTTCCTGGCCTGTTTAGGCAACCCAAATCACACAAATTATGTATTAGAATATGCTCTTCATCGATAATGTATTTAATCCTACCTTACACACGCCAAACGCTTGATAATTGAAGAAGTATAAGAATTTTTCTGGAAACAAATTTTTCCCCATGTGTAGATGCATTCTGGGTAATGATTGTGTAAAAGTAAAACTCTGGGTGAAGCGAAAAACGAAATTACAATAAATAACGGCAGCCATATTGAGATCGAGATTTCAACTCGAAAAAGTTTATCATCGTCTTATGACAATTGAATCGCCTTCTCAGACACCAAGGAGGGTGAAGAAACCGAAAACAGATATGTTGGTAATAAATAATTACGATTTCGTTTTGGTTGCATGGTTTCACATTTAGACTGTATTCAGTGACCTTGAGTGACCTTGAGAGCCATATTGGAAATTGGTTCAAACATATACGAAAATGATTACATTTCTTCAATTATCAAGTGTTTCCTGTGTTTAAGGTAAGATTTAATACATTCTAGTTGAAGCATTGGATCCATTATCTTATCTGTGTAACTTTTGTTGGGCATAGAGGGCAGAAAAGCATTTACCGCATTATACTGGGCTTAATATCCTCGACGCAAATGTTGAAAACAAAAATAAAAAACAAATATCCAAATTGTCAAAAAGAAACGTGAAACAACAACATTAAGTCGAGTTCACTTGACTAGGCCGGTGTAAAAGGGTAGGAGGTCCTATCAAATTATGGTCATACTTTCCATTGATTTATATGGTGACCTAAATACAACTCTTTCCCTTATTATCGTATCCACAATCAGGGCCAGTAAGGGTGTTTAAGAAAGGGGACCATAATCCCCAGGGGACCATAATTTATTTTACACCGGGATCAATCAATTTCGATAAATGTTAATTCATATTCATTTGTTAAGTCTTAACGATTTCATTCAGCGCTCTTTCATGCTATTAAGTGAATCATGTAATAGGTCTACGTTGAGATCTTCAGTATCGTTACCCTCGTTTTGTGACTTGTATTTTCCATGTTCATAATACCATGCTGTACTTTTTGCAATAAACGAAACTGACAAGCTCACATCCTTATAATTTGATATCGTTGTTCTGTTGCATCGAGCAAAGCAAAGAACACATGCATTTGATGGTGAAACACTTTTCATATTTTACACGAATTTTTTATATGAAATAAAGTACTCAACTCACAAAAAGTGACATTCACAGTAAACATACAGTACAAATAATGTTTGGTCTGATTCCAATAAAATGTTAATAGAAAATAATAAAATAATAAAATAATGAAATAATTTATTTTAAAGTCGTTCTAGGCGTGCTAAAGAATTAAAAACAGTAGGGGACGCCTGTGGTTATAGTTAACGCGGTAGTTAAGGTTAGTGATGAAGACAATTGCAGTAGATTCCAATTGTTGATAATTTGACTCAACGCATCTCAAGTGTACAGAACTGAAATAGGCAATCGTCTGAAAAAAACATAAATAAAAAATTGGTAAAAAATTATCAAATAAAATTGGTACAGTTGAAAAGATGACTATTGTATTGTTTCTGTCTAATTTTTTCATATTTTTTGGATAACTAGTTTCAGAGAAAAAAAATGTTGAATTTAGTTCTCCATATCGATACATATCCTTTCCCGCCATTTTTCAAAAAGTGATTTTTTAATCATCAAATATTTCTTAATTCATTTAAAACCAATGCAAAGATTGAACAAAGGACACACTATTTCGATAATAAAATGCCATATTTAATAGGCCACTTCAATGTTTTAGCATATCAAAAATATTTTGCAGCATTAGTGATGTCACTAAGGTGGCAAAAACTTTTTGAAAAAATTGAAATTTGTTTTCGATGTCAATCTTTTCTAAATATGCTAGACCAATATGTTGATCGTCTAACCACGTTAAAAGGAAGAATATATTATGTTTTAGATACCATTGTACCATTGGTTTCTATGAGAACTAAAATTTTGAAATGCATTTTTCTCGGAACCATTTTCATGCACTGATGAGTTCATTTCTCGCTTATTTGTGAACCGATTTTCTTAATTCTTTCAGCAAAAAACATGCGAGGATAAATGCTATGCATTGGTATGAATTGTGGCTAATTAAAATATATGTGTGACCTCTAAAAGCTAGTTTTTAATAAATTCAAAAATTTTGGAACAAAAAGTTTATCAAAAACCACTTTTTGAAATCTAAAAAAAAGTTTCACATATCACACTTTGATAACATTTGGTAAGACTACAATATAACCCAAAGTGGTCTAAACTTTATATGGGGACTTTAAGAGTTGGAAAGAAGGAACATATCAGAGGTTAAAGTGACAAAATCATTGTTTCCATTTGTCAGTAAAGAGAAAACTGACCAGTTATTTACAAGGCTTTATTAAAGACCAACTCTAAGCATATAAAATATATCATTTGTGTTCTGGGAGACTCCTTTATGATATTGATATACATAATATTGATATATTCAATGAATATTGTTCATATTCATAAAACAAGAAAGGGTATTGGGAAAACGGACTCCCCCGGCCTCTTTCTTAATATTCAATAACATTGTCTAGTTTAATGCATAGTTTCTGGGCCGATATAAAGAAGATGGCAGCACCAGCAGAATCCAGTCTTATAAACACAGATCGATAACCATGCCATCTTTATTTAAAAATTATTCCTATCTAGAAATTAGATCAGATCTCTTTGAAACGATGAAAACATCAGTTTGCTCAAATTTTATCACCCTTGAGTTGTACCTTACCCCGCGCGTTCAAATGTCACGCTTAATTTGGTTCACGAGCAGTTAGTAAGTCATGTGAAATACGGCTGTTAGATATTCCCCAGCAGGGGCCATTTGAATTTAAAGTTTTACAATTGATATACTTTTACACTAGTCAAGTAGTACCCACCTTTCCGCTGGCAACATCCGCAACTACATATTCTTTCTTCGTTTGTATTTTTGGTTCGAAGTACCATGTGATTTTCAAAATGTGATATGACATCAGTGGTGATGCCTCCAGTTCTGGTGTATTTTATGAATGACTGATTGTCGTCGCTCTTTGCAGATACTTCTACTAAGTTTATCTTATTTTGAAGAAGCTTATCCGCGAAATAAGTATGATTTACTTTTTCAAATATCCCTTTGGTGGAATATATCATTTGAAAAAATAGCATGCTGAATACCCATAAGATCGAAATGATAATAATGATCCTCCTTACAAAGACGTATCTCATCGTGAAAATAATTTTATGATATGATAAACGTATCGCATCACATTATGAACATGTAAATATACCTGCTTGCCATTTAATTCAGTCCAGTTACTGTTAAGCCAACTCATACTAAAGTATGACAGCGTAAACACAACTGGACACAGAACAGTGCACACGATAAATAGGATACTTGAATTGTGTTCACGCTCTGTGGGTAAACACTGAAATATGGATTGGATCGAGTGGATTGTTTTCATGTTAAACGTGGATTCGGTTAGATTGGATCAGGAATTTTAAAACATGGAATTTATGAAAATTTATGAAACGCTTACTATTGACTTACAATGTTATCATTTGGGTTTGTATACCCTTTCCAACTATGATAAAATATTATGAATTTTCTGTTCTAAAGAAACAAAGCCATAAGCGAAGATCCAATTCACATTTTACATGAAACCACTCAATATCCATATTATCGCTGAATATATAATGAGATTCATAGTTGTCAGCTTCCAATGATCACTGAATTTATCATGAGATTAATTCATAGTTGTCAGCTTCCAATGATCGCTGAATTTATCATGAGATTAATTCATAGTTGTCAGCTTCCAATGATCGCTGAATTTATCATGAGATTAATTCATAGTTGTCAGCTTCCAATGATCGCTGAATATATCATGAAATCCATAGTTCTCAGGTTTTAAAGATCACTGAATAAGTCTTTGCCATTCTATGAGACCCATCATGTTCATACAAAAGATTATCATGTTTTTCCAGTTTTTAGAATCAATTTTATACATCCAGTTGTTCAAGACTGTAGGTTAATCAGCATGTATTCTGTAATCGAATAATAATGGTATTGAAATTAACATCAGATTTCATAAAGATATTCAGTGAACTCAATATTTGCTGACCAATAGATGGCCTTCATTTACATTGTGTTTATCACGAGTGACATCTATGTGGAACAAGTATTATTTTAAACTTTACTTGACACTTTTTCCGTGATTTCTACATGCAGCGGTTCATCATTATAATATAATAAAAATACCACAAATTTTGAATAGGTAGCAGTAACAAAGAATTGGTATCGATATGGGGATATAAATCCTTTAGTTTTCATTATTCTTTATTTACCTATTATGCTAGACTTTGGATCATCCAAAACTGGGCAAAAGTAAGAATTGGGACTAATGGTGTAATGTACCAATTCGGTTGATGTCTAGGAGTTTGAAGAACTTTCACTTTTTCCTGACAAGAACCAATTAAATAAAGTTGAAAATAGATAGTTGTACTCTGGCTATACATGTATACAACTGGCCTAGCTTCGGTTGACCTACATACTCAACAGTAGGGCCTAGGACCGATTTTATTAAAAGCTTTTGGATTGTTACTCCACCTAGCACTTTATATGGTAATATTGGAAGTGAGAAAGCATGGAGATTTTATGTTTACCAAAGAAAGTGGTGAAATGTGTTCCTTTGTAGTATAATTTCCCGTCTGTGAGTTATGCCATATATTAATAAACGTAATGTTCTGCATTTCACTCTGCAGAAACGGGGTTATTGAATAAAGTGGATACATTCTGACACAACATTGAAGTAATTTAGTCCAATGATGGTGATATTGATAAATGACTGTTGGTGGTAGTTATGTATTTTAAAATGCAGAAGGAGCTAGATTAATGTATGACAGTGGATATCGTGGAATAATGTAAATATAATCATAAATTTCTAAAAGAATGAGCATATGAATGACCTTTATTTGTATTTTGGGAGAGTGTATATATTCCTTTTTGCAAAATCTGGGTTTTAGTACAACGATTGAAGAAATAAGTAATTTGGAAAATACCACCTTGGGACTAATTGTTCAGCGGATTCTCTCATTTATTGTTTTTCTCGTGGCGCTGCTCATCTGAATATTTGGTTTTGTTCGTATTGAAAAAAAACATTTGATATAAATTGCGTTACTTTGAAAAATAACTTACTTTTACTCTTTTACTTTACTTTACTCTTTTACTCGTGACACATGATTACGTACGTATGGTAGGGTTGTCAACATTTGTCATTAGGTTTGTGTGGTCCATGATTGTATTGTTCTACAGATCAGATAACAAATTTCATATCAGTCAATGAACGGATAAACTTGCACAATTGATATATCATGATAAGCGATGTAACTTATCAGCTGGCATTTAAATCGGACATACATGTACAATACATGTACGTGTTTTCGATCAAATCCTCATTTACATGAGATTGAACGCCGACAATTGATTTGATAAATGATCGCTGAAGAAATAATCATTGACTTGGTGTTTCTGTTTGAGGGTTAGTAGCTTAACTTTTTGCATTGACAATGGTGTATAGTCATACCATTTGATTCAGATACAGTCCCCTCTATTAGTTTGGTAACCGGATATTTTACAGCAGATCTCCAAACATAAAGAGACTTTGATAAGCGATCCGAAAAGGATGCTAAACTTATGGAGGGGGTGTATATAACCATCCTCCTTACATGGCTCACCTTTCATTATCATCATATCTATATTTGAACAATATCCGAACCCAATCTTTCGCTTATCGATTCGAATACTATATAAGTGACCAAGAGACCATTATTAAACTCTTTGTTAAGAGACTTGTTGAGAAATGAAGATATTACTACTGGTGTTGGCAGTTATCGCCAGCGCATCGGCTGCTAAAATTAGCTATAGGGGGTTAGTTGCTTAACTTTTTATTAGACATTCAGAGATATTTTAACGAAAACAATGGAGACTATTCATTCAATTTAATTTTTTGTAGTTATAAACTTTTCAATGTGGCTCCACAAACAGAGGAAAATGTCGAACTCCTGAGAGAACTCGAAACTGAAGGGGCAAAAACAGGGGTAAGTCAAAAATTCATTTGACTATAAAATTACGGTCAATGTTTTTTCAATTCTGTTATGAACGACTATTTAAATGCAATTGAATTTTTCATATCTTAGCAATGATATCCCTTAATGACAGAATCATTTGACTAATTAAATTTTTTAATTACTTTTTCTGAAGCAAAAATAGATTTGGTGTTCAAAGTAGAAACCAGTGTTACCTTCACACTGAAGCCATGGACAAGAAAACATATATCTCAATGCTTAGGAAGCTCGCCCTCCCGTTCGAAAAGTTATCTTTTTTACTGTTATGTACATTTAAATACTTTGTTTGCATAATTCGAGCAGAATATTATATTATTGCCTTAAATGCTTACTTTTTATGCATTTTGCGCAAAAGGTACGATTTATGCAATGGATAGGAATAGGCTACGCGATTAGTTTTGTGATAAATGGGATGAGAATTATAACACGGTTGTTTCATCTTAAACGTGCCCTAATGTGTCTCGAAAGAGAAGGTAAACACATTAAGCGCGCAACTGGGTGACCAGACCTTGGTGAGTGAGAAAAACGCCGTCATTGTTGCATCTAAAACGTTTATTACACTTATTAAATTAAGTGTTAATTTGAACGCACATACAAGATGGGCCAAAACACCTTACTTTTTTATGATTTCCAATTTTCTAATGACGTAAATTTCTATTGACATTCAATTTTATATGAACTGTTTATAGCTATAGTGAACTTTGAAGATTCTTAAATTTTATTGGATAACATACCATTTCAATAGATTCATAAGTAAATATATTAGCAAAGGATGTGTATCGATATGGTGAACTTTTTTAACACACGTTTTTCTTAAACTAGTCATGAAAATATTCTAAACAATTTACACATCGTCAATTTAATGGCTATCTTTTGAATGGTAACAATATTATTTGAAAAATGTATATACTTTTCTCTATTTTGTTTTAGAAAATACATCAGACACTTCTTTTGTTCTTGGTATCATATGTTTGGAATGAAATGAAACATCTATCCGAACTTTATTGGAACAAAATGACATAAACACAAGGTGTAATTGTAATTGTACAAAGCAAAGTTTGGTTGATTTAAATAGTATCTTGTTAATGAAAATAAATAGAGGTTTATCTTAATTTCTATCTATTTTGTTTTTTGGTTTTAATTTTTTGAATACTTTTTCTAAAATCAACCAAAATTTCCTTTGTATAACTATAATATTGAGAGGCCTAAGAAAATGTTGTATATGCTATTTATTTTGTTCCAACAGGCTTCGAAAAGATATTTTATTTCATTCTCAAGAATTGCTAAAAAGGAGCAAAAACAATGCACTAAAACAAAAAAATATTAACAAAAACAGTTATATAAAATACATATCAATAATTTTCGCATTAAATTGTTGTCAATCAGTCAAAATTACATAAAGGAATTGTGTTTTTACAGAATGTTTTCAATAATAGGTTTAAGAGAAAAACATTGTTGAATTCAGTTCACCATATCGATACCAATTCTTTAGCAAAACAAAATGGTTATTGATTTCGAAATAAAATATATTTTGGTCCACCTTGTATACACACTAAAATTATCATGTTTTGAAAGCTAATCTAACGCTTCTGAATTCTATGGCCTATTTGCCGTAAATGAGAAGTTATTTCTCGTAAATCTAACCGTGTATTGTTTGTTTGCTATAAGCGGTCCCCCAAAGACAATAACGGCGTTATATATTCCAAGACACAGTAAGGAAAGAGAAGGCGTCTTTAGTAAAATATTTTATATACGACATAAAAGCTCATCAGCAAAATGAAGATGGATTTAAATCAAGTTAACTTAACCTACTATTTAACCTACTAGAAATTACAGCAAACTATATCTAGTATATATGTTAAGCATGTGCACGTTGCGTAAAAGGATGGTGCAATTTACTCTGATTTGTATAATCAGTTGAAGAATACAGCGTCGGTCACCCACACGGGATATATACAGGTTTATAGCTCTATCGTCAAAATGTGAAAATGTATTTTTGATATTCAGTAGTAGAACTCACGTTTCACTGTTCATTCTGGCCTGCTTTTTGAGTCTCATAATAAAACACCAAATGTAAATATCCCATTCCAACTATGACAAAAGTCCTCTGAGATGCCACGTGGCAATGCGCGCCAGATGTAAAGCACAAGCCATGAGCTACGAGGTACCTCAGTTTAGATGGAAATAAAGTTATCAAAATGTTTTCGACTCGAAATCACTTTGATGATATAACGCAATCGAATAGTATGCTAGATTTTCATTTTCTTATTCTATACACTTACTTACCCTTCCCCAATAATATAAAACCCTCGACGCACAACAATATTTTACCATGACTTAATTTGTGCGACAAGTGGAATCATTTCAAACGTTGCATGGGGCCTTCATTTTGTTTAAATTACTAATCTGTTTTCAATATAATTGTACTGTTGATATTATAAGAACAAGATCGTGATAAAATCACTTTTAATTATCAGTCATAACACAACTAATCAATTAAAAGACAAAGGTAGAGAAACATTGTTTTTATTTGTTCAGCAATGCGGCTGCAGGCTGACATGGCTAGTTTGATATCATCATGGGTTTCAGAATTTGCTTTGGAGTTCCACTGCAATCAAAATTGACAAGTCGATTAACGTTCGTCATTGGAAGCATTGGGATGACATTTTGCAGAATGTATTGCTTATTCTCTTTAAAACCTACACTCAACTCCAAAAGTTTGGAAACCGGGATTTTTCACTTAAACCTGTTGTACGGCTATACATTAATCAGTTCAGTATCAAATATCTGGTGGTTATACTAACCAGAAAGGAATTTTCTTAAGGAATTTCCTTAAGAAAATGAATTATGCCGTGGAAACAATGGCTCTGATTTCAGAACAGGTGTAAAAGGGTAGGTGGTCCTATCAATTTTTGGTCCTACTCTCTATCGATTTATATGGTGACCGGCGCCGGCGTTGTTGAAGATTGGAGCGAATGTGACCTCGGCATTACTTGCTTTTAGAATTGTAAATATCTTTTCAATTTGGAGCTTGTCTAGATGTGAACATTTTTTCAAGCGTTGGTATTTTCAAAAAACGTAGTGTGACGGAACGTGTTTATATTAAAACGATTTCTTTGATGCAGGTGATGTTCTGGAAGCAGGGCAGAGTTGGAAGAAAGGCGGATCTGATTGTACCACCTTCAGCTGTAGTTTGGGTGTCACAAGCACTCAGAGAGGCTAAAATGAGGTTCAATGTAACTGTTGAGGATGTCGAAGAGTAAGTTAGTCTCACTTGACGGATTTTCATTTTTCATGAAAATGTGAGAAATCGCTGGTTGGGTAGGTGTAGACACTCTTGACAAAAGATTCACTAAGCCTACGTCACTCAAACGTAAAAAACACAAAATATAAAGACCGTGGTCTAAGCAATCAAGATATATTGCCAATATATAACCTCTTAACTCTAATATTCGCTACCCAGAATGAGATGGCATTCTTTTCAAAGTTTTGAAAGTTGCATAAAATGATGCTAAGACGCAAGCATTATGCAGGCTTTATATCACGTTCGCACATTTAATTCTAGAAACATATTTTTTCCTTTTCTATCAGTCTTCTTGAAAAGGAGGCTTCTGACAATCGCTTGGCTCATATGAAGATGAGCCGTCAAAGATCAGGACAGACATACAAATCTGTATTGGGCACTTATGCAAGACATTCCGCAGTAAGTACAATTCCAACGTGAAGCTCAGTTTCAAATATAAAAACACTTATGTAGCAATCTGTCCAACTTGACACTGTTTCTACGGAAATTTGCATATTGATGACATACACTATTTTAAAATCACGCTACCCTTCTAACCTTAATGATGTTAATTCCATTTATGAGGTAAATTGTGTGACTTTTTTCTCACAGATCAACGATTGGCTGGAAAATGTGGCCAACTCATACAGCAGCATTGCTTCAACTGAGAATATTGGAAGCACATACGAAGGAAGAACGATGAAGTTGATAAAGGTACAGTAAACATAGTAATCTTAACTAACACATCCATAAACGTTGACGTGAAATGTTTACGGTATATAGACCCCTCTCCCGAAACTCCTCTTAATCTGCTGTTGGTGTAGAACAATCAAAGTAATGCGCTATTTTATCATTTTATCCATTCATTTGAACCGACGCAAATTTTATATATTTCTTAGATCGGATCTGATGGCAGTAACAAGCCTGCAATTTGGTTAGACGCAGGTATCCACGCAAGAGAATGGATCGCCCCTGCAGTTGCTGAATATATCATTGACCAGGTAAAGGAAAATATGTCACCGATTTGGGATATGCCAAAATTTCTAGACCATAATAATAGCTTTTGTCCCTAAATGTATAAAAAGTTGCCCCTGAATCCCCATTGGCAAGAATGCCTCAACTGCGTATATTCCAATGTTATGCGTACCCTGCATAATAGCCATCTTAATCCATCTAGGTCTGCCTGGAGGAAAACACTGGTTCAACATAACAACTGAGTTGTGAAAAGTGTGTAATTCACACATCTTCTTATTAGATTATATTTCAAAACCATTGTCTCTATGATATTAAGTGATTGATTTAGCATGTTTCATTTGCTGATTTTATCACAATTACATTCACTTAGTTTAATCGCAAGGGAACACAATCTCAGTATATCACATTATTAAAATGATGATGAAGGGCAAGCGTTAGAGTGGATGGGAATCTTTAAAGGGACAATATATCGTCTAGATCTGTTCCCCAAACAATCATTGAAATTGCTTATAATTTCTTACATACCTAAGATATATCTTGAGAACTTATTGAGGGCACGGTATCACCGATATATCGAGATAATCAACGAAACAACCAACTGTCGGATAAGTACGCAATTAGTCCAAATCAACATACAACCTTTTTATTTATATAATGAAACCCTTGTTAAATATAACTATGTGTTATGCGTAAAGATAACCAAAAATATGTTGTGGTTCAAAAAAGGAGTTTCAATTTCATTTAGACTTTATTACAAGCCAGTAGCAAAGTAATATCTGTGAACAATCATCAAATTGAATCATCAAAAAGTCAGTAAATAGATAGACCAACTTCGTACACATCTTTTAGAGCCAAAACATCAGGGGGTTACTCTAATTTTGCTTTTATCAGACATTGCATCTTTAAATGAAATAGCAATATACGAAATGTGTCAAACTAAACTATATTTCAGCTGACATCTGACGTTATGGATCAAACAGTAATATCAGAAAGATGGTGGATGACTTTAAATGAGAAATGTATCAAACTAAACTATATTTCAGCTGACATCTCGTTATGCCTCTAACAGTAATATCAGAAAGATGGCGAATGACTTTAAATGAGAAATGTATCAAACTAAACTATATTTCAGCTGACATCTCGTTATGCCTCTAACAGTAATATCAGAAAGATGGTAGATGACTTCGACTGGTACATCCTCCCTGTGGCAAACCCTGATGGGTATGAATACACACACACAAACGTAAGATTGTTTTGTCTTCTTAGTAAAAATGTAAAGATAAAAATTTGAAGAAAAACCAGTATACGACGATAACAGCTCTTTTGAACCCATATCCAATACAAACTTTGGTTATTACCATGAACGTGCCTGTTACTGACAAGTTCATCGCGTTGCATCTATGTACCGAGTTTACAAATATCAACCCTATCATTTTGGAATAAATTTCTCAATTTTGATGGAATTTAACAATTGTTGGTGTCACTAAACTCTCTCTCTATTACTAGAAAATACAAAAAGATTCCAAGATAAGCGAGACAATTACTCAACAGTATAATTCAACTCTACGACTCCATCATTTGCGATCACCGTGTATTCATGTAGAGACACATTGACATACAGTTAGAATCCACGAGATTTGATAAAATTGTTACTGTGATAAAAAATCATAAATTGATTTAGATATTCATATTTCGCAGCTTTAGTGTTTCCAATGCTTAAATTAATTTCTCTAGGACAGAATGTGGAGAAAAACTAGAGCTCCAACAAACGATTATTATTGCACAGGATCTGATCCTAACAGAAACTTTGATTTCCATTTCGGAGGTGAGTGTCTTAAAATTACACCGTAGAGTTTTATTAAGGAAACATAAGAGAGTACAATCAGCGTTATAACGAGAACAAAGCCGTTATATCACAAACCATGGTCGATTGCGAGCGCATGAAGAAACATTTTCTATTCCACACTGTGTCCCCTATAACATCCGTGTTTATCATTACAGAGGCAGGGACAAGCAGCGACCCATGTTCGGACACATACCCAGGACCACGACCTTTCTCTGAGAAGAACACCTCAAATATGAGAGACAAAATTAATGCTCTGAAAAGCAGATTGAAGATGTACTTGTCCCTCCATGCTTATTCTGAGTTATGGCTGACACCATGGGGATACGATAGCGCACGACCTGCAGACTATATTGAAATGGTATGATAATGTGTTAACTCCCTTATAAATCGTTAAACTACATCACTCAGTACTGTGCAATATGTTAAATTGAAGTGAAGACGAAGCTCTCTTTGAAGAAGAAGTTGAACGAATGCAAAGGGTAGTAAATGATACTGAATGATCAGATTACAATACGGCGTGCGTAATGTCCGACCCCGATACATAACCATTCTCTCTTTGCTGAACGATTAATTTCTCGATGTTCTTTATTGACCTTTTTATTACAATAAAACTGTAAATTCGACTTCATTTCCTCAGGACAGAGTTGCTGATATTGGTGTAAATGCGTTGAAAGCAGTCCATGGAAAGTCATTCCAGAGAGGAACTCCTCCTGCAATCCTTTGTACGTAAACTTCATTACTTCCTCGAATTTTAGAATTAGATCTCCAAAAGGGTGTAGTCTTCATTAACTAAACCACGTAACTAAAAGCATTTTAGAATGATAAATTATAACATATCATATACAAGAGAACCGTGGATTAATGAGTTAAAAGCTGCTTCAAAGTAAAAAACATATGAATTAAGTTTTTGGACGATACCAGAATTTTTTCGCTTTTTGTGATTAAATATGATTAATATCACAATGTAACACATTCTATTTCAGACGCTGCCTCGGGTGGTTCGTACGATTGGGCCAAAGGAGTCGCTGATGTAAAGTATTCCTACACTTTAGAGCTTAGACCCGGTAAGATTTGGCAACCTTAACAATCATGATTCATAGTATTTCGTATTATCAAAAGTTAGACTTAACCTCAACAAATTAAGAAAGCCGACCACAAGCTTATTCATAAACAAAAACAAGGCATAAACATGACAAAATGTTACCACATTGTAAGTTATTGCAAATTGTTACAGACGCCGCAAATTGTCCTTCAGACGCGAACTCCGAACATCGACCAAAAAACTTTAACAACTTTAACAATATGTCACCACTTGTGGTTGTGACATAAGAACGGATCGCCACCAATTCATATAATTCATAATGCAATGTACTTTGTTTTAGGTAATGACTGCTCTTGGTTCTGCAATGGATTCGTTCTTGATTCCTCCCAAATCATTCCAAGCGGAGAAGAAATCTTCGCCGCTGTTGAAGCGGTGGTCAACGCCATGCAATAGCAGTATAGGCCTAATCAATCATTTCGAATAATAGAAAATAACTGAAAACTATGTTTCGTTTGTTTACGTTTAATCATTCTTTAAAAATACCTGGAAGACAATGTATGTAGGTTTTCAGTTTCAAGCGATTGTGACTCTATTTACTATTGTAATTTATTGTTTAAAGTTGCCCTATATTGCTACATCTGGTGCACTGCAATTGCAAACATAGCCATATTCCCTGTGTCCAATTGTCATTAGATCGGTTTCACATCTTTGATAAAATAATACATTCGCTGTCTTATATTTTTGTTCTCATCAAGTCGTCAGGGGTTGGTTTTGTCAAAATGGTAGACATCGACTAAAGGGGTGGAACGGCAAGAATATTTTTCGAGACATCAATAACGTCACCTACATCGACAATTTTTCGACAAGTACCCCTGATTCTTCTGGTAAAAACTTCTCTTCCATCAGTTAGGAGGAGTCGACCTCTTGGAGAACCCTGAGCAATTTTCCTATCAATAATAGAAATATTCTCGATGGCTGCAGCGATATCACCTGAAACATCATTCCCATGTAAAATGAAGTATATGCATATTAAACTATAGTTTGAGTTAATAATATGACAAAACAAAAGTCTATGTTTAATTTATTTTGTTGCAATAAAGATAAGGTCATTATATTCAACAAGACAATAAGAGATAAAAAACATATACATTGGCATAGAAAATAAATTTCTTCATACAGAACATGATAGGCTGACAAAAATGAAACCCCCTAATTAGGTATAATTTTTGAGGTATAAAATTCTGGTCCAATGTTTATTATTTAAGATAAAAATAAATCACGTTTCCGTCTAAACATGACTGCGCGCCAGATCATTTAAATATGCAACATCATTATAAGCATGCGTTGTCGTTCAATACACTTACATATATTATTTTCCATTTACAAGATGCGTTTATTACTTTGTCAATGCTATTTGTTCCATTAAACACTCTCACCATATAATAAGATTTCAATTATGGTGAAAAGAGCGGGTTTACAGTTTTGGATCACCCTATACAAAATATATTTTCAAAAATGACTGTCTCGAACACTTTGACATTGATCAGGATTTAAAAATCTCGCAACCTTAAAATTCAGATGTATTAGTTAGTTTATATACATACCCATTATTCCAGTTAGCGTTCCTGTCAACTGAGACATTTCAATGATTCGGAAGTCAATAGTTGTCCCGTTCATCTTCACTAGCATTTCAAGCTGATCTATAATCAACAACAACAGTCTCCTGTTCTTCTTATTTAGAGGTGTTATCTTTATGTCGTTATCAATAACATCACCACGTGTACTCCATCTGAAACATGTAGTTCCTTAATGTCTCTATGATTACTTCACCAGTATTGTTTTTTCAAATATTAAATCAATTAAAACAACCACACTAAAGTTGATTGATAATGATTGATTATTTGATTGATTGTGTACAATTTGAGTAATAAGTTCAATGGCATAATTATATGGTGTTAAATCGTACTTTAATATCTACTGTACAGTAGTACATGTCATCATGATCAGATCAAATTCGAACGAAAAGAAACATATCCTGAACTGAACAAACACCTATCCATTTTTCGACACTCCTAATTGGAATAGCACTGTAGTATATGATCTAGCAAAAGCGGCTAGAAATACTCTTACCGGACAGTTTTTTCATCAACGGGTCTGAAGAAAGTAGTAGTTGATGCTGGAGTTTTAATCACCAATGAACTTGCTCTCTGCATTCCATTAGCTTCCACTAGTTTTGCTGCAATCTCCAGCCCTGTAGCGTGAACGAATTAAATGTCAAACTATACTACAAGGGAGCTTTTAAAAAATTGTTAACTCAAAATTTTAATTTCATGAAGGCACGCTGAAGGGGTCTAAATACATAGGGGTTATGCACTGGGAGGTTTTGGATACAGGGAATATCCCGAGGGATATTCCATGTATCCAAACCGACCGTGCATAACTGGTGTATCTCATACTTGAGTGGGTTTAGGGTAGATATAACCTTTCCACCTTTTTCAAATGACAAGATATTTATATTTAACATTTTCGTAATATTCTTTTTGTTCAATACAATGAAATTGTAACATTTCAAAAAAATTAAATTTTAAAATTAAAAAATTAAAACTTTTGATATTTAAACTTTTGAAAAATTCCCGGGAGCGGGATGGATATATTATATCTGCCCGCATTTGGCCTGGAGCGGGACATATACAATATATCCTGCCCGCTCCTCAGATACGATATATATTCCCGGGTGATGTCTACCCCAAACCCACTCAAGTATGAGATACACACATATTTCCCGAGGGATAAACCCTGTATCCAAAACCAACCGTACATAACAGATGTATTTCATACCTACTGATGTTCTAGGTACGTCATATACCTTATAAAGTTCCAAAAATCAAAAATATATTTAAGATACACATTTTCCTGGTGTTATAAAGTGTTTTTTAAGTTTCTGAGATTTTCAAACTCATATAACTCATATTTTGAAAAATTTGAAAAGAATGTGGACATTTTTTTAAATAAAAGAATGTGAAAAAAAATTGGAAAAAATGGGAAAAAAAATTTGAAAAACAATTCAGGAGCGGGACCGGGATGGATACAGCGTGTATCCATCCCGCCCCGGACCTTGGCTAGATACAGTATATATTCCCGCTCGTTATGTACCTAGAACCTCAGGTATGAAATACTATAAAGTATTGATTCCTTATGGGGTTTTATACGATTTAAATATTGGGATAAGCCTACTGACTACGGCCAATGTGGAATGAATATCCTTGAAGGTGTTGCTTTCCAAAACAATATATCAAGATTCAGTTCATCGTAACTAGTATAGAAAGTGTTACGGATTGTCTAAAATAACACAGGTGCCAGTAGGTGTAGTTACCAGTTTCACCGCCAGGTGACTTATAGTCGGGTCAGATAACATGGCAGGTATATTAGAAAGTTCCATTATTAAACTTGAATATCCATCAGTTTAGGTTCATCAATTTTCATATCACCCTTATGTATCTGGTAGTTGCAAAACGAAAATATGCCAAGTAAAACAAGATATTATCTGTCCAATAAAAGACAGGTGTATCACTTTTTTGTGATTTAATAACATGGAGTCTACAGGTCTAGGGGGAATCTCCCCGACCTAGAAGGCACATGTTGAAAGCAAATTCAAAGTTGATAAAGCCTTTGACCAAATTCTTAATTCTAATGATGCAAATCAAGATTATTTCTACTCGTGTTTAGTCTATTGTTTTATCATAGTCTAATATTTTTACTTTGATCGATGCAATGATGTAATTAACATTTGAAAATTGTCAATGAAAGATCTGAAGAGATAAAAAATATCATATGCATAACTAAGATTGGTAATGATGCATAAACAAATACTTTCGCAATAGGGTCGTAAATCAGGGAATCAAGCAAAACAGTCCTCAAGGCATGAACGTAGTTTATATTAGAAAATATGTATTTTGAAAAGTACGTATATAATACGCAGCAATTACGCATTCTTCTTAGATGTTGCTGTGTTTTATTTGTATAAATGCCACTTATCAAGTTGGATGAAGTCGAAATGTTGTTTTATAAATAATCATTCAAAAGTGCAGAAATAAAAAAAAGTCAACAAGTATTTGGAATCGGTCCACAACCCAATGTTTGCCTCAACTAATCGGGTGAGGCAAACGGTATTTAGACTCCATATTACATTTCAAATATGCCTACCCCTTTCTTTTAGCGAGACAATATTATACCATGTTTCAGGTTCTCCTTCGATGTTATAACACACTTCGTAATCTTGTCCAAATAAATACTGCCTTATTTTTGGTGTCGATTCCACTAGTGACAGGCATCCGGCGAACAAGAGCGAAAATCCAACAACTGAATTCATCGTTAATTGTGTCCAGTCCAATACACAACTGTGTGAAGGAATTGGTTATTGATGAACACGCTTGATTGATTATGATTTGAAGATGTTTATTTAAGGCATCGGAATAGCATCTTATATCCGTTCCACATTAGACTTGGTTATGGTTCTGCTTGTATATCATGTGAATTGTTGAATTATTGGACTGGTCTAGTTGAAAACTATGCAAAGTATTGGATTGTTTACAACCCTGACTTTACTGTGTTAAATGTCAAAACGATTATTAAATCATTTTTTATTTTATTTCTATGATTGCTTTATAGAGGTGGATGGAGCATGGCAATAACTCAACTGACAAGGCATGGTGACTAGCTGAGTATGCTGGTGTAAAATTCACATCTCATTATCTGAGAAATGAGAGGCCATTATTCCTGCAACTTTTTGCCGTATTCCGCTATTATGCAATGTTTCAGAATATCCGTCGAGAACTTTTTCATAACATTTTGCATACTTTAAACATGAATGATAAAGTGGCATATGTGTTTAAATCCAATATTACATTAATTCTTATTGCAAACATTGTGTTTCCGTACAATGTATGTGTACAGAAGTTAAAGATGTCTGGTGGGATTCACAGCCCTTCTTCGTGATAGATATACATTCTACACATTGTGTCATAGTTTGTATCTTCATTTGTTCTTGTTCCAAGGGATCATATCCCATGAACTCTTGTGTATTCACGCATGAAATCTATATGATTTTACTTGGAATGACAACGTTTGCATTAATTGAAATTTTGGGGACCAACAACTGGAATGACTGGATGGCCATACTAATCAGGGAATTCACTTGGTTATTGCAAATGACACAGCTCTGTTAAAAGATTATTTAACTGCGAAAGTACAGTATTGGTGATCACTGATCGCTCTAATGTTTAGCACTTGGTTGATAACAGTGAGTTAAATATAGGTTTATTGTTGATCTTAATGTACTTAGTACTGCAATATATATATTTACTTCCTGACGTGAGCTACTGCTTTATTAAATCAAGCATGGACACACAAGTAATTACTTCAAGAATAACTGAATTAAAGTAATGAATAAAACGCACAGCTCATCTGTCCATTGTATGATGAAGGGCATTGATACTAAGATAGATTCTCAAAAGTATCATGATCGCGTCTTGTTAATATCTACAATCTTTATAAAGGTGTTATTAAAATCTCATCATTATATTGATCCTATGATCGAATAAAAACGTTGAATTCTACATTATAATAAAAGGTGAAGATGCTTTAAAAAGTTTAAACGACGAGTCCAAATTCAAATTCGTTATTCACAATATTTGTTAATTAACTGAAATGATTAGATCTCTTTCATATATATCAATTGCACAATCTATTCTACTTTATGCGATACTATCTCAATGAACCTCCATAACACTAATATACGGCTGCATTAATAATATATACTCTCATTCAAATCAATATTAATAAAACATAAACCAAAAGTTGACACCAGTTATTGTTATGTTTCATAATTTATTAACTTAACATATGTACGCTAAATAACAACCAAAAGTTCATGGAACCTATCAATTGTTAATAATGTAAATATTTTACTTATAAAAATACTTTAGTCATATCGTATGCCAACATGACGTCTCTTTTGCAATGTCTTCGCGCGACGTTTCCAAAAGTCATGTCTTTACGTACATTCCATGGTTTCTATGGAACGCTCGAGATTAAGTACGTACATGTATATGAATCATCAAATGAAATGACTTCTAAATATGGTAAATGACTGATGAAACATTCAAGCCAGAACAAGTCCATATATAGCATCGTGAATACTGGGTATCTACATGGTCATTTAGATGATCTAACAACACCTGTCCAAGCTTAAGGTGGTTTGTCAAAAAAGTTTCTGATGTGTAACGCTCCTGCCTTTCCAACAATTTTTTCCAGGTTCTGGAAAAACAAATCAAAAATGATAATAACATTGTTATAGGTGTTAATATCATCAAACTACTTAATTTTCAGATTTGCTATACTTATATTTTATTTTATATTTCATTTTCATAATTACATGAAGTACATGTGCACTAAATAAATTGGATATAACCATGCTTAAATATGCTTTCACCCTCGTGTTACATAATCAGAAAGACAATGCAATTTTATTTTATATACAGATAACCGTAAAATGTATGTAACCGTATAAACTGAGACCATCATATGTTAGTCTCAGGTATAAATAACAGAACCTTAAGTGATTGTCTGAATTATGGAGTAATAAACCATAAACCATGTAAACTATGAACTTGAAAACAACATCAAAGTACATACGAACGTACCTCCTGTGAAGCAGACTCGATTCCCTGTATGGCTGTAATTAGAAAAGTAAAACAAAGGGGTGTATATTCATCATCTTCATATGGAAACAAGATCACAAATAATTGTAAACAGTAAATCAACTCAAACCACTTTAATTAAATTCCCAATAGCATAATTTAACATGCATGTCATATGCACGATATAAAACTATTTTGCAGTAAAATGTGAATAGTCCATTCCAGTAAATAATGCTCTAACAGCCTTACAATTTAAGGGCTGAAATAGGATTAACAACTTGCATTTTTTACCTGAAAGCTTGCCTACATAATATGATAGCCGATATACCCTAGTTTCCTTGGTTTATCAAAAGAGGTCAGGATTTAGTATTGGAGGTATATTGCTTAACTTCACATGCAGTTAACATTGTACTTACATTTAAATGTTTCAAGCAAAGCTTTAGCTTTGACCTCTCCAAGCTTTGGTATCATCTGTAGGGAAGATAGAATATTCAAATCAACTGATGAGCCAGTAACACCTCGAGGCGCCATAAATGGGTTGCCATGTGATTTGGCATTGTTTGATAAAACCTAAAAATTAAAGGTATAAGAGAATATGAAATCGGAATATGCAAAAAGACGTCTAATAAAATTCATTCAATAGCATATTAGATAGTTTGAGCATTTGTCTTTTCAAATTGATCTTCAACATCGATTGCAATAAAAATTACAAATGTAATTTCCCATGGTTTGTTTCTAAATGCTGAGAGAGGTTAGCGTTAGATACTGGCTATCTTTTAGATATAATTGTTAAGATGCTGGCGATTTTATTTCCTCGATGACTTTTTAAATCCTTTCAATGTTATGTCAATAGCAAAAACAACTCAATATTGGATCACCTAGAATGAGCGATGCGAATGGTGGAGTAAAATATATTAATTCGATTATTGATGTAGTGAGTTAAAGTATCATTGATGGAGTTAAAATGCATAGATAAATCAATATGTCGAAAAGAGAAAACCTCAACACTGATCTACCATCTATATTAACCCTGTGCCTATAACAATACATCCCTGTGGTCGTGTGAATTATAGTTACCATCTGAATGAGTATATTAGCTGCCTCTGTCTGTGATGTCACCTGTACAACAACCAGTCCTAACTCCAACACAGCGAAGCTCTGTACAGCTTGGAAGTACTGTTTAGATACAGGTGTTTTCTCAACAATTGCAAATCCTCTGATGTGGTTATTTGCCTATTAGATAAAATTGCCAAAATGATTGAGTGATCCAATGACGAATAAACATTTCGAAAGAGGATTCTATGTTTTCATGACAACGCATAGCTGAATTTCGAACTTAGTCATTTTGTCTCCAATATAAACTATATAAATAACTCATATCTTAATGAAAATGATAAAGTTTCAGCAAATAATTAAGCACAAATATACACGTAAATCTGTAAATAGTCCAACCTTTCTTAGTCTAACCAGCCTTTGCTTGTAATTGATTGCACCAACTAAGTCTGCTTCAGCTATGTACACCACACCATTGTCATTAGATGGCTTGAAGTCTAACACCCCCAAGTCCTCTTCATATAGAACATTGACAGTACCTGAACGTGAAAGTGAGTTAACATACACATGTGTAACATGTGGCATATCAAGCATCTCTACTAACTGAACTATTTGGGAAATGTTAATTAGAAAAATCAATTGATTTTACATGTCCTACAATAATTGAACATAAAAAAACTGTAACATTCTGTATTTTTTATACATTTCAAAAAGCGAGTCCTGCAAAGATTGTAGATTGTAAAGATTGTATATTGCATATGAAAAATGAATGAATACCTTGCAACTTGTTTACCAGGTCCGTACATCGCCATTTATTCTGAACGATAATATTTCCAGGAGGTACTCCAATTCCGCTTTGAGTCTGGGTGACATTTGCCATAATTATAAACGCCTCTGTCTTCAAACGTAAATGGATATACAGTCCTATGTAGTCTATCGTACTTAGCCTACATTGCGATGTGCTTTAAAAAACAAGACTGAAAAACATAGACAATGTACACTTTTACGATGTATGGCTGAAGTGAGAATACTCTTTACCGCAGGAGTTAAAGTTACATATGATGTTTAAGGTAATACCGTATGTTCAGAAATTTCAATGGCTTTTTAATCCTATGTTATTTTCAGGTGCAATCCATACATAATTTACAATTTTCAGTTTTGCACAAAGAGTGCATGAGACCTAGATTACCAGTAAACTTACAGTATTAGTTAAGACCTTGCAAACCTAAACTTATGCATTGCCTCTTACTTAATGCTTCATAACAATCATTTGTAGGTGGTCAGTTTAGGTTTTGGTCCGACATACAGATGGCAGCAGCGGAAGAGTAGTATCAACTAGAATTGGCAACTTACTCTACGGAGTAGCAAGTCTCAACGAACACTACAGTATATACATGAATCTGTATTTTCAATGTATTATTTATCATCTACTCTTCCCTTGAATATATAATTGGCAGCTATTAAAATAATTCATTAGAGATATATCTGATGACATCTAATAAAGTATGTAACCATACTTTAAAGAAACCTCTAACGAACTCCGATTTCCTGCTACAATAATTGAGATCTACCTTAAATTTCCTTCAATTTGAGTATAATAAAATATAGCCATACTTTAAAGACATCGGAAAATTATTACGAAATCCAAAATTAGGCGGCCATTTTGAATTTCACAAGGCCCAAATCAGAAAAACGATACAATATTTGCAATCTACTCTAAATTGCATTTCATTTTAGTTTAATAAAGCTACTAGTATACTTCAGAAAGATCTCAATATTAACGCAAATTCCTGTTTTTCCGACCCCCTCCCATACACGGTCCCTGGGGGTCAGGGTAAATACACAGAATATATGTGAAATAGATAGATATTGTGAATATACAACCAAAATTTCAAACAATACTATTTATTACTTTGGTTTAAATTGAAGAACTTATGATTTTCACGAAAAACTTTTCCGCCATTTTTCTAAGCGGCGGCCATCTCAATTTTTTGTTGCGTATAACTATTCACCAGTATACTACTTTCCACCCAATATGAAGAAAATCCGTCCAATCGTATTCGAGTTAAGTTCCGGATGGATGGGCAGACTGGCGGACGGAGGGCTTCGCTATATCCATACCGAACTTCGTTCGTTGTGATTATAAACATAGATTGTTTTAAATGCAGTCCCCTTCATTTAAAAAATATTTCTATAACCCTGTAGCCTCGTGTGGTAAGTTAGAGGTAGAATGTACGTGAAAGCTTACTCGAACAGACGGACTCTCGGTTTCAATAAGCACATGTAAGTTCAACAAATTAAATCCAAATCCGGCGTAATTATTAAGCTGGCGCCTTTTGGGGTGGATTCAGTTGTACAACTTGTACTAGTTCAACTGAACCAGTGCAAGGGTAAGCATTGCGAAAGCATTGCCAGTAAAACCTTAAAAAAATAAGGAATCAAAAGGATCATTGTACAATAATATATGGAAAAATATATTCCTATTGTACATAAATGACATTTGTATATCTTGCTTCTAGTTTAGCTAATAAAGTATGTGGCCTTTTATATTTCGATGCTTCTCTGCCATAGTATTTTCAAAAAGTTTAAGGCTGAAGTTCTTTAAAAAATTTGTTACAAAAGTGCACAGGCTTACTGCACAAGAAACTAGATAATCCGAAATATACTAATGCCATTCATGTACAATATAAATACACTTTCCATATATTATTGCACAATGGTCTCCTGATTTCTTATTTCATGTATTTTGGGGTTTCTACTGACGCAATTACCCGGGCCAATAAAACAGTGAAATGAGCTGTACATGCATGGTTCATGGACCTTCTCACTCTCTGATTGCGATAAGCAGGCAATTTATAACAGATAAGCTTATACAATTTATCAGTGATTGGTGGCCGAACCTGGAAGTATATCAGGTTCGGCCACCAATCAAATCAATATCAGGTGTTGATACAGTTGGTTCCTGAGGACTGATCGAGTTGACAATCGCCCATACAATGAGGAACACAAAGAACTACTATAGCTATGAAAAATACATGCTATGGCACATGTAATAAATTCTTACCTCCAGTGCTCTACTTTTCTCCATCCTAGTAAGTCCAAATATTGTGGAATTTGTGTCCATGATGACAAATAGGAACTTTGAAGTGGCTTGGATATTCAAATGTTAATGCCGACGCCATTTTGAAACCTGTCGCGAGTAAATAATTAACTGATGTTGCATTCTGGGAGTCAATCCTCCTTGGATCACAAACCGTGGCGATTCATGAAAACATTCGTTCGATTTGGTAGGAATTTATCCCGGGAATTTATACATCATTTGCAGGTATGAAGCTTTGGATTCATGTATGATGCTACTTAAAGTGAACGGGAATTATTTTTCTACCGCTTGGGAGAGTTTGAGACACGAAACTAATAGAATTTAGCACAGTCAGAGAGAATGTTTCTGGCGAAATTCTGGGACTTCAAATACTTTTAAGTTGGGAAACCGGAAGTGCTTACCTTTTTTAATTCCCGAATCTCTCCGAAATTAGCTCATCTTGGTGACTGTAAATTGCACAGCTGTATTCAATGGAGTCTTGTCATATTCGATCAGCCTCAATTTTAAAGTGTATATTTTATTTTCAACGTGATTTCATCGTTTTTTGTCGACTGGTAAGATAACGCCGGGCAAATGGCAAGATGGGTGACTTTTGACCTGACCTTGACCGATGGTGATCACGTCATCAATATTACCAAGATGGCGGTTTCAAAATTTTCTAAAATCGCTTCAAATAATATTATGTTAATTCCTAGCGAGTAAAGATATCTCTTAGTTTGCTATTTCACAATAAGATAACGAAATGTGTAAGGAATTCGTATTTATCAATTAAAACATCACATCGACATTTGGTATTCGTAAACTAGACGATGAAGATAACGACCTCGAAAAAAAACAAAAGAGCGAGTACGGGGTTCGAACCCGGGCCTCCAGCGTGCTAAGCGAGGATATTACATATGGTATTGGGATTTAAACGCTATTTATTTTGAATGCTATGATTCGGAAGTGACGTCACGTTCTTCACGTTTTGTTTGAGAGCGAGAACGAGACGTGCCAGAAGTCCGGCTTTTTTGTCAGTCGACCTGTTCAAAGTACATTTAGTTATAATTATCGCTTTCCAGAACAATTTAGGAAACAATATTTTCTATCTACGTCGATTACAAAGCATCTAAGGTACGTAAATTTATATGAACAACTGAGTCAATAGGGATAAATAGCCCAACGAGAGTCGGCGGTCTTAAAAAATACTTGGATCTGGATGCCAGTCCTGGTATAAATATAGTTCCAGGGCCTTTCGAAGAACGTATTAGATGTCCGTGGAATTTAGCTCATTGTGACAACTTTTGATGGTTGAGGTTTACAGTTGGGGACAAAAATAAATGACAGGTCGATTTTCGATCACCATTTCCTAATTATGGTCGTCTGAAAGCCCATAATTTCCAATATTGTCTAGATACATATCCCTTAAAATTTGTATATTTCATATTTTGTATAATCTCATCCACTGATGTATGGCCTCTTGAAAATTCTCTTATTTTTAACATGGGAAATTCTCACTTCAGCAAATCCACCTGTCATTTATTTATGTCCCGAACTGTAGCCTAGATCTAATTATAATCAATGGCTCCGCGGACTTTATAGCTAACATCTCAGATGGTTTATCAAAGAAGCACGAGACTAACCTTTTTAATTCACATCTAGTTGTGTTTACACGTATCGTCCAATGATAATGGTATGCATTCATCACTTATTCCGCATATTGTTCACAAGTTAAAGACGAACACAGTGAAATGTGTTTCGTTGACCATTGAAATTTCCCACAAATGCTACTGGATTACGCCAAGAAAGCTTTTCTAGGTTCACGAAATAGTTCGTGATGTAAATATTGTTTGCAGCGTTGCTTTTTTCCACCATATCTGTTTAGATTTGATTTTAGTTACAAGATGTGTTGCATACTTTTCGTTATCAATCCTAATAGGGATCGTAACAAATTAAAATAAAATGTTTATAGTCCCGGGGAAATACTTTTCGCCTGGTGTAATTTACCTTTCAAAGGTCAGTGCAGAGTACAGACATACATAAGTACTTACCAAATATGGTAACAACTCACATCATGCACTTGAATCAAGTGAAATATATATCGATGATCATTGAAACGTTTGAGCATCTACTGAAGATATACAACTGGACCTAACAGCTGCAGTAAGTAAACTTGGAAACATTGGAACGATTAAGTATTACGGATGAGAAACTTTTACTTCCGGGTAAGCAAAACTGTATTGTATTTTGCTGTAAACCGAATTTTTATGTAGCTAGCTAGGCACGAGTCAAGCGAAACGCCGAAAGTTTGCATTGCAGATATTTTTAGACGTCTGATGATGTGGTCGTACTTATTACAGGGCGTAGCAAGCTTTCAGTCAGGGGGGGGGGGTGCGATCGCCAAAAATAGTCGGTTAGGGTTAACGGTCAGGGGCACAGATATTCAGATATTAGACTGAAAGTGCGGTAACTCTTTTACTTCCGGTTTGGACTCCCGTTTTTGGTTGGTCATAATCGCTGAGTTGGTGTATGTTTTACCTAATTTTTAACTTCAGTTGAGTCTCAATACTCCGAGGATTGTTTTGATACTTCAAACATGGTCGGAATCGCTTGCAAATCGCAGATATTGAGCTCGGACCACAAATTTCTTACTTTTTAGGCTGAAACTCTGTGCATGGACATGACCTCATATCGGTTGGAAGAAAAGGATGACACCACAAAAGGATGACACCATAAAAGGATGACACCATAAAAGGATGACACCACAAAAGGATGACACTAGTGGAAATCGAATCTATCCACTAGTATTTAAGTTATCAAAGATAACATTTTTTATGAAAATGGTGGCCATTTTGAAACTAAATAGCCATCTTGAAAATCTCTTATTGAGCAGAGCCCCATCGTCCCTCGGCATCAGCACATAAAATTGGAACCAAATTAACTATTCTAGTATTTGAGTTACAATTATGAAATAATAAAAAATACAATTTTACAAAAAATGATGGCCATTTTGAATTGCGCAGCCATATTGAAATTCCTTTTTGACAGAGGTCCTACACCTATAAAACATAAGCCTATAAAATTGAATCAAAATCAAAAATGAATCAAAATCAACCGGTATTTTGTAATCCCTCGGACAAACAAACGAATGGACAGATGGCTTCTTTATATCCATGCAAACTTCATTTGATAGGATAACAAAATGTGTTTCCCCGTATGAAGGCCAATGGAGTTTCCAAATATATCTATCAGACTTTGTGAATTTGCAGAATTGCCTCCTGTCTCCAATTACATCATAAGTAGAATGGTCCAAACAGATCCTCTTTTTGAAGTACTGTATCTCATCTAAATAAACCTTTTATATTAGATCTAATCTTTTGTAGTTTATTATATATAATTTGTTGTTGTCCTTATACTAAAAGCAAGATTCATATGCAGCCCTTTCTTGAGACATACTTTTCATGATGAAAATATTCAAGAACTGATGAATAATTCAACTTTCAAACGATTATGTAAATTAAGTCAAGTGTGGTCATTCCCCAAACATTATAAAGCTCTTAGATTGTATGATTAAATAGTTTAAAGGTGTCATCACATGCAATAAACTACTTAAGAAGATTCATCTTTAGAGTCAACCTTGCAAATAGATAAAATAGATAGTTAAATAATACAATGAAAAAGACAGAATACAAATAAACTAACGGAACTATTTCATTGTGAAATGAATCTAAAATACAACTCATCACTTTTTCTACGTAATTATTGAATATTTGCTGAAGCGTGTTTAAAAGTCCATCAACATTTATCAGGAAGGGAAAATCCATTGACACTCAGATGCATATCTTTCCTGTAACAATAAATGGGCCTCAACAAATTGCACAAGCATGCAGTAACATTTCCCCATATTTACCTTTTAGTGTCTTCAATGAGACCACCTTCCAAATAATATATGAAAACTAATATTGGATTTGAATTTATTTTTTATAAAACACATAGCTGGCTTCTAAGGTCAAATATAATTAAAAAAGAATTAAAATAAAGCATGTTTCAAAACAATTCCACGACAAAACTTGATACCTTATGAACGGGCAAGTGGGACAATCCTGGCCAAACTTTTATGTACAGGATAGTGGAATAGTCCCGATACATATGATATTCATTGGGGGTTTAATAGATACAAGCGACCTTTAGATGTAAACAAACACATCATAACAAAGAGTGTGCAAAGTTCAATCTAGTGTCATCCTTTTGTAGTGTCATCTGTTTATAGTGTCATCCTTTTCTTCCAACCGCCTCATATCCATTTATAGATCGTCAAGAAATCGTTAAAAAAATGTTCTGCGGACAAGTTACGAAAATATGAAAGTTGACTGAATAAAATATCACTGAGCAAAGCCCCTGGCATGAGAAAAAAATAATTTTGAGTTCTTTTTTTCTAAGTTTCTTCAAAAAGTTCAAAAAATCAATAAAAAGTTTCACATTTTACATTTCATAACATTGGATAAGACAACATATTAGCCCAAGTGGTTTAAACTTTATACAGGAATTTTAAATATTACAAGGAAGTTCAAAAAAGATCGGTAAATAAAATAAAGGATAGTCTATAGAAGGCCTTTAATTTCCCCCAAAACTTATAACAATATTAGGCTTCTGACAAACGGCGAATTATCAAAAACAAACGGCGATTTCGGACAATCGCCCCCTGCTGTTGAAAGACCAGCAAGTACTTCTTAAAAGCATGTCCGCATGTTCAGAAATCTTAATGGATCTCTTTCTGAAGTTGTAGTCTTATGTTATTTTCACGTACACTTTCAGTATCTTTTGTTCGATGTATCATATTTGTTATTACAATATATACAAATTATATTTTCAGACTCTGGTGGCAAGGTATTCCTGGTATTAATAGAAATTATGGATTCCCTGGACTGGTCGCACCTTCCTGAACATGTCATCGTTGAAATATTCCGTTATCTTTCCCTTGGCCAACGGTTCTACACATCCCTTGTGTGCAAAACATGGCAGACTAGTTTCCAAATGCCCTATCTCTGGCGTCAATTTGATTTCAAACTAAAAACCCAAGACGATTTGCGATTGCTAAGTTGTATACCTCTATATGGAAGGCATATCCAATCCGTGTACATTGAGCTTGATCAGTCAGTGGACGAACTCAGAGAGGCAGGGGTTAAGGTGATAACTGACCTGGCCCGATTAAGCCCAAGACGTCTTCAGTACTTAACTTTGAAATTCACCGGAGAAAATCCATTATTCTACGCTGGGAAGGAATATACAGATGCTTTGCATGTGTTGTTTTCTCCATATAGTTCAAATGTCGATGACGACATACAATACCGGGGTCTCATATCAGTAGACATAAGCAAGCTCTATGTCGCTCTGGACGACAAACTTATCAACATACTTTCGACATATAACAAAGATATAGAGCGAGTGAACATCCAGAATCGGAACCTTATATGCAGGGTTAGCCCAACTTGTTTACTCAGACTTGTAACAAGGTGCCGAAAACTAAAAGAACTATGCGTGTATAACAGTAGTATGTCAGAAGACGTGTTACTTGCATTGACTGAGAGTGATCGATCCCCATTACAACATCTGTCAATCATCTATAGACGCGAGGAGAAATACCTTAAACATATATCAGATGACTCGTGGATTGATTTGGTAAAGGTCCTTCCTGGATTGAGGGTCACTCTAGGCTTCGACCACACTATTGAATTGGCAAACATCAAACATAAACTCAATCCGCATATACCGGTGTCTGTTTTGCGACTCGACACGTTCACTCGTATCTATGACGAAATCAACATAGCTGCCAGCTACTATGGTAACACTCTAGAAAAACTGGTTGTCCAGACGACCGAGTCCGATGAACTTAATTCTGCTGTATTGAACCTGGTAGAAAATTGCCCAAATTTGAAATCCCTACATGTGTTCTGTGTCCTTGAAAAATCCATCATTGATAGAATCTTTGAATTGAGGCCTGTTTTAAGAGAGAAGAACACGTTTACGTTAAAACACATCAAAGAGCCTCATCCATGGGTAGCTGGAAACGATTGCTTTGGAATGTGATCTAGCTCAGGATCTACACTCGATGCTAGTTCCTCTCTTACAGGTAGACATGTGATAAGATACCCTGCATGCAGTCTCGTTATGAACTACCGAAGACGAAGCTCCCTTTTAAGAAGCATTTAGTCGAACGAATGCAAAGGGTAGTAATATGAGGGCTATGGAAAAAATGACGATAGCACTTGGTGGTTTTCTGCTACAGAAATGAAAACCGTATTGGCTTGTTTATGGTATATACAATATAACAGCAATTCGTTGATATACCAATAACACTATATCATTCATAAAGCAAATCTAAACAAGTTTGACATTCAGCATTTAATTTATTTCTATCTTAAACTTGATTTACAGTGTCAAGGCAAACGCTATACAGTGATGTACTGGATTTTGTCGAGTGGGTCTAATAAGAAAATGGGTAACTCGTCCAATTAAAAATACACAGTAATTGGAAAGCGGAAGATAATCATATTTGTTTGAACATGAAAAAATAGCGAAATATTTTCAATTCTTGAAGGTGCAATAAGGCCAGTAGAGAGAAAATTTCAGCATTAAGAAATGCGAATTCAGTTCAAGGCTTCTATAAATGTGTTCTCCTTTCGACAAATAAAACTTCATCACTGTCATCTACTTTGATAATCAGAATAAGATGATCGATGTGGTACACGGTTTGTTCCTTGTGCCATATGCGTTTTCCGAGTCAGAATGTTATTCGCATATATCCCAATTGAAATGAAAAGCCGTGGACGAACTACTATATTTGTCCCGACCAGGTACACATGTCACAGGACAAGTCTGCTGGGGATCCAAGTCCGAGTACACAACGCTCCCTGGAGCATAAGCACGGTCCTGTAGATAACAGCCTGAAATACAGACAAGCTGTTCATGAACTTTCAACAGACATTTTCAGAGATACAAGGATTGGCCAAAAATGGACGCTTCTAATACGAATATAAGGTTTTAGCCTACGGCTTAAAATAGTTATATGATAATATTATAGAGTTTATGAAATACTGTCTGAAATAATGAATGAGGGTATCAAGTTGAAGTTCATTTGTTTGTGCGTTTGGTGCCACTATTCCCGTTTAGGAATGTACGTATTGCTAATGTGCAAGTAATATACATTTAATAATACAGGTACATGAGGGGTACGAGGGTTCACCCCGGATTTTTTTTAGATTTACATTGGGATACGCCCATGTAACTACTTTAACTAAAATGGTTACCTTGAAGTTTGCAACGCTTAGTGGCTTTGTTGCGCTGCGCTGTTGTCATTTGACGTGTAAATGCTGTTACGCTGCCCAGTCTAGCACATTCACAGTTGTTCAGTACTCCGTCCGGGTGTCGTTCGACCCATTTTCGACCGATTGCATATGTAGATCCACCAGAAATGCACACAGAGCTTGTTGCTACGTGAGAATGAAATATCATAAGTAGATACGTTTGCAGTGGTACAGTAGTTAAAATGTAGGTTAAGTTAGAACTGTTTTGAATACTAGCCCCATATTATTTTCCCGAAGATCGAGGTCTTTTATTTATTTATTGTCAGACTGAGTGTGATAAGAGAAAAACTTACAGTAGCATGTCATTGCTTATATTAACATATTACATTGCTTCAAAAATCTCCAAGACACATTTTTTATTGTTTTAATGTTCTTGATAATGAATCTTGGCAAAAATATTAGTTCATTTATAATAATGTATACATGTATATAACAGCTATAATTATTCAAAAATATAATGGGATTGGTGTCATCTATACATTTTATCAAAGCCATGGGAATGGAGTACAGATACGAACATGAATTTAAACAAAATCTTAATGATCACCTTGTGTGCATTTCCCACATGATCGTTTGCAGTTTTCCAGCATGTACAGAGGATTCTTGTCACATTCCCCCGACTTGCCCAAGGTCCACATTGACTGTTGGAATCCTCACAACCTAAAAGTGAAGTAGGCTGCGTTTTTGAACTGCCCGCCACGCTAGTCAGTTGCATGATACTTAATAAAAAATATAACATATAACTTAATAAATTTTCCCCCTAGTAGACTATAGGTATCACGGAAAAGAACAATAAGCCCCTGTGTTGTAAATTACATGGTTACACACGTTTTCAACCAAACATACGCATTTACATCGCTACTTACGATATGCCAAACTTGTCCGGTAACCGCGTATGTCAACCGCGTCGGCTAGTGGCTAGTGCCACGCGGTACTAACTTCGACCGTTAATTTGAATTTTTGACCTACCGGATGTTTAAGAACCAAGGATTACGAGTCTCGTACTGCACCGTTTTTCTTCAAACTTGTTCCATTCAAAGCATAACAAAAATCCCTTTCTGTTGGTACATTATTCTCTTAAACATAGTCCCTATACTTCCAGCGGCATTTTGGTCCCGAGCTGTAAGAAGGCCTTCTAACAGCTGGGGACCAAGACGCTGCTAGAACGAGTGACTCTTTACAATAAAGTAATGCACCGACAGAAAGGCAATTTATTTGCTTTTAATGATATACGTTTGAAGATAAACGGTGCAGTATGAGACTCGCAATCCTTAATTTTCGAGCATCTGGTAGGACCCAAAATATAAATTAACGGTCGAAGTTAGGACCGCGTGAGTGCACCACAGGAGTTCGATTGCAATAAGCCGTGATATCTTTCAAAAGAAGCATGTGAGTGTAAGTGCAGCCTAATGCCGTGGTCACATTTTTTGCCCCGATTTTAGGCACCACGCCCGGTCGATGAGTATTTTGTTCAAAATTAAATACAAAGCCTGATCTAGTTCAAATATCAAGCACTGTGTTTAATATAAAGTGGTCTAAGTCGATGAAAACTAAAAATTTCGAAATCGACAATTTTCGTCCGCCATCTTGAATGCGAAGGTGACGGCAGTTACCTTCGCTTGATATCCACCAGTGACAAAATACAAAAATAGTAGGAAAACCTAACCCCGTAAGCTTTTTTGAACAACGTTTCTACAAAGTCTGTGTCATGGGGGGTCTATGATACATTTTAATAATACTGTAAAATCTGTTACGCGGTATATGGCAGACATTCATGGTTGCGCGGTATTTGTGATACGGGTGAATATGCCATACTCACCTGCGGTATATGGCATATTCCGCAGGTGAGTATGCGATATTCCGCAGTGAATATGCGATACATTGATTTCAGTGAATACCCGATACTCACATGTGGAATATGTCATACTCACTTGCGGAATATGCCATATATCGCAGGTGAATATGACATATACCGCAGGTGAATATGACATATACCGCAGGTGAAAAAGTGATACAAGAAGCCTTGATTTGATTGGTTGCGAGAATCGACTCTAAATGTAAAACTACGCTGGATTACCAATATAGTTAGTGCGTCGAGTACTTATTTGTGAATCCTGGATTGATTAAGTTTATTAGGTGAGATTGCTGACTGATACTTCTGCTAAATTAATATATTCGATATACAGTACTGTTGATTCAATAATCATTGTAATAATTTATAACGTTTTACTTGTTCGTTCAATCGATGCAATTGACTGTGTTTGCCATATACCGCAGGTGACTCTGTCATACACCGCAAGTGAATATGCCATATTCGTTGCGGGATATGACATATTTTTGTATCGTGTTTACCGCGTAACAAAATCAATGTCGGAGAACTAAGATTCTAAAAATCAGATTAAAAAGGAATGATTATGATCCTGAGAAAACTATGATTATCAAAATTTTCACAAACGTGCACAGTATGTGTTTGTAAGCAATGAGAAGGTGAAAAGTCATAAATATGTACGTAATTACATGCAGTGCAATAAGAGAAACAAGCAGAAACAATATCAAATGATTGAATCAACATTATAAACACTATTGGGTTTCGACTCAGCTAACAAGGGTAGTTAGCCGACAGTAGACTGATACCGTGATACGAATACCTGCGAAGACTTACACGTAAAGTCGATACAATAGGGAGTTTAAGCTAGCGTATAAAATAGAAACCCCAACCTATACGTACGACCAATCGACCATAAACTTGAGGTTGTTATCTAGCCATGAATCATGAATTATATACTTTTACTTGAATAAAATATGTCACCAGCGTCTCACTTAAACATGTGGTGTGCCATGAGAAATAAGCATAATTTGCAAAATGTTCCTGAACTGATACGGCCTGATGATCGCCAAGCTTATAGCCCTGATGCAAACCCCAGTGAGTATAGGGTATGGGAAGGTCCCCAGGAGACGGTATATATGAAGGCACCCAATCTAGAAAATTGCTCAACTAAAGCTGGCAATTAAGACAGGTTGAAAAAAACTTAGCTAACATTTTATTGATACTGCTATATCAGCATGGCGACTAAAACTAAAGTATATCATCAATTAGGCAGTTAGGGTGGCGGACCAATTGAACTCCCCTTTTAGATCAAGTTGAAGGATTTGTTACATTATATTATTACTAAGAACCCCTGGCACTATATAACTGCAAAATTTGGGGTATGTAGGTTGGAAAATAAAAAAGTTGTAGTGTTTAGAAAAAAAGTGGCGTTTTTTTGGCCCACACTGTATGTATTTTCCGTTCACGTTTAGGTTGTGAAAAACAGTGCAAGCTTAAACTCCCTAATTATAATTCAACACGTAAAGGTATGCCTTCGTTCTTGTCGATATAGAGAGCCTCCCGTGGTCGCCCTCTAATTGGGAGAACTCAGGCATGTTTCGCGTCATAGTAACATAAGCTCTAAGTATTACACAATGTAGTTGTAATTTATCATTCAGTGTATTATTGCTTATAAGTTTTAGGTATATACATTTACGTGTTGAATTATTGTTTTTCAAAAATATCCAAGATGCATTTCATTGATAGTAACCTGGTGTGCATTTTCCAGAAGACCGTTTGCAGTTGTTTGCCATCCACGATCGATTACTATCACATCTCCCTTGACTTTTCCAAGTTCCACATTGTCCGTGAAAATCCACACAACCTAAAATTGAACTGTTTCTTGCTTAAGAAAAAGCGGAAGAGTCAACCATACAAAAGGCTGTACCATGCGGAGATTATAGGCCTAATACAACATTGTAATCACATACTGAAAGATCAGAATTAGTAGAGTACTAACATAGTAGAAAATCACAGTAGAAAATGGAATTGTGTCAAACGTCTTTGTAAGCCATGCGAAGGTGGTCTCATAATAATCATTGAGTGGTCCACAGCATGTATGATACTAAATGGAGATGGTGGTAGGAAAAATTCGTTCGATATTGATAGACCTTCTGAATTTCTTTCCATAAAGTAAACTAATAATATTTCTGTTTTAAACATTTCCAAAGAAAAATATATCTGAACTTGGAGAAAAAAGAAACAGCTAGCTTGGCGAGGATACCAACGGAAAATATATTTTGTCTGGCCGGTATTTGGGAATATTTTGTTCTTCGTCGGAACTTTATTACTTTGCATGACGAAATATGTGACACCCATTTTACTTGGTAGAACGAAAGTCCAACATCTTGGATGATACTAAATCCAGCTGTGGACCAGTGGTAATGTCATTATAAACCAGAACATATATTACATGCAGCATTGCCATAAAATAAAAGCAAGAAAGAGACACATTCGGAATGGGCAAAATTAATGTAACATGATAAAATAAACATGACAAACGGTCGGATATTGACAGTACTGTATACATGCGTAATTAGAGTCATTTGAGTTCACTTTGTTCCGATAAGATACATTTTCGATCTCCTCGTTAATAACTACAGGATGTATTCACTAAACAGTGTAGTCAATCATTCCATTTACCACTTTTCCCTTGCATTGATCATCATTACGAAGTTAGTCTGAAAATTCCCCATCGTGAACAATCTTTTTTATACGGACACGACAGAGACATATAAAGTCTCTGGACACGACAATTGAGCAATTCGTTACTGGCTTTTTTTTGTTTTTTTGCGGCTATCACTGTTTGGCGAATTGTATGTAGAATCCATGTCTCATTTTGATCAATCGCATTATCTTTGTGTTTTACTTGGTTTTGCAATGCCACTCATTTGTCCTTTTTATTGCAAGCCTTCGCAAAAGAATTGACAAGAAAATGTTTTAGGTCTCCAAAACCCATATCATTCATATACCGATATGATCAAAATTAATTTTTGCTTTGGTTCCACAATTTTATTCATAAAAGACTATTAATGTGTTTAATTTACTGACCACATTTCTGACATGATAACATGCAATTGTTTGCCATCCACACGGGGTTCTTCTCGCATTCTCCTTGACGCGCCCATGCTCCACATTGACCACTGGTGTCTACATCTCTGCAACCTAAAATAGGACATTTGAAAAAAACAGTGAAGTGAAATGGCCCGTTGATTGATTCAGTTGATTAACGAATTATTCTAAATATATATTTAACGGTGTATCATTTTAGTGTATTTGGTGCGTTGTTACCTTTTTAACAAAATATTACACAAAGCTATTACTTTTATTTTCTTAAAATCAAGTTTACACTGATATTTTCTAATTCATCTAGCAAAGATGAAAAATAAATCTGCCATTCAGTTTTGGCATGTGCATATTCTGTATTAATTAATTCATTTTTAATTTTATGTTATAAATTATTATAAACTCACCATGAATGATACAGACGACGAGACAAAGTAAAGCAACGACCGAAATGAAATATCTCTCTAACGCCTAGGACAGAATGATGAAATATATTAGCTATTGTGACTGAGATATTAATTGTGTAGGCCTAGTCGACCTTTCTGCTTAATAAAGATGAATAAGGATGTAAATTGTTTGAGAAATAGACTTGTCATATTCTCGATATATTTAATATACACCTACCATTTTGCGGAATATAGTTGATCTCATTCAATATGACATTGTACACTCAGTGATCCCCAGGTTTATCTATATTTACTTTTGATAATCGTCCAATACGTCTATGGACAAATCCAAGGGCAGTTCAGTAGTCAAACCTTAGAAATATACTACCCAAATTATGTTATTAACAACTTATTTCAATTACTCGACCGTTGGTGTATGTAGTTCAAATTAACAGTTCGGAAGGATAACTACACATTGTAACAACGACTGACAATCCCCAAGCCAAGACTCCTATAATTTCGAAATTCTCATCCAGAACATTAAATGTTATCCATATGGAGGGCCCCTTATATTGTTGATCCTAATATATTATTGTAAACACCTAGATTTATGAATATGCTATCATTCAAATTCAATAGATATTGGTTACTACCTGTCATATATTGATATAATGATGGTCTAGATCCTTCTTATCTCAATTTTATTTCCCGATTTCTACGAAGACCCTTGTCTGAATGTCCGATTAAGAGCCAGATTAAAACCCATGGGTAGCCTTTCCTGTTCAAGGCGTCCTCCAAATCGCACTTGGGACTTTTCACTGCAACGTTCTCATCGTCGTGCCTCAAAGTATCACCGAGCACCGTGTCTCTACAACACAAGATGGCATGCTGCCTTCAGGTAGCAAATCTTAGTTATATATTTTGTATTCTCCATGAAACCCCATCGCTTGGACGATCTCTTCCATCATCGTGCGCACAATTAGCACATTATCTAGTTTTGATAACTGTGATTAGCATTCATCCTCATTCATCCTTAGCATTCATCATTATCGTAAAGTGAAATACCGTTTTAATTTCTCAGTTTTGTAACAGAAACGCCATTTATGGCATGCTTATGTAACGGTCTGCTTAACGAAATTATTAATGCATAAAGCTTTCGCAGTTGCGGCAGTATGATATTTTAATGTCTATTTCACTGAAACACAAAAACGGAGCAACACTTTAAATATGAATCCTGTGTGGTAGACTAATCGAAAATAAACCGGTTTTGTAACTACGAGGAAGCAAACCTTGACGGAAAACGCAATTCGAACGCGAGTTTGAAACTATTATCTGTAATCTGATTGGTTGATTTTGTATCAACTCACGATTGAATCGAATGTCAGATCGCCAGCGTTGTTGGGCGTCAGACGATATCTGGAGGCACGACTACAAGGTAGGGCTATGCACATTTTCTAGGTAAAAGGATTCCTGTTTTTGGACTGGGCGTTACTTCGGCTTACAGACTTCATCAACAGCAATATGCAGCAATGAGCAACCCAAGATAAGGATTCGTAAGCTGTGAATCTACAGCAGTCCATTGGGGTGCCGTAACGGCTGGAATTCGCTGAAGGAATAGCGTCACCACGGGAGTTGAGACCGCACAGTGAGCCAAGCCCACCAAGAGCAGCCAGTCTCCGAAAGTCGAGAACCTACACTCTATGCAAGTCCCCTATCATCGTGATCAAGTCCACGACGACTTCAAGGGCCAGTCCCACAACCGGTTGCCTCTTATCGTCTCGCATAGCTTTTATTATATTTTATAGACATTTTAAATAGACATTTCTGTGGTATTATTTTGAAAGACATTTTATAAAGACATTTACATATCTAGAGTAATAGATTAAATTAAAAGCATCATAAATACCATTGTTCTTTCTCTCAGTGCAATATTACTATTTTGATCATACTGTTCTCTATGTTGATTTTTAAATAAATAAACCTTGTACATATTGTTATATTTTACATCACTTGTCGTGTTGCATATGTGTTGCATGTTGTATTTGATATATTAGGTTCTGTTTAAGTCCCATTCCCCTCCCCGTTTCGTCCGGTTATACTGATATACGTAGATATGGATGTACAGTAGTTCCATAATCGCCGTCTCGGTTGCAACACATTGGTGTCTCTGTTGCATTGAAAAACATACAGCAGTGTCTGTGTTACATAAACGAGGAATTCAAACTGCAGATATGAAGCTTCGTGACGATCCTTGATGCTATCCTTGAATTACACTTTTTGAAAACAGAGATCATGAGCTATAGTGCATGCACGATTATGAAGAAAATCATCCGGGAATTGAGGTAAAATGGAGACAACAAAATATATTTAAAAAATCTGCTACATGGAAGCAGTGCATCTTTATTGACACAGGAAAGACACAGTGGTGTTGCAATACTGGCAAGAACCAGTGGTATACAATTCCCATTTGGTACTTTTAGCATCTCGTTAATTTTTATGGCATTGCCACTTTGTGATTATTGCATTGAAATTATCATCATGTTGCACCGGGTTTACACTTCAAGATCACAATGATCTGCATTTGTCACTTATGTAACGAATGATTTCATTGATTAATACCAATGCATAAGATATTAATTTTAATCTTCAAAACATTTACTTTCTAGCAATTACTGCTTTGATGCTAATGAAATATTTATTGTGTGAGGTCAACATTAATACGGATGTTTACGTATGGTTACCGCTGGGCTGTGAAGTACGTGGTACGTACAAGCTAAGCTACCTTCAAAATGGTAAGTAACAACTAATTTTATATTCGCTGTTCATTTTAGATGAATAAGCTAGAGCTTACCCTTTGCATTCGTTTGACTTCACTTCTTAAAAGAGAGCTTCGTTTTCACTCTTTCAAACTAAAATAAACCCGTGAACTTACCGCGCCAATCAGTGTTCGATCAACTTGAGTTCTGAGAAAATGATGATTTCAGCATTGGTGCATTGACTTGGTGACACGCCTAATGTTAGCCTATACCACGCTAAGTAAATCGTCAACGGTGTATGTCTCCATGTTGAGTCAATGCGCCCTTGCTAAAATCCTCATTTTATCAAAAGAACTCGGGTTGATCGAGTCGATCAGGTTGATTCATGTGGGATGGTATTGCTTAAATCCATTTTCAAAAGTAAGAATATGGGTTCTTAAACAGGACACTGGGCTTGCTTTTCGGAATTTTATGTTAGTACTAACTAGAAAGAAAGAAAAGTCTAATTAAACACGGCATTCAACTCAATTTGTCGTTTAAGTGTAATGATCAGATGCAATTTGTCGTTTAAGTGTAAAGATCAATTTGTCGTTTAGTGTAATGATCAATTTGTCGTTTAAGTGTAATGATCAATTTGTCGTTTAGTGTTATGATCAATTTGTCGTTTAAGTGTAATGGTGAATTTGTCGTTTTAAGTGTAATGATCAATTTGTCGTTTAAGTGTAATGATCAATTTGTCGTTTAAGTGTAATGATCAATGTGTCGTTTAAATGTAATGGATTGTGTGTGTGTTTAGGAATTTCAATTATTGAAGTAATTTTGCATTTTATTCAGGATCGACATATGCTGATATTTGTACTAGTCGTTTGTACCATACTCTCTGGTTGTTATGCAAGGTCAAAGCCAGGACCCGTTCGACCAAGTAAGAATCAAAAGGCGTAACTGCAGTGTGATACTTGAAACTTTAACGTTACTATCACATCAAACTAGTTCTCACTACGATCTCGAAACGGGCTTCAGCTGTGTACGAACGGACTGGACGTACTTAGAACCGTTTTGGGTATATTTACAAACTTCATTGAACGTACTCGAACAGGTAGGTCCTCTAGAACTTAGAACATGCTCAAATGTTCTCGTGGTCGTCACGTTCTACAATTAGAACGAGTGACAATGTACTAACGACGAGCTGGACGTACTACGAACGGAATCGTCGTACTTCAATCCCACTAGGGACGTTTTAACAACGAGTTGAACTGTCCGAGGACGTATTGAGAACGAGGTAGAACTAATTGCAAACGGGTTTAAACTGACTAAGAACGTATTAAAGACTGTTTATGAACGAGTAAGCAAAAATATAACTATCACACCAAACAAGTTGTCATTGCGTTCTTCAAAACTGGTTTTAAACTGTGTGCGAACGGAATGAACGTAGCTGCAACTTTCTAAGGTGTATTCGCGAACTTCATAAACCTTCTCAGATGGGAAGGTGATTTTAGAATTTTGAATCGATGGCGATCATACCGTTCATCAGGTCATGATGACCTTGTAGACTAAGGGACGCGTTAAACGAAGTTGCACACCGACGTGGTGCGACCTGAACGAACTGCAAATGAGATGGACGTATTGAAGACTGTTTATGAACGGAGTAGCTGCTAATTATTTTAGACATATTTCCCGATTACAGCCAGATTGAGCCCGTTGTACGACGTTTTCGTAGGACTGGCAAGAACAGGTAAGAACTAGTTTGGTGTGATAAGCAATGCACATAAAATCGAACCTGTACGTATAAATCACCCCATACAAATGCATGCAGTTTTCTCACATAATACAATCATTATCGTTTGGCCACAGTGTTAGCTTAGTCGATCCGTTACTTAGACTACATGCTCGTTCTGTAAGCTATGTTTGACATACATCATTTTCTTCAGAAAGCATTTTTAGATACCATGCTTCAAAATCAAAATTGCCAGCATATTATTCAAAAGACATGAGTATAAATATGATTCCCGTTGCCACCAACGTGAAATTGCAAATCTCCCGTTCTAAACACAGATCTGAAACTGATCGGGTCTCTAAAATAGACTAACCCTACTATCACACCAAACTAGTTCTCACTACGTTCTCCAAAACGGGCTTCAACTGTGTACGAACGGAGTGGACGCACTTAGAACCGTTTTGGGTCTATTTACAAAGGGACGCGTTATACGACGTTACACACCGACGTGGTGCGACCTGAACGAACTGCGAATGAGATGGACGTATTGAAGACTGTTTATGAACGAAGTAGCTAATTATCTTAGACGTATTTCCCGACCACAGCCAGATTGAGCCCGTTTTAAGACATTTTCGTAGGACTGGCAAGAACGGGTAAGAGCTACCGTAGTTTGGTGTGATAGGGGGGTAAGTAGCGCTTGTTTTGTATGCGCGCTATATACATTACTGTATTTATTCATTGGCTTTGCGTTCAGGGTTACGTTGTGAAAAATATCCCTAGCCTAAACTCTCAAATGTCACGGTGTGGTTGCCCAAGAGAAAATACAATTAATAGTGAGTGAATTTGATACGGTGCAACTGTTGCATATTTTTGGTTTTACACAACGATATTTCGCACATATAACCACAGTCTAGCTAATTTTTAAGACTGAAATCTTTCCCGCAGTTAAAAAAGCATGTACAAAAATACAGGCCTAAGGAATGCTCGGCATTAAACTCGTTATCCCTTCTACATCCTTTTATACATTTACATATTCAGGAAACCACTGTTTACGTTCGAATGGAGCAACTTCTGGACTTGGAGAAAAGTGGACCAGTGAGAGAGACGGTGTGAAAGAGAATTGTGAATGCGTCCCCCTCGCGAAGACATTTGACAATCCAAGTTACCTACCCGAAGATATGTGGAATACTCCCGTCAAAGTATGCCTTCTTGAAGGTAAGCGTAGAAATAAAGGATGGAAATAAAGTATAGGTACCCGTACTCCACGAATATCAACAAAACATGTTTTGTGCATTAATGATATTCCCAAGTACTGTACATATTAGACTAGTTGTACTTTATAATAGGCCCCAGTAGTTCCAAATAACGCCTATAGAGCTCCTCATACATCATGCAGGTCATTCACCCACACATATTTTGTACATAATTCATATCCCAAAGTAGTACTTTAAATAGGGCCTAGTGGTCCCCAATCTAGGGGTTCCCAACAGCCCCCTGTTCATGCAGTCCATTAGAAGCCCACGCATACAATGTACTGTGCATGATGAAATCCCCAAGTATACGCTAGTATTTTTAATAGCGGTCCCAATAACCTTCCCCAGAGTGCAGTAGTTCCCTTTAGATGGATAGTTTTTCTCTCAACCTCCTTGTGGTCCCTAGAAGGTCATTAGAAGGAAGAACTAATGGTTTCAAAGGTTTCTTATTGGCACCTCAAGACCAAAGCTCCTAAACACATGATTTTTAAAATATTCTAAAACTGCACCATACTATCAAACCATCGAAGTAAAATGGATTAAATTTTGCACCCAGTGTCATCCTCGGCAAGTTTTCACGACAACAACGATCATATCATTACAAACTAGCTCCACCGATGTAGGGATTGAAAATCATCACTGCTGGATCTAATTCCAGTCATTGTTCTTTTCATGCATACGTTTGTAGGGTGTGAAAGGCAGGAAGAGGCATACAAACTGGGAACTGTTATAACTACACGACAAGGACCATGTACCATGCGTGAAGAATGTGTCGCAGGAACTGATCCATTTGGCCCCATGGATACATTCGCTCCCCAGTTCTACTTCAAGATTATTGCTTTTTCATGTGATTATGCTGAGTAACCGTGACAACCAATTTTAGATTCATCAAACAAAATGCGACCTGCAACAGGCGGCATGATGCAAAAACCCGTATATATAATGTATCAATCATTAGGCTCAATAAAAGCTCATGCACCAACTTATTTTGATATTATATAGGAGGAGGAATAAAAAATTGTTTTCAGTGCATTGTATAACTTTATTGTTTACAAGTAATACGTTTTTATTATGTCACCACTAAGAAGTGAGTGGTGAGATATGGTTATGGTCTCGGTTTTTTGTGGCGGAGATTGGTGGTTGGCGATCGGCGGATGGCGGGTGGTGGGTGGCGGTTGGCGTCTGTAACAAATTCTTAAAACTTCCAATAACTTAACAAATACTGTTCAGACTGACTTCACTTTTTTCAAAATCATCTACAGAGTATTAGAAGGTCAAATCTGGCTTCAGATTTAAGATTTGACCTTCAATGACCTTCTTAAGGTCAAAGAAAGGTCAAAAAGGTATTTTTCAACTTGCTTCAAATTGACCTTTTTTTCAAAATCATCTACAAGTTCTCAGAACGAAGTTCAAATCTTACTTTAGACTTGATATTTAACCTTCAATGACCTTCTTAGGGTCAAGAACTTGCTTCAAATTGACCTATTTTCTGCAGAAATTCAAATCTGACTTAGATTGAACTAATAATATTGCGAGCAACTAGTTTCATTTGTAAGACATAATATCTAATAATTCTAACGAGGGCGGCGAAGACAACGTGTTTTTGCAATTCGGCCGTGTCGCACTCAGCATATTTGACATTGTACGTTTCACAGAGAAGGAAGGTTTAAATTAATATCGTGTTCATTGAGCGTTGAATTGAAAATAAAAATCACTCTGTCTATTGTAGATGTCTAGATGACAATAAAATTAATTAAACATTCATACTTGAATGAATACAAATTAAAAGTTGATAAGCATTTTACTTTCATTTGCAATAATCAAACTCTCCAATCATGAAGAATAGCCCCTTCTCATACTAACTAAACTGACTTCACTTTACGATATTGTTGACTTCGGGATACTATATTGTATCTAAGAGACCTCTAGTGACTAGTTGGATCACTTTACAACATTGATAGCATGATAGCCGTAGCCAGCGGGGGTTCGGTGGGTTCGAACGAACCCCCGGTCAGGATTTCCCAAAATATCATTTTGCGGAAAATGCATATAACCAGAATCATTAAATTACTGTGCTATTTGAAAACTACATATATGAGCAGTAAATGAATTGATATTTGTTATGGTGAACACGAGAGCATTATTTTCTTAAAAACATGTCATAGTGACACTTCCCTCAAAACGTTTTAATAATTAAAAACGTTGTGAAATGAATTATTTAAAAGCGTATATCATTTATAAACACAAGCATTTGTTCAAATTCATTCATTCTTTCATTTGTTCAGTATTTATTTACCCATCACTTTCCAAAGAAAAATCAATCATTGCAAAAAATTATTTTATTTTTTTCAGATACACTCCACTCATCTAAGACATTGTATAGAATTCAAATTGTTATCGTTCCAGTTTACTTGCTCTCCATTTTCATGTTAATGTCATGATATGTTTAGCGAATAAATAATATAATAAAAAAAACATATGAAAAATTATGAGAAATTATATGGTATTAATCTTCAAATAATGAAGGCCTTTGTTATCAAGCCGTCTGAACTTAACAAAATAACAGGCGCTTGTATTTATATATAATTTTATCCACTAAAACGTTTTTTATTATCAATTGCGGTTGATCTGCTCTGGGTAACTTACCACTGAGCTCCGATGACGTCCAAAGAAATATTTTTAACTTTTTAAAACAAAGCATAACCGACCCACTTATTTGAATAATAGATATTTTTATCAGTAATACGACTATCCCGGATAGTTTATAAAGCCTTCGTGTAAACGTTGTGAAAAGTTATCATAGAAGAACGATCTTTCGGAGTATAGGGTGTTTGCGTCAATTTCAATAACCTTGCATTTGATCCGAACTGGCTTCCAAAAATTTCCTGAAAAATAATGATAAGCCATTGCATGAGGTGATTTATTTTGTCCTAGATGAAGTAGCTTAAGTTAAAGAATAAATTGTGCGAAATAGTTGATATTCCTTGGAAACAAATCATGCTCCAGGGTCTTCCAGAAATCAGTCGAAATAATGGTGGGTTCGGGGCAAATCAGATTTCAGGATATGTATTCAGTAAAAGATTCACCGAAGTATATTTTGATGCAGAAAATTAATTATAAGTTGTCTGACTTTTTTGCACGTTGCCTGTTTATTTTACTTTGTGAACATTAAAGTTGCAAAGCTACAAGGTCATTTTTGAAAATCATTTTTACGTCCAGACTTTTCTCATGTCATTCCTTGTCATGTCTATTTTCTAAAAATCACAACTGTGCATACTTTGTTCCAGGAAAACTAAAGATTTTTACAAAAATGTATTATTTTTCTATAAGAAAGGTTACCATTCTTATTATTTGGGAGAATTTAAACATTTTTCACTCATTTTTGCACTTTGAATCATTCATAACTTCACCAATTTATAACATGTTGTGAATCTTTTGGGAGATATTGTATTTGATATTGTAAGGAATAGATTGGTAGGCCAATTATTCATGTTGCTTGTAATGTATCACCCCCTATAGATCATGTAGCTCAGATTCTGCCTTTAATGAAGGTATTGAAATGAATTATATTTCCCCTCCCAAAATAGTTTTTTTCTTTACAAATTATGCAAATAAGAATTCAAACTTAAAGATGCTTTAATACATAATCCAATGGGTTAGTTAGGATTGCCAAACTTTTGGAGGGAGTGTAATTGTACAAATTGCATTATTTGAGAAACCCTAATGAAGGGGGGGGGGGATTTGTGAATAACATAAAAATAGAACCCCTGGTCACCAAATCCTGGCTACGCCACTGACGTATATATGACTCGGCAATTATTATGATAAAGTTCGGATATAAATAATCACTTGCTAAGGTTTTAATGACCTTTTTGTTATTGTTGTAATGATTTCATTACTTACCAATGAATAAAATATCAATCTCAATTTATCTAGCTACAATTATAATTATCGTAAACTTCCCCGTCTGCTGTTACTTTAATACCACTAAAAGTTTGCAACTTTTAGAGTTCATGTCATAAGTCTAACACTTTAAAAATGGTAGGTAAATTCGTATTTTATTGCAATATTTACACAATATTTTGTACTCGTTCTATGGCAAAAATTATAATTTTGGAAATAAACTTAAATTCTAAAAAACACACAAGGAAACATATTATGGTACAACATCATTGGCAAATGGTAAAACTGACATTATTTCGCTCGGTTCATCTTTTCCACGATGTTGTAACACTATTTTTTAAAATAAATCATGATGTTTTAAAGGAATATCACAATGCAATGGTAAGACAGCTCATATTAATAAATGTGTATGGCCTCCAAGATTCCATTTTTGAAAAAATCGAATGTGCACTGTACACATTTTAGAAGGAATATGAATTGTCAATGTCTGTTATTTAATTGCACAATGAAGCCACATATATGTAAAATATGTATGATTGATTGATTAGATAAAATCTACATGTATACAAGCGGATAATTTTGGTTATTTCAGGCTAAGGAGATAGTGATGCTTGTATTAGTTGTTTTGACCTTGACTGCTGGTTGTTACGCACGGTCACAGCCAGGACCAATAAGTAAGAATGAACAAGTATAGTAAGACTGAAACTACATGATTTGATCAATATAGGCATACGATCTTTGATTTATCCCTTTTCGCCTCGTTTTTAATCTGTACAGACTACAGAGTAAACTTAAAAGGTATAAATATATCACCAATTACGAATTACATGTACGATGCGTGGACTCCACCTGGGGACTTCATGCTTTTTATGAATCACATGTCATTTAGCCATTTAAATATTACACTCAGAATAATTTCTTTGTCATGAACAATTGCATTAAATGTGGACGTTTTGGACTCGAAATGTACTCGTAGATAATGTTGATTTGATCTGTTAGTGATGCCTCACTATTAAAATAAATATACATATTTGGTAGTGCCTCGGTGTGTGAGGTCGGATGGAACAACGTTTGAACTAAGAGAGAAGTGGACCAATGACAGAGACGGTGTGGAGGAGATGTGTGAATGTGTCAGAAGTTTTAACCCACTCATGCCCCATTATATGCGGAATCGAGCCATCATATCATGTCTTCTCCAAGGTAACTATATTCACAACGTTCTTACTTCAGAGACAAATCAGTAATACGCACACAAAGTACACCTTTATACTGTGACACCAGAAATTCTTAAATGTTAAGATCACGATAAGCAGATAAGGCGAAAACTCTAATGGGAGAATTCGTGGTTGTTTGGTCGGACAAAAAGTTAGCGGTAAGTTTGGCCAAAAGATGCGAAAGCAAGGCCTAGGCCTAAAACTAATGGAGGAGATCTATCAAGATGGTACATGTCCCGGTGTAAAAGGGTAGGTGACCTAATTACAATTGTTTTCCTTATTATTTAAACACAGTCAGGGCCAGTAAGGGCCGTAAGGAAAGGGGATCATAATCCCCAGGGGACCATAATTTATTTTACACCGGGGTATACATGTATGTCCAACGATTGCAAGACCCTTCTTTTACAAAAACATTAGCGTCCTTACTGCGATAATTGATATTTATGTAAAGAACTGTATAAGACCGCCACTCGCCAACAATTAGTAAAAGACCTTTCCAATAAACCCAACTTTTGGTGTATCAAAGAAGCTAAGGATATATGATTGATGATGTCAGATGTTGCGGGTATACGTAGAGGTATCTGTCCAAGCAAAAATACGATTACTTTTGTAAAGGATCCGGATATATGCCCTTTTGGTCCCTCAGTCAAATGTATGGGAAATATGGTTTTTATTACTCTCATAGTTATATTTGATAAGTATATTTACTTTTTCACGAGTTTTGATGCATAATTAACCCCCTGCTGAGAGTCAGAACAAGTATCTTAACAAAAATGAAATAGTCATTATTAAGATAATCATAGAAAAAACACCAATGGCAACATGTATGACATACAAAGAAGAAATAACTTAAGACCTATGAAGAATTAAAAAGAAAATCATATTTTGAAATATATTTAAGGATTAAAATTTTTTCAAATTTTTAAATTTCCCGCCAGTTTAATTTGAAGGGGGAAAACAAGATAGATGGCTGCCATTTGATGTAAGAAATATCAGAACTTTTAGTTGTCACAATGAGCTCAGTTTTCCTGTTTAGTTTTTTTGACTGATTCTGACTCTTCATCACCGGAGTCATGTTAGTCTATATCCAATAGACTGAATTTCCTGAGAATTCAGTCTATTGATCATTATGTCCCTCCTGTGGGAAAAAAACAGGAAATTCCAGGCACACAATTATCAATTTTAGGAAACTTCCCTTCCCAAAAATAAGCATTATAACAATTCAATTAAGTAGTAAGGTACAAATAAATGCTATGAAAAGTAACACAGCATATTGTCAAATGGAAATAAAGCTAGGGGAAGTAACAAATATGCAAATCAATTTACCCAGTCGGCCATTTTGAATGGCACTTCCTATGTAAACAAATATTTTTCAATCCCAAATTTTAACATATGTAGGCTATAGTCTGAATATTTTCATTCCAAATTTTAAAAAAATTTCAGACTAGAGGATATAGTCTAGGGGTCATGTAAAGAGATTATAAAATTGAAACCAAAATGTTGTGCTCAGCATGAATTTGACTGAAATATGTGCAACTTCACCAACACAATTGAAGTCTCAAAACTGGATGCTCGGTAACTTTGAGTGACTATAATCATTTGATTACCCAGATAAACACCAATTCACTTTCCAGAATTCCAGAAATACCATTCAATGTCTAAAGTAACCAATGTTTTGGAGGATATGTTTCAAACTTTTTGTATTTGCCATTGATTTTTTTCAATTCTGACAAAGTGATATGCACTGTCTTTGATTCCAATATTCTTCATCAATTGTGATATAAACTGATATTTTTGTAATCTCAGAAGAAAGATAAGATATTGAAGTTTAATAATATGTGTGATTGAGTTGGTTTTTCAGACATTACAATTTTCAATATTTTCTAAGTCGATACCCAGACTCATTCTTTACAACCAATGACATCATCAAAACGTATAGCCAATATTGTATATCCTACAAGTGGCTTCTCTGATGTACCGATGTGTCGGGGGTTATTGGAAATGTCAAATTAACCACAAATTACAAAATGATGCAATTATAATGGATATTGCAGGATGTGAAAGAGCGGGCAAAGCCTACCCACTTGGTACAGTTATAAGAACACCAGGAAGTACGTGTGATTTGGTTGTCACGTGTGTGGAAGGACCAGATCCCTACGGTCCAATGGATATCGCTGTAAGCCAGTTCCACTTCAAGACGACTATTGATTGCCATTCACAGTGAAGCTCCCTTGCATTAAGTCATTGTGTTATGGTCGCCTCCAATTTGATACAAGGATGAAGAAACATAGATATATATGACAAATAAGACTGACCATGTACTGACTAAGAGTGCCTAGTTACTTAGTCTGTAATTTTACATGAAAATCAAATAAAGTCCCTCTCACTATTATTTTAATTGTTTGAACTGATGTTTTATTCTACCTATTCGAACCAGTTAACTCATTTTCTCGATTAAATAATTTATTTGGAGAGAACATTTTAATAATCCTAAAATGTTCATGGACTTGTTTGAGTCAGATATCTACATTTATCAGGGCTTTCAATAGCAGGGGCGAGTGTCTGAAATCGCCGTTTGTTTTCGATAATCCACCGCTTGTTAGTTTTGGGGGAAAATTAAAAGTCTTCCATAGACTATCCTTTATTTTATTCAGCGATCTTGTTTTGCACTTCCTTGTCTATGATTTGTACCTCAGTTTCGAACTGCAAGGGAACTCACTATAATCGTAAAGATCACCTGATCTCATTATAGTAGTAAACACCGTCCAATTGTTTACCCGTTTGGGCTATGCATTTTAGATCACTATCTGACCACTATCATGTGCATGATAATTCAAATTCCAACCTTTGGTATAATCAGAGTTGGTTATTTTCCACTGGACATGCAGTTACATGTTTGATTGATACAAATCTGTCCAACCAGTCACCAATGTAACGTTCTATAAAGTCGGTTAATGTAGTTACATAAAGCTTTGGGTTAAGACAAATATAATATATACTCGCATATGATCATTATCTTGATATGTTTACAACTCAAGAGTCTCTATTTAGGGTTTAATATCTTAATTGTACATATTTTACTCTATCAAAATACCAGTGTCATATAAAATACTGAGTACCACTATAACATCACCACACTATGTTGATGGCATGTTGTCATTGCAACATGTACTGTGAGAGTCCCACTTCGCTGAATAATACACATTGCTGAATAACGACGTTGTCCCACTTTGCTGAATAATACACATTGCTGAATAACGGCATTGTCTCAGATATATGTCCCCTAGGTCACACTAAGAACGCCACTTGATATCAAAAGCATGAACGCCACTCATTCAGTCTCTGTATAAGCACATAGGCAACTAGGCACTAGCGTCTAGTATTCAACACATAAGCACCTCACACGAGTATCAGATTCATTTTCATCTTGAATTTCTAATGCTGCTGCTTTTTGTACAATTGGGACCATTTTACTTTTTGAGTAACAATCTCAAACCTTTTTGGCTTATATTGTTGTCTTATCCAATGTTATCAAAGTGTGAAATGTGAAACTTTTTATTAATTTCAAAAATGTTTTTGAAGGACTTTTTGTCCAAAATATCGTGAATTTATTTAAAACTAACTTTAAGATGTCACACTTATCCTTTAAAGCGATAATTCACACCGATGCATAGCAATCATCCTCACTTGTTTTTTTGCCGAAAAAAATCAAGAAAATTGGTTGATAGATGAGCGAGCAATGAACTCATCCATGCATGAAAGTGGTTCAGGGAAAGATGCATTTCCAAATTTTAATTCTCATTGAAACCAATGGTAAAGTAATATTAAAAACATAATATATTCATCCTTTTAACCTGGTTAGACAGTCAAAATTGGTTTATTTTTTAAGTTTAGCATATTTAGAAAAGATTGACATTGAAAAATGTTGCCCCTGAGTGATGTCACGATGTGGTCACTTAGGTTGAAAATATTTTCGATATGCTAAATCATTGAATTGGCACATTAGATATAACATTTTATTTTTAACATAGTTTGTCCGTTGTTCAATCTTTATATTGGTGTTAAAAAGATATAGAGGTTCTTATATGAGAACCTGTGCAAGATCGTCCATTCTTGATGAGCTTTCATAATTCTTCTTTATCCCACGATTAATGTGTTATCTGTACAATAACAGCTATTGATATTTCTGATATTATTGAAATCCGTGTGATATTTTCCAGAAAATCGTTTATCAAACTCATATGCGTGTGATATCGTTTATCTCACGCATATCCGTGTGATATCACATTTGCATTTCGCGCCACAATATTGTTGGAAATTAGGTCAGAAAATTTATTCTCTTTTGATAAAATAGGTCCGTTAATTTATTCTCTTTAAGTTTCATTGGTGTATTGTACGATTGTGTATATTGTTTAGAAGGCTGCTAACTAAGGATTAAAAAATGGTATTTAGACGAACTATATGTGCATTTTAGTGCAGTGCATTATTTTAATTGTTAAAATAAAGTGTTTCAAATATTCAATTGGTATTCTAATTTCTAGTTTATATTGTCTGCCAATATCCTGGAAATTGGATCAGAACATTACAAGGTGATTGTAATCATGGGATAAACCCAATATCACATAATTTCTCGTGATATCATTTTATCGCCTCGTAGATATCAAATATCAACACTCATTCGCTTCGCTCACTCGTGTTGATATTTAATATCAACTCGGCGATAAAAATGATATCACTCAAAATGATGTGATATTCTGTATTTATCGAGTCGCAGACGAGATAAAGAAACATTATCAAAGCGACTGTCTGATAAATTATGAATGTAGTTTCGCACAGGTGTCAACGGAACCAAACAGTGAACCCCGCTTTCCCGGCCCCGAGTTTCCAGGATTGCCTCGCATGCCTTCGACTCTTTCTCAAGATTTGGGCCCTATATTGTACCCCTACCTTATCACCCTAGGTGTATCGTTTATAACACCCTTGTAATTACAATGCGAAGTTACTTAAGCATGATAAAAAGTGTATGTGTGGATGGGGGGAGGTTTGAACCTCCACTTGTATACATGCATACCTTTATATACTCAACAGGCCAAGTATTAACAGTACAAATGGGAGAAAAAATCCATCAGGTCCATAATTCTACACGTTCACATACAAGTTTAAAAATCTTAAATGTATTTAGAACTAGAACTACGCCTTTGTACCAGCGACACACTTTCACAGGTGCGTCTTTACAATGAAACATAATAACGAAAATTGCAACTTTGCAATTAAAGTTGCAATATCCTTCCTGGTTAGAATAGGTTTCCACGTACAACTAAAAACACTATATAAAATAACTATCTATACACCATCAATGCAAACATATGCTTTCTTCCATTCTGATACTCATAGCATCTTTCTGTTTCACCTGAATCATCTCAGGGCTGAGAAGAAATGAGATTTATCATGATGGTTTTCTTCGAGCATACATAAAGCGGGCCTGAGAATGTGGGGTGCCACATTCATTGCAACACACCTTGCAACAATGTCTTATGAGGGTAATTTATTATTATTGAGAAGTTTATCATCTATTGAAATTAAATACTTGTAGCTACATGCAAGTAGCAACACATACAAGTCTTCCATGCAAATGGAGGTGAGAATTCACATTAACAAATTAAGATAAGATCCACAATATGTTATCAAATGGTTAAATGCGCAAAATGTGTAGATATGTTTTCCTTAATAATGTGTGAGGAGGCCTTTCAGGCAATTTTCGAAAACGTAGTAAGAACAAGTTTGGTGTAGAGGGGAGGGGGATATCTTCCACCTCGGTCTCTCTCTAATGCCTAGGCCACATATGCGCCGGGCGCCGGCCGATGAGTAGTCATCGGCCGATTTCTAGATCAGTTTCGACAAAAATTATGTAATTCGGCAATTTTAGTTACAAAACATGAAGGTACATTATGTAAAATTTTGAAGACAATTGGTGTATATTTAACAAAATACCAGCACCAGTCCTGTTACTTTTGGAACACCCTGTACCCTCTGGAGGAGGTAAAAACTAAAATGTATCTGATAAACACAAAATCACAAGTGAATCATCTATTAATACATCACTCTCATTTTAATAATGCCAATTCTAGATTTTGATTTATATCAAAAGTGCTCAATTCAACAGGTGCATTTGGATTTGTGAAATGCAACCTGTGTAAGGGTAAGTTATCTTATAAAAGGTAAATGACATTCTATATAAGATGCCCTAGTCATTCCAAAGTTCCAGGTGTTATTTTGTGGAGCCCATGTCTTGCCACATCACACGTGGAAATGACTTTGACAAACCTTGGACATCTTTGTTTCAGTCCATGGACTCTAAAATAACAAGAATTTGCGTTGTCGGTAGCGTAAAATTGGTTATTTTTAATGCCGCCTCTTGTATTTTTCATCTGCCTCTTGTACACAAAGTTACTGAAACCACTGTTTATGTTAGGATTTTCACATAATTTATTTTTTAACTCAAAATCTGCAGTAACAAATATTTTCATCTGTATTTAGATTAGCCATGATATTTATAAGAAGCCTTCGTTTTAAATATGTTTATATGATAACTACTATTATAATCAACAAAATAACAATGTTGCGCCTTTTTAAATAACTTTGTATTGAATCATTATATGCTTCCGAGGAATTTCATGTCGAAACATGATTGACATTGCCATTGCATGTGCCGGTTCATTTTGTCTGTGAATGTGCAGCTTATGAGTAAAACAAATTATGTGAAAACTTTAAAATTTCTTGTAAAAACGACCTGATCCTACATATTACATGTATTAGTAAACTCGAAAATAGTTAATCTGACTTACATAATTTAAGTTTTATTTTCACTATAACTGAGCGTCACTACAAGAGTGTTACTCAAATATATAGACATACTGTATATACTTTATAAAACATTACAAAAGTTAAATACTGTACTTTAATTTACATATACACATATTAGACAATAGCATCCCTCTGAAGTCCCATCTTCAAAAAGCCGTTTTGGATTTTCTGATGCATCAAGTCTTTTATGTACATTTGGTATTTAGGTAACAAAGTCATACTTAGGTCCTCAAACTGAACACAAATTCCCGTTTCCTAGAGGCCATGTACTGTATGCAGCTGGGGTCAAACAGACAAAAGTGGGAATACGTACATGTATGTTAAATACTCTAGTAGATGTTCTATATCTTGTAGAAAGTACATGTATAGTGTATACACCGCCCTAATACCCATTAGTTTGATTTGAAATAAACAAATTTAGATGTCATTTACTTTAAGTAAAACCGTTTGCGGTTTCTTCAAAACATGAAGCAACAATAGTTTTTGAGTAATGTTTCCCTGACAGATGGAAAGATGGCTTTGTTTACTTTATTTCAACCAAACTTTATTTATAGACTAGAGGAAGATAAATAAGATTCTAATATAATATAGCTACCAAGTATTTTGATTGGTTAACAGTTATATGATGCGATCAAAAATACCACAACATATTTTCACCTCCCTCGAATAAATATCAATGCTTGAAATCCCAATATGTCGACGGCAATGCTTCCAAGTGATAGAATTTACATTATCCTTGCTGCATTTGGTGCTCAGGGTACAGGGTGGTCCAAAAAACGGAAACCCTGCATTTTCCACATATCTTTGTCATTTTAAGAAATGACTCCCTGATATTTCACACATTTGTAAATCATTCAATTTCCTAGCACCCTGCCATATTTCATGACCATCAGACTGATAGTCACAATTTTACAGCACTTTGAACAACATGCTTCTGGTTTGGCCATCATCGCGATGGAGGCAAACCTGCACAGTTGTCAATGATCCAAATGCATTCCTCAGCAGGTATGGCCTGAATGATACAGATGATCTCACTTTTGAGGCCTGCAAGTGTCCTGGGGTCATTATTATTAACTCTATCTCTGCCATATTCCCATAGGTTGGGACATTTTGGACGACATGTGCAGGTTGGTCTTCGGCGCAATAATGGCCACCGGGATTGTTCTTTAAAGTGCTGTAACACGGTGACTATCAATCAGATGGTCATAAAATATGGTAGGCTGGTAGGAAATTGAGTGATGTACAAATGTGCATAGTTAATTCTTAAAATAATAAAGATATTAGGTAAAATGGTGTAAGGGTTTCCAGTTTTTTGACCACCCTGTACATGTATTAATTTCTCTTTTTCAAATCTTGAAGATTTCATCATAAGTTACTGTCTGCCTGGCTTCTACTGACTTCTTCATTTGTGTAAATGTCAAACACAGGGGCACTGTCTGAATCAATCTCACTATTACTCTGTCCATTGGCACCATCGATTCCAACATTGTCCACGCTATCACATATCTCATTAACAGTGTCATTGAAGTCCTGGTATCTGTCTGCATACACATGGTGGCCAGCACCCTTTATCATCTACAACAATAATATCTATGATTAATCCCTTGCACAAGCACAGTGTTAAGAAAACATTAGGAGAACCTTACACCAAAATTACTCTAATTTTGGCAATACAATTTACATAATAAGGTTCTAAAATGTCTGTAATGAGTTTACTTTTACCTAATTTGGTGGACTTACAATATTACAATGACTAAAAGTACTAATTTATATGGTACTAAAATTACCGGGGAATTTGTGGCTACTTAATTTGGCGGACTTTAACAAATTGGCGGATCCGCCAAATTAAAAAGGCCGCTAAATTAAGTTCAGATTAATTCAGATTAATTTCATTAAGATTAAAGAAGAGTGAGGACAATGTTTAAGTTCTGCATCTTACCTGAACCTCAACATACGAGTCGTTTCTGAGGTATTTGATTTGGTGTCCTATATCTTTGTCTAACCAAGACTTGGACCCATTAACAAAGGTGACAGGGACATCACTGTGGAGGTCATTGATGCGCTTGATCATGGGATTCTTGGCCCAACCAAAAGCAAATGACAGGTTTTTGAAGGCAGTTTCACCACTGGAAATAGGTTTAAGAGTTTAATACTGCTATATGTTTTAAAAGGGTTGCACATTGGGTTGAATATTGACTTCTAAAAACCTCATGGTTGAAATATGGCAATTGAACATCCCTAAGGTAGCTTATTTATGAGTTGCATATGTACAGAGTGTTCCATATGTATACATCCACCTATAAAATCATGCATTGGCACCATATCATGTTATATATCATTTTGTTACTCATGGAAAGTTACATAAGATTGCAAAGTTTCAGAATCCAGGGATGTCATTGAAAAAAGATATAATGTATCAAAGTACAGTATACTATATGTGGGTATGAAGTCTTTTAAGGGTAATTTCTGGTCATTTTTAGGGCAATTTAAGGAAAATCTTAGTTTAAGTAATGCACATTTCTTGCTGTTGTAATCATGAAAAAGATCACTCCACATGTCTGTGACAGTTATTCACAAAAATATACAGACAGGATTCATACAGTGGCTTATAGGGAGGCCAGGGACCAATTGGTACTACATTTATCACTAAAAATTATCTTTTTATTGGGACACCCCTTGATATATATACTTTGCAATCTTGTGTGACTTGTCATAAGGAACAAAATGATATATAACATGATATGGTGACAATGCTACATATATGGGTTTAGAGGAGGGTACATACATATGAAACACCCTGTATACAGCTAATACACACAAGACTTCATACATATTGAAAATTGGTTACCATGGTTCAACTCTTATTAAAGGCATGTGTACTTTTTCATTTAAACTTATGCTTCATAGATACAGTAGGTGAGACATTTTTTGTCATACAAAGAATATATTCTGTCATCAAGCAATTGCAATAAAGAAAAATGACATATTTTGATACAGGTAATATACACATATCATTGATATCATGATCAAACAGAAATGCATGCGGACACATCCATTTACATGTAACTCGTCCAGTGATTGTTTATCATTCACCTTCAGCAATAACTCACATTCTAAATTGATCTTTGGTGATTGTTCATTAGTCACAATCACATTGATGATTGCAAAATACTCACTGAACATTGTTATATAAGTTAATATTGTAATGCAATACCTACCTTGGTGTTTGTGCATTACAATGGTAAATATAGCTGAAGATTGTATCATCCTCAAAAAGATGGGAGAATTTTCTTTTCAGGTCAGGCCGGAATTTCGCAACCAAATTTGGACCTGCAAAATAATGCAATGCTGAAAATAACTATGTGGGGCAATTTGAATGGCTATTGAAGTGATGGTATCTCATTGGATGGTTGATGATGAAGTTCGGAATTCATTTTTTTTTAAATTTACTGAAGTTGATGGAAAAGATTTGCATTCAATGCATTGGTTCAATTACGATTAAGGATGGCTGCAACTTTCAGAATTTTAGAGAGCAAAAGAACTAGACAGAACAAAACAGACTAGATCAAATCTGATTTTAGATATTTCTAGGGATGAAATGCAATGTCTAATACCAATGGCAAAAAATGATATTGTGGTATAGACTATTCAACATGTTGACCATTGGGTAAAGTTTCAAAATTAACTGGCCATATATATTTAATGCAACATTTGAGTATTTCATAATTTTTTGTGCAAAATTTGTGGTTTGTACTTTTTTGTGTAATATTTTAACGATTTGGTGATTTTTTGTGCAATCTGTCCTTCAGCATAGAACACAAATATATACATGTATATTTATGTAAGAACTTACCCCAGGGACCAGCTGCTCTCAGACCTGCCAGGAGATTAAATGGTTTCATCAATGTTGCGATTGCTTTGATCCATATGGGTAGAGAACTCTGCCTGCCACTTTCATGGGGACGTTCAGGGAATCCCCAGGGATCACATAGGACTAAATGTTTGATATTCTCAGGATGTTGTATTGCATAAGCTGTTGCGATATAACCACCAAAACTGTGTCCCAGCAGAATAAATTTATCAAGTTTCATTTCTTTTCTCCAATCCTCTATTGAATTTACAAACTCCATTTCTGATAAATGTGGATCTGTAGGAAATGATGGCCTTGAGCTTCTGCCAAAGCCAAGTACATCAAAAGCATATAGAGGTCTCTTTTGGCTCAAATCATCATAGTTCAGTGCCCAAAGGCCAACTCCTGAGCCAAAGCCATGGATCATGACTAAAGGTGTATTTTCACTGTCTGTGTTCATCTTTACTGTCCATAATCGCTTTGATTTATCCTGAATGTACACATATTCTTTGTGCATTCGATCATCAAAATCTGAAAAAATAAATTCACATTTTGGTCTTAATTGTGAAAATGAGAACATTCTGGTGAGATCACTGCATGATGATAAAATATTTACCAATTACTGTTTGCCTCATTTATACTTCTAGAACAGAATGATATTAATTAAAGGCAGAATCAGATCTCTTTTTCAGATTACTTTGGTGCTTCACCTTGATGAAAATCGTTTCAATTTTAGAATATTCTGGGCTCATATCAGGTGTTTCACTAGCAGCAGGCAACAGGCGATTTTCACCAGTTCTTTTCACAAAATCGCCTGTTGTTTTGATGGAAATTTCAACTTTTCCATGTTAAATTAATGATTCCCATTGATTTTGCCTGTTGCTTCCATTTATTTAGCCTGTTGTGAGAAATTCTAGTGAAACCCCTGCATATCATTCCTTGTTATATTCATTTTGTACTTTGTTTGAGAAAAACTAAAGATTTTTACAATATTGCAATCATTTGATTTTAAGAATGGTTACCATTCTTATTATTTTGGAGAATTTAAATATTTTCCCTCATGTTTGCAATTTGAATCTTAAATAATTTCACGAATTGATAACATATCACTTACCCTTTTTTGGGGAGATATTATATCTAAGCTTGTAAGGAATACATATTTAATTGCTTGCAATTTTGTCACTCTGTATAGATCTGATTCTGCCTTTAATCATTCCTAGTTTATCTAAATATGTTTCATCGATGAAATATTTGACAGAATATTAATGTCGAAAAATCTTAATCCATTTCTGACCTCCATACTTTTTTGTAATTCATAATGCAAGCCCTGATATACAGGTACAATAGTAAAAGTATGAGCTTACATTGAAGAATCCTCTGTTCTGCCTCCCTGAGGAATCCCATAGAGGTAGGGACCCATTTGATCCAACTGCTAGGGCTTAACCAGCTACTTCTAGAACATCAAAAATCAGAAAATTATATGCAGATGTCACAATTATAAAATTTGAATTGAAACAGCTGCCATTTTGCTCACAGAAATATAAATGTATACAATGTTCACTGTAAATGTACATTTAGCCTGAGATGATGAAGGATCTCAAATTACCTCAAACTGGGATCTCAGGGCTCATCAAATCTTACCAACAATACCATGGTATCTCATGGATGAGATGTTTGAGAAGAAATGAGGTGTCATGGTATTGCTATGGCACTTACCTTCTCTATAAGGACTCACACTCTATTATGGCCTTATACTAACCATGAATCCCCTTTTTTGTTAACACTACCTTTTTTGACTGCTTGATATTCATGAACGGAATTACAGTAAAACCTGCCTTAGTGAACACCTCTCTCTAGTGAACACCTGTCTCTAGTGGACAGGTACGCATATACTCTACTGACTTCTGTCTGAATAAATTACCCTCTCTGTAGTGAACACCTACCAACACTGAACATTTTTCTCAGAAAAAATGTTCAGTTTACACATTTACACATTATTTACTTTTTTAAGAGTGTTTTTATCACCTAAGATCACCTAATATATTGCCGTATATGACTATGAGACATGTCCTGATTACAAAATTCAAAATTAAACTGACACCATTTTTTCACTTCTGAATTTGAATTGCAAGTTTTGGTCTTACTACCTCACAAGAAATTTCAAAACACACAAGAACCTGAACTGAACACAAGAATTGAACATGTAATATATTGATCACTTCTTGTCAAGAAGTGATCAATATATTACATGTTCAATTCTTTTGGATTGCTAATGGATGTGACTTTGAATTTACAGCCAGGTATAATGTCAGACATTAATGACATTTTTGTCGTTGTCATTGCTACCCCTAGAATATCAGCAATAAATATATACAGGCATGATGAGCACTGTACAACTCACTTGGATATTAAAACATTGAGTTGGAGCCCTGAGAGCCATGGCAGACCTGCTGCGTATGATTTTAGACAAAATCATCCAATATCACACATAGGACAAGGTTTGTCTCAATTTCAATTTACAAACTATTTTCGGTTTTTTAAAATAGTATTGATGTGTCGCAAAAAGGTGGCGCATTTGTTTTTTAAGGGTGTCGCGTGAATGTAACTTTGATTAACCGGATTATAAGATAATATTCTAATTAAAGTTATATATCATTTTAAAGATGTTTCAATGAAGTTTTTAAATCAACTACACTCCGTTCACGATTCTTGCGCGTTCTTTTTTAAAAAAGAGTTTTTTACCAAAACATCTGGCAAATATCCCCTGTTGACACATTATTTTTCGTCTTTAAACGCTCATAACTCAAACAATAGATGACTATTATACTTATTTTCGTCTTGATAAAGGTAGATGGAAGTTTTATTTCAAAAGATGAATTTTAGTAAGCGTCCCATACTGTGACTTGAGTTTGAAAAATAGAATCTGTTGACAGCGACCTTTTTTGCTCATTTTTGCTACCTTCAACTTTTCAGGTGTACATTGAACAAAAAATACGAAATCAATTTTTAATAAGTCAAATATGATTATTTTGCTCTAAAACTCTAGTTTATTAATAAATAGTTGATTTTGTTCGCAAAGGTATGTGTTTTCTGTTGTATATGGAAAGTGGAGGACGAAAGGTTTTCAAAATTCATTAAAATAGGGCTAATTTACGCCATTCGCCTATTTTCAAGCACAGCAACACGTATATTTATTTCACCTAAAATATCAATTGATTCGTGTTTTATGATGCTCCTATCCCATTTTTAATACATATACGATATCAGAGTTATTCGCCTTAAATATTTTGAGATATAGAGGCAAATGTGGAGGACGAAAGGATTTCCATATGTGTACATTTTTCTCGAATGAATGCTATCTTACAAATTTTTGCATGAATATGTGCTTGAGACATTTAGAAGACTAAAAAGTACCATCTGATTTGACTCGATATATGGGTGAAAAATGCAAATCTCGATCAAATTTGTGATTGGTTTTCAGAAACTTTACTGAAATCCGCTCAACACGCATGCGCGCACGGATTGCAAAAATGGAGAGATCTGATTGGTTGTTCAAATGTAAACACTGGGATATTTGACCAATTAAATTGCTGGATTTAATACGCAAATGGTCATTTAGAAAATTGAAATAATGTAAGAATGTTTGGTGTAGGAACTTGTTGAAATGATTAGGGCAGACAAGCGCTTTTTGGTAAGACAAAATAGATCAACCTCTGGATGATGCAAATCTGCCGGAATTTAAGCCATCTCCCAGATTGCATCACCGAAACGGGGATTCCCCGGAATTCCGGAGATTTTACACGAGATTTTTCGAGATGTCCACCACCACTGAAATTGAACAGTCAAAATCACCACATTTCTAAAGATTTCAGCAGTATTTTTGACATTTCAGGTACATGTAAAACGTTTACTTTTTTTAAACCATTTATGTATTTCTGTCATCTAGGCTAAGAAAAATGTAGAAATATCAGTGTAAAACAGCTAAACCTCAACGTTTCAAAAATGGAGGGTTCTGACAAGTAACCGCACTTCACATCTTCTTCCAATATAGAGATCAATGGATGGTGTTCAGTGTTCACTATGTGTTTGTTACAGAATGAGGTCGATAAATTTTGTTATTAAAACCAAACAGAGAAGACCCCATATTCTCTAGTGCTTAAGGAACACCTGATACTATACACATTACATACCTTCTTCTCTCAGCGATTGCTGTATGAGCATTCTGCTCTGACAACCGAGTTTCAAATGTACTCATAGTCACTGCTTGTGTTAATTGTCTCTATACACCGAGTTAATAAGAATTATATGATCTAAACCTACTGCTTTCTTTTTCTAAAACTGCAACATCATTGTTCAATAATGCCTTGTCATTGTTGATATAAGTGAATCAATAGAACTACACTGTAGGCTGCAGAAGTGTACAGTTGAGTTATGTCATAAATCGATTTTCAATTTCATAGTAATGAAAAACTTTCAAAATCCATATTCAATACATGGACCATAGACTAAACATGGAACATAGATTATACTTTTTGCAACTGAATAACAAGTAAACATTGGTTCCGCTTTATATAAACAATATTACCAACCTTTCATATTCCTCAACTTCGTCCGACATTTTGAAAACTAATCATGTGACCTAGTCATGTGACTAAGTTCAAAGTTTGAACCAGAAGTAAACAGAATGTTATGAAAAAGACAATCTAAAAAGCAGTTCAAAAATGGTTTGTATCCTCGATTTAGCTAATTATTCACACGCTTGTCCATTCCTAGTTTGAAATCATATCTCATTTTCACATTTTGAGTTATAAATTTCAAAGGTGAGTGGTAGTTTAGAGTAAATTTTAGAATCTTGCACTTTTTGCACTGTCTGTGCTCAGTGCACATGCACTGAATAACATTTATGAAGTACTGTACCTAGTTTTTGAACCAGCACATCCCTTTGGTATTTCTCGTCAAGAAAAGCTTATGTAAAGCAGTGGATATAAAGAAAATTCACGAAAAGGAATTGGGGAATATCACAAGGATGTATGTGCCTCACATTAGATTCTGCTAGGCTTGTAGGCTACCGTATACTGTGTATGTACAGCACTGTCAACCCTGCGCATTAGGCGTGGTTGTCACGCATTTGCTGGAAAATAGAAATCATGCATCAATTTAGCATGTATGATCAAATATCACGCAAATCGCACATTTTGTTGATATTTAAAAAAAAAATTTTTTTTTATAAAATTCCAATACGGTAAAATACCTTACGACTAAATAAAGCGAACGCATTCTGTTCGGTCTTTGCACTTGATTGCCGTTTATGTCACGCATTTGCTCTAAATTATGTGTATATATTAAGCATTTGTTTTTAGACATTAGCACTAGTGTTGATAATTGCTTATACTTACAATATTATCTGATATTACATTTATTTACAAATGCTAATTTCAGGTACTGTAGATTGGGTTAATTTGGCGCCCGCTTTAATTTGGCGAATTTGGCGAAATTGAAAAATTCGCCAATATAAATCTCCGCCAAAATTTAGAATAAATCCCCGGGAATCATCTAGGGTATTTCGTCCAGTGTATTTAGGTCACTTCCGGTTTATTTTTTCCAAAAATATGAAAAAATGTCTCTCATAAATTGGCTCAGAACTGGTCAGTCACTCATTTATACTCAGGGAAAAGTAGCAGGATCGATTGAGGTGTAAAATGTAAAGGATGATCTCACAAAAATGTACAAACGTGGTGAATATCGCCAGTGGTCCTCAAAAGAAAAAATGAACATAGCCAAACATGCCCATTTACATGGTAATTCGCAAACAGCGCGTAAGTTTAACATTCCATTAACATTTTTTTGCATATCCGCCAAATTAAATAGCCGCCAATATGCCAAAAATGGCAAAATCGCCAAATTAAGTAGCGCCAAATTAACCCAATCTACAGTATGCCCTTTCGGCTCAAACAGAGGAAAATTATCATGGGAAAGTAATATTGATTTTATCGCTTACATCAATTAATTTGATAATATCAATATTATCGCTATTTAGCAATATTATACAAATGTTTGATTCTATTGATCAGGCTAGTGGAATATATCATTTTGTGAAAGTGTCACAGATATCCACCAAAAATAGGATTAAATATTTGTTTTATTATTCACTGTTATATTCCTCACTCACATTAATGGAATAACAAACTATTTATGTCTAATTAATCATAGCTAATGTAATCCCGGGTATATATATAAATTTAAAATTACACTGGAAAAGTTGGATTGCATTTTGAATACCATGATTCTGACTAATATGTCATTATGACTTCCTTTGAATATCGCTTGTTATTTGTCATTCACATGTAGGACATGGACCAATCAGAGAATGAGGAATATGACAGTGATATGATAATACATGTATCTGATGTTATCAAATGCTAATTTCAAACTTGTTTTATTCTAAGTAAGATAGTATCAAGACGAAAGGGAAACATTATTAATTGTGATATTATCACTATTAGCATGGGCTTTCAAGAGAAAAGCCCATGCTATCAACAATAATAGCGATATTACCTGATTTTATTTGCTAATGCTAATTCCAAGCATGCCTTTTTTGTAACACACCCCAAACCAAAACATTTATTAGTGATCATTTTGGTAATAATGGGATGATAAAAGGAAAAGCCTGTATTAGTTTTGTTTTCCACTTTTTAGATGATCATTTACTCCATTCAAAGTGTATAACTTCATGACATCTGGATCATTTTGGGAAAATGCCCAGCTACTGCATCCCACTTGCCAATAGAGGACTCTGCCGGTTTTCAACATCACCATGTTGCACCACATTCCTGTCACCCAGCAATCAAAATGTAGTATCCAAATCACAACGTAGCACAAGTGCAACCTCTGCACTCTCGGAGGATACCCATGAACATGTGAAGCCATTTAAGGATATTCCTGGACATACTGGTTTCTTTGAGAGGTGGAAAAACTTGTATCTTGCCCTGAAAGGGCAGAATGAAGTGAGAATATCAAACCTCTTGGTGAGTATTCAAAATTAAGGTAGTTACGCATTATAAAAATATTCATATTATTTACCTGTAATTATCAAGGTAATATTTTTCACATTTGTGTGAGGATATTTATTGCCCTTATGGATATAGTTCAAAATAAGAATACATGTATTGTGATTAATGGAATTTCCCATCGTGGTAAGCCACGCCCTCTCCATCTCTATCCTTCTGGCATCTGTGATGCAACAGAGAGAGATGCTATGAGTTTAGAATGGGGATTTCCCAATTGTTTGCTTTTTGTGACAGTGTGGAACTTCCTTAAAGGTCAATAATTTTAGTTCTTAGTAAAGTGAACCAATCATGAGTTATACACGATAACTAATGTACATGATTGATTAAAGATTATCAGTTCATATACATGTCTATAGGGTACATGTAATATATGTACATGTACAATCCTCACGGAATATATACTAGTTGCTATTTTCTAGTTGACTCTTATTTACCTCAAGCTTCAGAAATGTAAGCCATCCTAAAATTTGATTTTTTTTTCATCTTCAGTACAAAGACTATAATGTATATGGATCCATATACAAACAGTATGTTGGACCTATAGCTATGGTGTCAGTAGGAGGACCTGAAGTCATCGAACAACTATTTCGAAACTTGGATAAATATCCATTAAAACCTCTTGACACACTTGGGGGATGGATCGCATACAGAGAGATAAGAGGAGAAGCCTGTGGCGTCTTAACAGCGTAAGAGACTTTCAACAAAAGTATATTATGAAAAATGTCTAAGAATATAATTAAATGTACTGTGTCTCACTCATAAACTGTTGGTTTTTGTGCAAATAGTTTTAGATAAGCTTTAACTATCCCCAAATGTTACAACATACTAGGTACACATACATGTACAGTAAAACTTGTGTATAGTGAACATTTTTTTGCCAAGAAAAAACGTTCACTGTAGGTAGGTGTTCACTAGAGAGAGGGTAATTTATACAGAAGTCAGTGGACTATGTGCGTAGGAAGGGTGTCCACTAGAGACAGGTGTTCACTAGAGAGAGGTGTTCACTAAGACAGGTTTTACTGTACATTGTACAATGTAGTAAAATACAAATTTTCTTTTATAACAACCATATGCTGGAATTTTAAAAGTGTTTCATCTGTTGCCAGTGGCAACAAAAATAAAAAATTCATTACATATTTTAGAGAGGAACAAAACTGGGCTGATATGAGGAATGTTTTATCAAAAAAGATACTGAAGCCGAAACACATTCAGATCTATGGTCCTAAAATTAACAGTATTGTCTCTGATATGGTCACCCGACTGAGGTATGCAAGGGACGTAGATGGAAATGGGTTGGTCATACCTCAATTAACAAATGAGCTTTATAAATGGTCTATGGAGGGTAAGTGATAAGTTAAGCATTTATTCATGAACAGTTATCTCCTCATTTTTTCACCAGCTTGTTTAAATCTTAATTTTACTGGTTTTGTTTCAAATCTGTCATCCTTTTGACTTATCTTGTGCCAAAACCATATCAGGGGATTAGAACAAAATAACTTTTGACAGGGTGCAAGTAGTTTTAATGAGGTGGCACGCAATGAATGAATTTTCCACCAATCTCAGTAATGTAAATATTTTTTGTTTAAAAAGGTGTGTGTAGTATACTCTATGAAACAAGACTCGGTTGCCTGGACAACAAGATATCTCCAGATCTTCAAGCATTCATAGATGCAGTTGCAAATATGTTGACGACCACTGGTCAGCTTAATGCTGCATTAGCGTTACAAATCAAGCTGAACTCAAAGCCTTGGCGAGTGCACAGGGATGCCTGGGATACCATATTTGGTCAAGGTACATACAGTATAATGTAAAACTCAAAGTCTTGTTGTGACCACGGGGATGACTGGGATACCATATTTGGTCAAGGTACATACAGTATAATGTAAAACTCAAAGTCTTGTTGTGTCCATGGAGATGACTGGGATACCATATTTGGTCAAGGTAAATACAGTATAATGTAAAACTCAAAGTCTTGTTGTGTCCACAGGGATGACTGGGATACCATATTTGGTCAAGGTGTGGTATGCTGAAAACTATGGGACTGACAAACAAACAGAACTTTAGATTTCAGATATTTTAAAAAATATACATTTAATGAAAGAATTTTAAATAAAAAGTAAAAGTATACTTTAGATTTGTGGACATTTACAAATTTTCATTTTGCCATTCGCAAAAATCTCGTATTCTGTAGTTTTGTATACAATTTTGGTATTAAACCTTGATATTTTGTTTAAATTTGGAAGGTGTGATTTCTGTTTAATCCATAATACTATTGTTTTCCCAGGGAAATATTGAAGGAATAAAAATCGTATTGATTCGTATTCCGGTTATTTTTAACCTTACATGTTTATTATGGAATAAAAAGTTATTTCTGGTTTGGATTGAATATGGGTTTTATTCCTCGGAAAATATGATATTGACCGAAGGGTAATATGATATTGACCGCAAGAGCGCAGCGACTGAGTGTCAATATGATATTGCCCATTATCCTACACTTAGTGTGCTAAATGTATAATAACATTAAAAAATAAATTTGATATTTATTGGCAAAATGAATAACCGGAGGATATCGTAACAATATACTCTGGGTGGAGGATATTGTGACGATATACTCCGGAAAACCCAATATGCGGAGGATATTGTGATGATATACTCCGCTTGTTGATTTCCCATGAAATTAATTTTGCAATGATATTATACATTTAGGACACTCCCTGTAAGTGTAGGATAATAAGAACATCCTATGATTTTTTCAGAATATCATTTTAATCTACTCGGTGATATTGATATATGCACTTGTTCGCTTTGCTCTCTCGTGCAGATATCAATATCACCTCGTAGATAAAAATGGTATTCCTCAAAATCATAGGATATCCTATAAATATCATATTTATTGGAATAAAACCCATATTCAATCCCTCTCAGTAAATAAGCTATATATATTCATCAATGCACCAATTGTTAAACTACCTTTTCCATTTAAAGGCAAAAGTCTGGTCATTCTCTAAAGTATGTTGAATGTTGATTCCAGCAAAGAAATGCATTGACAATCGACGTAAGGAACTTGCAGATAAACTACAAAATGAAGAAACTGACCCCGATGATGAAGGTGCTGAGTTGTTGACCTATCTGTTTGCTAATAATAAGATGTCTGATAAAGAGATCCATGCTAACATGACTGAACTCATGATGGCCGGAGTTGATACAGTAAGGGAATCTTTTAAATCCAACCTACAAACCAAAAATACACTAAAACCTGTCTCATCTGAATGTCACTTGGACTAGCCAAAAGTGTTTGGCATTCGAAGGGGTTTTACAATGTTATTCAAAGGCAGTTTAAAAATGTGACAGAAAAAAGTGTCACATTTATCCAATATGTTTTATGTTTGTCAAATTGTTGTCACAGCAGTTGCTATGGTAACTTGATGTAGTGGAACAGCCTTAAAATTCATGATATTTTTGAACTTATAGACATCCAATACACTGGGCTTTGCCCTGTACCTTCTTGCCCAACACCCTGAAGCACAAGACAAACTCAAGACAGAAGTTGACCAAGTCCTCAATGGAAGGCTAGCTGAATATAGTGATTTCCAGAATATGCCATATCTCAGAGCAGTTGTCAAGGAAACGTTAAGGTGAGTTTCAAATAATGGAGAATTAAATTATATTAACAATTATGTAATATGTGCTGCATGTGAGATAAATAAATTTTTATTTCATTCTCATTTTTGGTCAACTGTACATGTTTAGTGTTTACATGTATAGTAAAACCTATAATTTTTAAAAGTTGAACACCTCTGTAAGTGGAAAACCTCCATAAGTGATTCTTACCATTTCCTGGTCCCACACCTACTGACCTATTGTTAAATGAACCTCTATAAGTGGAATACCTCCTAATTGGAACACTTTTTAGAGAAACCAAAGGTGTTCAACTTACACAGGCTTTACTGTATATCATTTTACTCAGCAACAAAGACTAAGACTTGCAATAGTAAAATTCTTGAACCAATCTTTTCAGAATATATTTGATCTTTTGCCACATGGCCTTTAAATCCAAATGTCAATCCTGGATATACATTAAAGTGAGAGCTATTCTGATTTTTAGAAAGTAGCATAGCATTAAATGATGAGAGAATAAAAATTCTGCAAAATTGTGTCACAAACTTCTATCACAACTTTCGCTCAATCATTTTCTGTCTCTTCTACATGTACTTCCTGTAACACCCGCTCTTTGGTCTATATTTCTTAATTAACATTAATAAATCCAGTACTTGGTTTTAGGATTTATCCAGTTGTTCCGATATATGCCAGGATAGTTGACAAAGACTTTGTTCTTGGTGGCTACAAAATACCAAAGAGGGTAAGTAGTCATATATTCACACTTAGCTAGACAAAGTGTGTCCAATTCCAGTGAATTAGAATATTCTATTTCATATAATTGCATTGCAGCATACTAATGCACCCAAGGTCATTTTTAGATTTTAATGAAACTAATGAAACAATAAGCAGATCAATTTCATAGTTCAATAAAAATATACAATTAATCATATCCTAGGGAATAACAAGCCAAGTTCTTATGCCTGGTCGAATAATACTGTTGAATAGTTGTCAAAGTGACAACTTGACCCTTGCAAAAGGTTTCCTTGAAAATATATTTTTTCAAGTCATTAAGAATTTCCTAAACTTAACTCTTGATGCTACGTATCTCATGCAAAGTTTGGAACAATACCTTACAGGAATGAAAATCAGTCCACAATGCACTGAATCCAGGATTTATAACAACATTTAGTAGGAATAAAAAAATAAAATAAAATAATCTAGACTGTGGTAAGAATTTCTGGTTTTGGAATGAGATGGGTCAGAATCACCCATAAGCACTCAAAATACACATAGGCTAATGATCATTGGTTTTAGGTTATTAGAGTAAATAGATTATTGATGGTTTTTATTCCCAAATGCCATTAAGAAAGTATTAAGAACCAAAGATAGAAAATGAAACCAAATGTAATGACAAGCTCAAATTAGTATATTCAAAAAAGTTTTTGAAAGTTGAAAGTTTTGATAGTATTACTTTAGAGACTTCTTTATAACTCTTTTTAAATAGACATTCCTGCTGTTGAACCACATGGGCTGCTGTAGAGATGAGAAAGTGTTCAAGAATGCTGACCAATTCATACCTGAGAGATGGTATCGTAAAGAAGGAAGGGCAGATCACCATGCATTTGCTTCTGTACCATTTAGTTATGGAGTTAGGAGCTGTGTTGGTATGTCAACACCCAGTTTTCTGCACACAATTTCCCATAGGCACTTAGTCCACAGAAAGATGGCAATATTGGTGTATTTGATTTGAATAGACAGACCAGTACTGCCATCTTTCTGTCAAATAAGAACCTTTGAAACTATTCCTTCACTCAATCCTCAAGTTTCTGCTATTCTCACAAGTTTAAGTTATAGAATACACAATGCATATCAAAACTGCAATCCAAATTGAATATTGACGTATTGCAGAATAGCCAAGTCATTCTTATCCATTTTATTTAGAGTTATGTGGCATCACGTGTAGTATAATGCAACTAGAATTGTAACTTGAAATTCCTTTTCTTTTGTCACCTGCCTTGAAAGCACATTTCATATTTTCTTGATAGTATTCAACCCTTATAAAGCATGCCTAGGCTATATTATTTGCTGACTTGATCGACTGTTGTTATTTTTTATTTTTAGGTCGCAGAATCGCTGAACTGGAGCTGTATTTAGCACTTTGCAGGGTAAGAGGGATGCATGAATGTACAAATATATTTCATGTTTCTGGTTGTATACACCATAACGAAATAAGATTCATGTATTTTGCATTCCTGACACAATTATGCCCATATGTCTGATATATTCTCATTCAAATTTTTTATCTTTCAGATTTCAAACGAATTCAAGTTGAAACTGTCCGACGGTGAATTTGTGCCATTTTACCGCGGAATATTAACTCCGGGCCGAGAAGTACCCATTGAGTTCCATGATCGATGAAGAAAATGAAACAATGACAGTTAACTTCGACAATGAAAAACATCGATATAGATATAAATATTATTATTATATGTGCATATCAATAATGTAACTAACTATAAAGGCATTATGCAAATTAGTGGTAACAAAATCAAAAAGACAGAAGGCATTATGAAAAAGTGAGTAATGACAATCAAAGACACCATTTACAAGAACACCTCCAAAGATGCAATGCACAAAATTAATTTTTCTTCACATCATTAAACACAATCCGTAAGGTTTGGTGTCCAAATATCAACAATTCTGGAAAAGGAAAATAACATTTATTTCACTTTGGTTTATTATAATCCTTCCCCTAGAGACATATAAAACATTTAAATGTCTCTGCCCTTGTAACAATTGTTTACATTGTTGGTTTACTGATACAAGTATTTCCAATGCAAAACGTCAATATTTTACAACTTATAAAATCGTAACTTTCAATTTCAATTTGTTTATTTCACAAAACACATTCAATATACATACTATTATACAATGAATGGGTGACACAAGGGTTTGTGTATATTCCCAAAATGGAGTAAATTGAATACAAAGTATGTTGGAGTGGCCACTCTGGCCTGTATTGAAATGAACTGAATATTATTTCAACAACTGTTGACATCATCACTGTTGCAAATGACAATCATTGAAATGTGGCGACAAACTGACACTATAAATACAGAGTACTTTTAGGAATGAATTAATGTAAAACTAGTATGCGCTACATACATGTACATACTACATGGGCAATGTTCATTTTTGCTTGACAATGTGCAGTATCCTTTACCAGTAAATTCAATAGTTTCGATTCTGCCAGTTCTGAGGTTGCTTTTTAAGATGCATGTAACAATATTGCTACATGTATATAGTCCTGTAGTATGTATTTGCACTATAATAGTATAATTATATGTTTTGTGCATAACTACATGTATTTATTGATTGAATGTTTGTACACCCAATTTTTGCATATTAGTGAATATGATTTGTGATATATTTATTTTTATAGAATTAGCAAATTATACTACCTCAATATTCATCTAATTAATTTCTAGGCTAACTATATGTTCTAATGATATGTTGCTAGAAAATGTTAAAATGATTAATTTGTTAAGACCCCGGGGGTTAAAACACCGGTTAAGACCCAATATACCAGTCCTGTAAAATCACTCCACCTTTTAGCACTTTTGCCATTTTTATACTTATACGTATTGCTAATTTTCAAAAAACGTCTGACAGGTTTGTTTCCAAACATTGATGCCTGCGAAGTATGGCATCATACGTTTAGCCAACATAAGCTAGTTTCTCCGGTGCACTGAGGACTTAAGACTTATCTGAAAGGTCTATTACTTGTATTTTTAGTGATTTACATCGAAGAATAAATTGCTCTCTGTAAACTACATTGTACATCTATCTGCACCAGTCAAAAGTTATAAAAGAATATTTCTGGTTTTTAATGAACGTCGTGACAGCTTACAAGTAAATAAATATTTAATGTTTTAACATCTAGCATGTGAATGTTGTCTATTGAAATGGAGTATGTTGTCAGATGAATGTACCTGTAGCATAAAATAGTTCTATCTAATAATTTGTGATAATAATGAAATATGCTTTTACAATAATTGACCTAGATTTGGCGATCCAAGAAATCCCCATGATTCAAACTTATACAACGACAATTAACGTTCGTGGGATAACCTTCTCACTTCATGTCACCATGGCCTTCAAAAGTGTCATAATATCAGATCATGTTGCTCTCGACTAGTTACTGAAAAACCTGGAGTTTTTAATGATAACTAGACGTTATGCAATCGATGCAATTCATGAGAAGTAACATCCGTTCAAAATGTCAATTTTTATATGCAAATGTTCTAATCAGAGACATTATATGTCTCTGTTCTAATATACGCTTGGAGGATTGCTCACAGCCAGTTTTTCTTACCTAATGGTGTCACCGTGATAACCAGGAGAGATTAAACCCAGATTTACCTGTTAATATATTGTCCAACGAAATTAACAATGTTTTTAAATCGTCTATAAATTAAGTAACTACGGGAAATAATTGTCTATTTTTGCTTCATATAATTACATTTTGATACTCATCACACCTATCTCTGTCCCTGTCTTGTTAACACCTCTCTCTCTTTCTAATCAACGTCGCATCATTGCTCTTAACTACACAGTCATTTGCGTAATAAAATATAGCAGCTGCAGCTACAAAGAACACCATAGATCAAAAACTTCACTATTAAGCCTAGACTATTAAGCTGTTGCTGAGATCTGCAAAAATCGTTGTTCACAATTTCGATTCTTTTCGTTCCAAAGAACCATTGTTTATCTAAAATGCAAACTAAATTCTCCATAAATATGAATAGGCTCTCATTTACCACAAAACCATCACATGGTGTAACAATAACTGAAAATAATATCATAATTTAATTAAGTTGAAGTTGAAGTGTTCACACTGATGCAACTTTTGAGTCGGCTATCTTTGTCCAATGACTTTTAACGATAAGATTTCGGGTAAGATCGTTCAAGGAAACAGGTTCCAGTATCACATTCCTTTAATTTTTTCCAAAATGTCCAAAGTTATTTAAATTATACATGTGTACAACACAACATGCAGTTTTTATTTACTATATATCGCCTGCGGGTCATCAGACGAACTTTCCAGTCTACGTGTTTCAAGAAAAATCTCGACGGATTGATGAGAGTCTCCGGAATGAAAACTGATCGCGCATTTAATTTGTACAATTAACAAGTTCACTGATCGCTCAAATGACGGCTTTAAATATGTATGAACCTGTCAAATTATCAACGCATTTTCGAAGAAGTATATCTCGCTTAAGTGACATTGGGTGAATAATTGGGGGTGAGATTTATATCAGTGTGTAGAAACTTGTCGGACGGTCCCCGGCGGTCAAGCTTTAACGTTTACAGCTTTTAAAGGCCCCATTCAAAGTTTGAAATGTAGTCTGATCATTCAAATATTACTTTCATAACTTGAACAGTTCAGGCAAACGTTAAAATATTTCAGTCTTAAGTGTATGTATATGTAAACTTAAAGCATTTTTTTTAATTTGTAATGTCACGACGACACACAATAAATCAATATTGTTGGCCTACATATCAAAGTTGAATTTTTTATGTTTTAAAGTGTCTGTGCGATGCTCATGGGGTCAAAACTCAGATTATACATGTTTTAAATGAAGTAAACACCACTTACAAGTCAAACCATGGACTGTTCCTGTAAATCTTTCTCTAAATGTGAAATTTGATGTCCAATGTCAAGTGCCAATCATGACAGCACGATCAGAACAGGTTTTGAACATGTTGCTGGAGTTTATGATCTCCGAATGTGCTTATAAAGTGTCAGTGTAATTGATTACCACTGCATTCAATGCAGTGCGGAAATGATTCAACTTTGACTACTTAGGAGCCACGATTTTTCCCCCGATGATCGAAAAATATAATACCTCAATTAGAGCTCCCGACCCTGTGGTGCGTTTTCACAAAGCTAGTCGTGCAGAATTACGTTCTAGCCAGTCAGAATACAGTATAGAAACTTTACACGTTGAATTGATCCTGTTACATAACTCAATACTGTTTAAAATCTTACAACCCATCCTTGGTCCAAGGGTATTTCACTTCTTTAAGCATAAATGAAGTCCTTTGAAGAAGGATGCTTACAACCAATTGCAAATGGCATTGAACCATGAGGTGATTTGAGAAGTTTTTGAGAAATCCTTTCTGGCCAATCAGAACACAGTATAACATGGACACTTTTGAATTTACGTTCGAGTTGCATAACGCATTGGCGATTAAAATCCATAACGGTGTAAAATAAATTATGTTCCCCTGGGGATTATGGTCCCCTTTCTTAAAGGCCCTTACTGGCCCTGATTGTGGATACAATAATAAGGGAAAGAGTTGTATTTAGGTCACCATATAAATCATTGGAATTTGATAGGACCACCTACCCTTTTACACCTGTTCTGGTGACGTCATGTTTTTTCCGGGAAAGCTTATTTTGGCACTGAAAGACAATCAGATGAAGATGTGAGTCTGTTGGTATACTGTTTCTACCAACCAATACCCATTGAATCTATTTGTGTAAAGAAAAATGAATGAAAATTACCGAATTGGCACTTTAAATATTTATGTAGCCTTGATATATAGACAACTTAACCACTTTTCTGCGTTTATGTATAGAGTGGTCCAAAAACTTGGTTTTTGCAAGTTTTTGAAATCCGTTTTGAAACGACAATGACGTATTTTGTATTGAGACACTGGTGGATATGCATTATAGAGGTATATCCAGAATTATGGCAATGTCTATACTTTCTATACATTGTCTATACTTTCTATACTTTCGATCTCCTTTTTCATACTATCTGCCTTCGACGTTTCTATACTTTCTATACTTTCGAACTGCTTTTACATACCAACTGCCTTTGACAAATCAGATGTCTATAGTTTCTATACTTTCGAAATGCCCTTTCATACTAACTGCCTTTGACAAAGCAGATGTCTATAGTTTCTATACTTTCTATCTGCTATTTCCCATAACTGTCTTCGACATATCAGATGTCTATACTTTCTATACTTTCGATCTGCTTTTTCCCATAACTGTCTTCGACAAATCAGATGTCTATAGTTTCTATACTTTCTATCTGCTATTTCCCAGAACTGTCTTCGACATATCAGATGTCTATACTTTCTATACTTTCGATCTGCTTTTTCCCATAACTGTCTTCGACAAATCAGATGTCTATAGTTTCTATACTTTCGAAATGCCCTTTCATACTAACTGCCTTTGACAAAGCAGATGTCTATAGTTTCTATACTTTCTATACTTTCGATCTGCTTTTTCCTATAACTGTCTTAGACAAATCAGATGTCTATAGTTTCTATACTTTCTATACTTTCGATCTGCTTTTCCCCATAACTGTCTTCGACGAATTAGATGTCTATAGTTTCTATACTTTCTATCTGCTTTTCCCCAAAACTGTCTTCGGCAAATCAGATGTCTATACTTTCTATACTTTCGATCTGCTTTTTCCCATAACTGTCTTCGACAAATCAGATGTCTATAGTTTCTATACTTTCGAAATGCCCTTTCATACTAACTGCCTTTGACAAAGCAGATGTCTATAGTTTCTATACTTTCTATACTTTCGATCTGCTTTTTCCTATAACTGTCTTAGACAAATCAGATGTCTATAGTTTCTATACT